TCTTAATGTTCTTCAGGGGGAGTTCTCTAGATTCAAAGTATCTGAAGTGAGGAAGATGTATTCTTACGCGGTCCAGGCCCTCTTTTCTGCTTGCAGCAAGCGACATAGGCAGGTTCTTATTTTTATGGTGCTAAGCGTTGATGAAACACTTCAATACTTACTTATCTGTTCTAGTTTTTCAACTCATTTTTTCCCTCTGCTAGCTGTAGTTGCTGACATTATTGATTGTCTTATTCTTAGCAGTTCGACATTGCAAGGTCTGATTCTATTTACTGGATTATGCAGGTAGATGCAACATCTGAGCCATTGGATTCTGATCTCATCCAGCAGGAACTTGTTCTAGTCGATATGCTTGTTAGTCTCTGCAGGTTTGAATGGCAAGCTGGTTACCAGGAGCTGGCCACAGCGTTATTTCAAGCTGAAATGGAATATAGCATCTTTTCTCCATCTTTGTTGCTTACTGAACAGAGTAAATTAAGACTGTTTGAGCACTTTTGGAGCAGTAATGGTGCTAGAGTTGGAGAAGAAGGAGCTTTTGGATGGTCGTTGTGGTTGGAGAAAGAGGAGGAGCAGAGGCAAAAAATGTTGAAAGAGGAAGCACCTGATGACACCGAGGTAGGTGGTTGGACAGGTTGGACAGAACAGTTTTCGGGTAGAAAAGGAGATAGTATTGCTTCGGCTAACACTGGAGAGGGTGATGTTGATCGTGAGGGTCTGGATGAGGAAATAGAAGACGAGCATAGCAAGCCTGAAGATGATACTGAAGCTATGCTAAAGCTATTAGGCATTGATGTCAATGCTGACGCCAGTGATGAGGTTAAAGATCCTTCAACTTGGGTTAAATGGTTTGAAGAAGAGGTTTCTCGAGATCACAATCAGTGGATGCCTTCGCGGAAAGCTGGTATTCTTTCTCTACCTTTACCATCTTTATCTCTGTATTTTCGTCATTTTCAGTCCCTGTAGATATGTTTGATGGGACTGACTTGCAAATTTGTCTGCAAAAATTGTAACCATGCATCATTTATTTAATAGGTGAATTCTCCAGTGTTGATGAAATGGGCGAGAGAGAAGATGAAGAGCAACTCTCAAGTCTTGTACTATATGAAGATGTAAATGGATATCTATTTTCATTGCGTTCAAACGAGGCCCGCTTATCTCTGGTATACCAGTTCATTGATTTCTTCGGTGCACATATCTCCCCATGGACTTCCAGCAACAGTTTGTGGTGGAGTGAGAAAATAAATAGCCTTGAAACATTGTCAGATTCTATGCTAGAAAATTTGAGAAACGTGCACGAGTGTTTGTCAAAATCAGATTGTGGCAACGGTTTCAGCTTGGGATCTCTTTTAGGTGGCAGCAGTGACATATCCATGCGGACCGAGATGATGAAGTTTCTCCGCAATGCCATCTTGCTTTGTCTGAATGTTTTTCCGCGAAATTACATTTTGGAAGAAGCTGTGCTTGTTGCAGAAGAGCTATTTGTAACAAACATGAAAACATGTGAGGTAACAACTACCCCATGCCAAGCTTTGGCCAAACGTCTCCTGAAAAGTGACCGGCAGGTAAGCTCTGTTCCAATTTTTTATGTGGTCTGCTCTTCTATTCAGTTTACCTGAATTGATTCCTTCTCCATTAACAGGATCTACTACTCTGTGGAGTTTATGCACAACGAGAAGCTGCTTCTGGAAATATGAAACATGCAAGACGGGTCTTTGACATGGCACTGACTTCTATCTGCGGCCTCCCTAAGGTTAGATTCAGATCTTTTGGTTCTGTTGTTAGTATATTATACAAAGTTAACATGTTTCTGCCTATGTTTTAACTTCAAAGAAATTTGTAAATCAGTTACCCTGGTTGTGTTCATTGCTGATCCAAATCTTTGCTTGCTCGTCCCTAAAATTGGTGCCTTACCTCTTAAGCTTGGACAGTTAAATTTCTAAGGATAGATCATAGTAGTTTATATGGTTATAAAACATTCTGTTCTAGGTAACGTCATAGAAGTATGATCTAATATAGCTAGAATAGGTTTCTTATTTCCCTTTCTTTTTTGTGCACTTGTGCGGAGGGAGATACATCATCCAATTTCCATAATTGGTTTGGATTATTTGACATTGAAAATGCCCAAGCTAAGTTGATTTCACCTCTGATTGCAGGAATTACAGTATAACGCTCCTTTGCTATACTTGTGGTATGCCGAATCAGAAGTAGCCAATAGTAGTGGTAGCGGTCGAGAAACAGAACCGTCATCTCGTGCTATGCACATTCTGTGCTACCTGGGAAGTGGTCTAGCTTATGTTTCTTATACTTCCCAGCCATCAAGCATGCAAATCCTTAGAGCACGCCAAGGCTTCAGAGAGAAGCTTAAGAAGATACAATCAACATGGTCTCACGGTGTCACAGATGATCAATCAGCAGCGCTTGTTTGTTCGGCAGCTCTATTTGAGGAGTTGACAAACGACCTTCCTGGTGCTGTTGAGATCCTTGAGCACATGTTCAGTTCTGTTCTTCCAGGTTATTTCCATGATCTTTATTCTTGGGTTCTCTTACTGATTTTCATGCTAGTATATATGGGTGCATCAGAAATATCTCTTAAAGAAAAGGATCATGCATGCACTGTTTAGTGTTTATCTGTATTTGTATCCCATCTTAAGACATTGTTGTGCTGTTGTGAATTTTCCAGGAAGAAAAAGCCAAAGTCATCAACTTGAACTCTTGTTCAATTTTTACGTGAGAATGCTTCAGAGACATCAGGACGACCTAACTTTGTCAAAACTGTGGAACCCTGTATCAGAAGGACTGCAACTGTATCCTCTCAATCCCGAGCTATATGGAGCTTTGGTCAACATAAGTAGTCACCGTATGACATCCCATAGACTGAGAATGATGTTTGATGACTACTCCCGCAAGTAAGTTTCTTATGAACCCTCTATATCTTGAGAATTGCCATAACGTAGATATGGATGCTTAGTATAAATGGTTAAGAGACTAACAACTACATGTTTCTGGTCTTCTTAGAACCAGAGGTATATGTGTATCGACGTATGAATGCTTAACAAACTAGTTTTTTATATGTTAATCATGCAGAAATCCATCAGTAGTTGTTTGGCTATTTGCACTTTCCTATGAGATGAGTAGAGGAGGGTCCTTACACAGAATCCGTGGATTGTTTGAAAGAGCATTGGCACAAGACACACTAAACAGCTCGGTTTTTCTATGGCGTAGCTACATTGCATATGAAATCGACATCGCACACAATCCGTCAGCAGCTAGACGGATATACTTCCGAGCTGTAAATGCATGCCCATGGTAAAGAACATACTAACCCAATCTTACGTGTTCTTACTGCAATATTTCTCAAAATTATCTAGAACACGTTTCTAACATAATGTGGCGTGGCAGGTCGAAAAAACTATGGCTGGATGGGTTTGGTAAGCTAAGCTCAGTCCTGACAGTGAAAGAGATGTCAGATCTACAAGAAGTGATGCGGGATAAGGAACTTAACATTAGGACAGATATCTACGAGATTCTTCTTTTGCAGGGATGATTTGGTGTGTATAGTTTTGTGTATGTTCTGTTTTTTCTTTGAGAATTGACGAAAATGTAGAAGAAAACAAAAAATGGTCTTAAGTATTACAGATGCGTGAGAAAAAAGAAATTATTTTTGTCGGAAGAGAGTTTTAAAATCATAGTACTGTTAAAATGTAGAAGAAAACAAAAAATGGTCTTGTTTAATAGAAACGAGGAGAGAGATATACCAGTTTGCGATTTTTTATATGTAAATTTAGTCAGTAAATGGGCAATATGTAGATATAAGAGCTTCATCGCTTGTAGCAGTTTGAAAATCAATCACTTTGAAACCGAAGTGAGAGAAGAAAATGCCTCGAATACGTTAGGTGAAAATTCAAACTCTTCACTCTCTCCTTCAGTCCTTCGACATCATCCTCATTCCTCTTTCCTCACTGTCATCCTTTTCATCTTCTGAATTGTTATCTTACTCTCTATTCGTTGTGGCTAATATGAGATGGATTTTCGCCATAAAATCAAGGTTCTTTTATTAGAATCTACGCAAATATGTTTTCGTCTGAAATTCTTTAGCATATTATTCAATATAAGAAATGGATATTAGAAATGCACGGGATCGTTGGATGTTGAAGTTGCTTGGAGAGGAAGAACCGTGATATTGGTGTTGACAGATAATAAGATATCAATTTCTTAGATAAAGAAAGACCAATATCCGTGGTCACAAGGCAAGGGATCTTTTTTTTTTTGTAAGAAAGTGAGATCATAGCAAACCCTTTCTCACACAAAAAAAAAAAGTGAGATCAGAATTTTAGATTTACATTTCATCAACTCATCACTTTTCCCCTTTCTCTGTTACGTCCTCTTGTTTGATAGAATATAGAACCATAAAAAAACTATGATAAAATTTTGTAGTATTATTCACTACTTTTTTATTCTTGACCAATATGATAATAATTTCAGAAATTTATATAACCATTGAGAAAATTGGACTTTTTTTCCTTGTTCACCGTGTTAAATGATGTAAATTTCGGTCCCATGGTCAGGTGCGAAATTTCTTTGGCAATTAAAACGTTGAATGTAACTTGATATTCACGCTACTGAAAAAATTAAGATTACAAAGCCAAATTTCCCCATCCATTAACTTGATCTGGTTAAACCCATGTGAGGAAAAAGAACACATGTACCAGTGCTGTCCACAGAGCCGTCAATCAATGGATAATAAAATCACCAATCCAGAAAAAAAAACAAAAGTACAAAAAAAAGAAAAGAAAAGAAAATCAAAACAATATCCAATCAAATCACGTGATTTTCCCACATATTCCCACAATTGGAAAAAATAGTTATATAAACTTTCCAAAATCCCACTTACCCCAACAACCCGCAGGTTTTATTTCAACGACTTGTATATAAGTATGGTGTTTAATTTATTTTCCCAAGAATTATATATCCTTCTCGTTTTGTCCTCAATACTCATATAGTCAGTAAACCCCTTGACCATGTCCCATAGCTGTAGCGTTTGAAGACGTGTCCCACGCGTCATCTGTGATAAACTGCATCCATGAATCATCTTTATCGTCGACAACGTCTTCTACGCAGGCGGAGGAAACTACCACTTCCGGAGACATTGTCTCATATTCGTTATTGTTAAAATTATTCGAGTTAATCTCCAACGACGCCGTCGTGAAGCTACATTGCCCCGTTTGTAATTGATGTTCTGTCTCCAACTCCGAACATATTCCGTTCTTCTTGAACACCCGACATAATGCATACGAGTCCTGCACCAAACAATTTTATAGAAATTATGTATGAGTGTTGTAATATATCAATTATACCTTTAGTCTACAAAATAACATTTCGTCATTCGACTAATATTGAACATTTGAGCTCGTGAATGTAGTAAATAAAGAGATACAAGAAGAAGGATAGAGGAAAGAGGAGTATATAAGGAACGGCTTTTTTGTCATCGATCGTCGCAGTAAAGACAAAGCGAAACCCTAATTAAGCTTTTGTCAACTTACAGCAAGAAACGAATATAAATTATTAATGTATATCAGCCTTATACCTTACATTAAACTTTTATATATTTCTATTAATATATGCATTTGAAAGGAGATATAGTAATTCATGTTAAACTACAGTGAATTTTAGCCACGCATAATTTCTTTATTTATATTTTTCTTTCATAAATGCAATAGCCATGCATGATGCATCTCCACGTAATTCTCTCTTTCTTAGTTTATATGGTGATCATATATGTAGTTACTTCTTTACTATCATTTGGTAATAGATCGAGAGTGATAAGATTACGATAAATCAATCACCTGAAGCGAAGAAGGATCGTCACAATCCTTATCATCGAGACGATACTCATGCATAACCCAATCCGTACGGATGCCTTGAGGAGCTCTTCCTCTATAATAAACCAAAGTCTTTTTCATCCCAATCGCTCTGCTTTGACTCGTCACTCTCCGATCTTTCCCAGTCGATTTCCAATATCCACCTCTCGTTGCTCGGTTCGTCCTAAACCCGTTCGGATACTTCCGGTCGCGTGGCCCAAAAAAATACCACTCCGGATCTCTACTTGGCAGAAATGACTTCTCTACAATTTTATTTTTAAGGATCATAACATTTAAAAATCAGATTATAACAATATAGCTAAGCGATGAACGAGATAAGCTCTCACATGTCCCGAATTTTATGAAGTTATTAAAACATAATTAGATAAATGATAAGAATGTAGCATTAGCATATATACGTACCTGAGAGGTCCCATGGCTCACATTTGTAGAGATCAACCTCGGGGATTATATCAAGTTCAATTTCTTGACCATTTATCTTTCTTTTCAGATAATAGTTTACAAGTTCTTCATCCGTCGGATGAAATCTAAAGCCCGGAGGTAATCCGACCGGAGCCATATATATAATATATCTCTAACTCTCACAGACAATTTCGAAGATCGGGTTCTTAGAAGTACTTTTGATAATTTCTCTTCTCTTACTCAAACTTCTATATATACACGTTAACTTTATGGTCACTAAATTTACTAGTTAATTGTTTTTTTCTTTACTTAAATAGTTATCTCTCTCTCTTTCATTCTTTTTTCTCTCTTCTTCCTTTCTTTTTGTTGTTTTCATCTTTCGCTTTATCTTTTTTGCAGATTCTTGACAAACGTTACTCGCAAGCTCTTTGGGGTTCCTTCGTTGTAGAAAAAGGGTTCGCTTTTGATCGCGTTATTAGCATGTTACATATATAATTGGTCGTGGTCTTGTTATAAATAAAACTCCTCCTTGGGTAATATATCGATGAAAGTAACACAATATGACGCCATAAACGATTTTAAATCTAATTTGGATAATCATCTAAATAACATGTTTTTTTGTGTGTGTTAAAGATCTAAATAACATGTTGTTGTGTGATGTTTAAAAAACCTTTATAGAATACGTTTTGTAGATGTAAAGAAGCTTTACACAATTATTTATTTCAAATCAGAAAAGAGGGATAGATGGTCATTTTAAGTAAAAAAATAAAAAGTACAATGATCTAATTAAATTTTAAAAACACTTACGTATAAAATCTAACCTTCTAATACTAGTCAGCACTTATATTCTTTTTTGACATAAATCAGATCTTATAAACTATTAAACTAAACAAGTGTCATCTTATCTCATATAGTTTTTAATAACATAATATATCTTGTTATTTTTTTTATTTTATGACTCATGACTAAAAATGTAATTTAGATCTCTATGTGAAAGTTAAAATCATAATTTCTAACGGAGTCTCTGCCATTTGGTTCCTTGGGTCAATAGATAAAATTATATTATGAACCACAAGAGAAGTGCCCATGCATGATGCATGATGATTTCTCTGAACTTCCAAAATATTTGAGAGAGAGAATATACTCTCTAGAGCTCCTGCTACTACTCTAAAACGATTACGATCTACATGCAAACTGTGGAACAGTGTATTCAAAGATTAAACAAAGCTGCAAGGCAACATATATATATGGTTGTCATGTTGAAGATTTGGCAATGACCAAAATTTGTAAATAAAATAATAATTTTTGCCTAATCTGTAAATAAAAATGGCTCCCACTGCTCCCACTCCACTGGAGCCACAAGAATACCAATCGTTACAACCAAATAACTCAAAAACCGTTCTGACCCAAAATTGGGTTTCATAATCCGTCTACAGGAGTGCAAAATTCAAATCCCAGAGACGACTACAAAGACTCTAGACCTCCAAACCCATAGCATAGAGGGCTAAACCAGGAAGTATTAAAGATAGCCATGCAGCTTGTTGTTTAGGTTAGTACCAGAATAATGTCATTAACTTGAAAGATGTATATATATACAGGATACTCCTGGTATACTCATAACCTATCTACATACCTTGCCAGTCTTGAAACACCCAACCTTGTACCCGAAGAAAGTATTCATCCAATCAAATTATGAGATTATAAGCTAAAGTATTCATCCTTGCCAGAGACATTTGAAGCTTATCTAAGTGCTAAACAAAGCGTACACAACTTGAAGTTTTACAAAACTAACCTTGAATCAAGTTGATATCTGAATGGGCTTCGTCGTGTTCGGGCCCATTTTGATGTTTTCTCATTTAACCCAAACGTAAAGGCCCTATCGTTTTGCTGATTTACAATAACGGTGGCGTTTTTGTCATTAGAAAACAGAGTAATCTAAATTCTTTTTAGGATCTAAATAAGCTTGGGCATGATATGAAAGTTAAAGTCATAATTCCTAACGGAGTCCTGCCGTTTTGTTCTCTAGATCGTTAGATAAAACTTTTCAAAAACCCACAAAATCATAATCTCTGTTTTGCTTATGTTTTACTTATACATTGCTTAATATCTTCTTTTTTTTGTTGTCTATTTTGTCAATTTATTGTTTTTATCGCATTTCTTATTTTCAACTCTTACAAATGTACTCCATTGTATTTGTAGTAAAAGATCCAATGATATTGTAGTAAATATTCAATTAATTTTAGCCTCCTTCACTACCGCACCTTGGATGGCTGAAGTATTTAGATGATGAGAGTAATAGTAGTATTTCCGTACTAAAGTTTCTAAAAAAAACCAAAAAGTATTCTGATGAATACTAAATATTATCGTGTATAAAAGAATAATCGCATTACCGTATTACTGTCAATGTATTATTTAGATGAATAATTCGTCTTGAACAAACAGAAACCAATGTTGTTTGAAGTGGTAAAACCGTAAAAGTCAAACAACTTGTTTTGTTCACTTTAAACTACAACACGACGACGTCGAACACGAAATGCATTATGCATTATGTTACCAAATCAAATGTGACATTGCTTTACGTTAATTCTTATAAGATTAAATTCTTTTTTTGGAGCCATATATGCACAAATATAGCTACTATTTCTTTTGACAAAAAGAACATCTATGACGACCGTGCAAATCATCCTGAATCGAGCCGTCACCCAAATATGACGCGGAGAAAGAAATGCGTGCCATGTGAGTCTCATTGCTATATATCAATTCTAAGATTCTATTACTTTTTGATAAAGTTGATTCTAAAATTAGAAAACGGTATCAAACTAAGGAATATTAGTATTTACTCTATCTGTTTTATTATCCCTTTTGTTTTGTTCACTTTAAACTACAACTGGAAAACGAAATGCATTCTCAATTTCTCATTATGCATGATCAAATCAAATGTGACATTGCTATACATTGATTAATTCTTATAAGATTAATAAATCTAGCTAGTGTTGGATATACTTGTATTTGATCTTCTCTGTTATTTGTTTTCTTTTTTAACAGAAAACTGTTTATTTTTTTCATTTTTACTTTTTGTTAAGTAATCATTTAGATACATTGTGATTCTGTAAGCATATTACGCTTTCTTAACATATATTCCAGATTATTTAACTAATTCTAAGGTATTGGCAATTTCTTTCATAAATCATGTTTTGATAGTTTTGTCTGGTAGTAGTATCAACTAAGTGATGAAACAATGAGGTAAAACGGACAATATAATTCAAAACGTTTTAGCTTATTTTACTTCATATAACTAACAACGATTTATTCAGCAAGGCATAGCAATTAGCAAGCACCACGACATATGTAGGTTATTAAGAAAATTGCGGTTAGTACGTAGAGAAATGGAGATTCTGCTTGAAGAAATGGAGAAATGCAGAATGATGTTCCAGGCATTCTCCCTTACACACATCCCCAGATCACAAAACACGAAGGCAGACAAGTTAGCACAGAGTGCTCGAGATCAGCCTCATAATGTGTACTACATCAACTCAATTCCACCGGTCTCGCTTCCCGAGCCGTTGTAGGAATTTAGGCTGTTGAAAAAAAAAAAAAAAAAAGAAGAAGAAGAAGTACGTAGAGACTCGTCGTGTTTTTCCTTCTTTTTGCTAAAAGGCCTTAATGTACTCAGTACAGTCATTAAATTAGGACTGGGTTGACCAGGAGTATCTGGCAAGCTTCACCTATAAACTAACATAAAACTATAACGGAAGAAATTTTGAAAGTTAACTACAGGTTAAATGTTATTCAGTCTAACAATTGAATTAGGAGAAAATGCTCTTATTAAAAGCAAATACATAAAATTTCATATTTTTACACTAAAATTTTTAATTTAAGTGAAGCATTGAGCTATCTGATAATGGAGTAACACAACCTATATGACAACTAGTAAGTAGTAACTAGCATGCTTTATCATTTATCAATCCAACATCGTCATCAAAAGAATGGAGTATACAATCTAAACGCTGTAAGCAGTGAATAATCTCTGAAGCCGTCTCCTTCGGTATCTCCAAGCCACTTGAATCTGCCTTGCCGCTCTCAGCCTCCAATAAGGAGACTCGTACCTTATAGCTCCTTGCACTCTATGGCTCCTCAGGAATCTTGAGAACAAGCTCGTCACGTCTTCAAGATCTGCTACACTCAGCGAAAACGCCTCCACGTTTGTCACGCACCTGACATTTCTGTTGCTAAGCAATCCTTTCGATGGCATCTTTATCCTCGTTCCATCTGCAGCTTTCAAAGAAGATTCAGTTCCATGTTTATGAGACACAGAGCCAAACCTATAAGCAAAAAAAGGGATATATATAGATATGTACCGGGGTTTACAGAAGAGCGTTCGAGGCACCAAGTGAGGAGTTCTTCACCACAGACGTCTCCTTCTGATAAAGGAAGAACAGAACCGTCTTCTCCAATGCTCTCCATCTCACCTCTCACTATGAACACCATTTTCTCAACTAGTCCTCCTCGGTGCAACACCGTGCTACTCCCTATGTATGTCCTCTGCTTCAGCCTCTCACGGATGGTATCCAAGATTGGTTCGTCCATCAACGAAAATATCCTCACCTGCAAACCCATTATCATTTAGAAATTCTACCCCATTAATAATATGCTTGCATAACTATCACTTCGGTTTCAACAGCAGTCTCCATACAGTTAGATTCAGAAGTAGCTCTTTGAACACTATAGATAGAATTGGGATCTAAGCACTCAGGAGTTTCACAGAGTGAGAGAGAGAGTCATGCTGAGGGAATGTTAACCTTCTTGAGAAATTTGAAGAGGTGTCGTCTTATATCTCTTTGAAGGTCATCAGGCATATTCTCAAACAGCAATTCTTCGTTAACTCCTCTGGTAGCAGCCCAGTTGAACCGCTCAGCCTCTCGCACCCTCCTGAGAGTGTTGAATAACTATTCAGTTAGTTTAACAGTGACATTACAGAGCCTGAGACAATAGAATCCTTCAGAAAATATTATTCAACTGAGAAGCAAATTTTAATGGACGTAGTTTACATACCTTCTTATACCTTCTGGCAACCGTCTATGGCTCATCCACTGCTCCACATCACGCCGTCTTAGCGTCATTTCCAAATTCCTAACATGGACAAAGCACAATCAAAGGATTACTTGGTGTTTTAGAAGCCATCCACCATATCTTCAGTTATCTTCTTTTGTACAATGATGGAGTCATTTACCTTCGACCAAGAGCTTGAAGGAAGTTCTGCATATTACCAATAAGAAGCGCAAAAAGCAAGAGCCCCAGTCCGATAATGCCCATAGTAAAGAAGACCTCCCCCAGAAAGTAACTTGGGACTTGGTTTCCAGCAAGCGTGCTGATTTGCTTTGAGATTTGTAAACAGTTGACATAGTTACAGACATGCAAAGCAGTGGAAACGTTTAACAGTTGTTCAGTAAATCTGCTAGGAAAAGCTGAATAGACAAGTGAATTACCTGGAAACCCCAGAAAAGAGAGTAACTGTATCTTGTGAAGAGACTAGTGTGACTGGTAAGATTGACTGCCTTTGAGTAGATTCCATAAGGAAAACCGTCCTCTTGAAAGCAAGCAATGGCACTCTCATTGTTTCTCCACGCAGCTAACGACATATCGTCATCTCCACGACCACAATCTATAAGATCTCTACACGCACTCTCAGAATTACCACAGGCATTTCGAAGGCACTGATTAACTCTCTGAAAGAGACAAAAGCAAACAATGAGAGGACAGTAAACTAAAGTGAATGGTCTTACTACGTTCCGAGGAATTTGCCATACCTGTAGACCAAAAAGATACCAGCAAGAGCCAACAACATGTCCAGCGAGCATGAAGGTGAGAAGATTAATAACAAAATTAGCCCAAGCAGACTCAAATATGAAGCCCGTCGGTGTTTGACCAGCAAGAAGTGGTAAAAGTCTATATAACTTTGGAATGTACTGGAACAGAACTGCAGCGCGCAGAAGGTTCTTTGCATAGTTTGCCCCAGATGTGCCCAAGTGTGCTGGTATTATCCATAGTATCAATATCTGTAAAGAAATATGCGGTAAAAATGAACATATACAATTTTATATTCTAATAGAACCAATTGTAGCTATAAAGTCTAAACATTATGTAATGTACCTGTGGAAGTGGCATCACTATGAACAAGTCAAGGAAAAACCTCCCTCGGAAGTAATGGCGAGCAATTTTTCTTGGTTGATCAACCAACTGGCCAGCACCAACTACTGTAGACTCACGAGCTACATAGGCCAATCGGAACTAGAAACAAGAATATGAATCAAGAAGAAGCATTCAAAGCCAAAAGATTCACTTGTACTAAGAACATCGAAGCAAACGAAACACACCTGAAGCAGAATGTTCACAGAGAACAGAACATCCGTTAAAGTTCTAACAGCTACAAATGTTTTAGCCATAGGCCAATCGATCACAATGCATTTGTTGTTCTGCAGCAAGAAAGAAAGATGGTCAAACGCAAGAAAACAAAACAAATCCATGAGAAGCAAAAGATAGAGATATGTCTCTACCTCTTGGACTAATATAAGGAAGAAGAAGAGGGGATCGATGAAAATAGCCAACAAGCAGGAGAGGGCAAAGAATTTAGTCCAGCTTTGAACGAATTTGGAATGAGGATTCATGATTCCAGGCAAGCGTCTATTAACAGAGGAAGCAAATCGCCTAGCCCAGCCTTTAGCATCATCATACAGAGCATTGTGAAACTAGCAATAGAAAAAGGAAAAAAAAAGAGACTCTTTGTGTCAGCAGCAACATTTACTTGAGTCTCACTCAAGCTGAATTGTTGAAAGTTAAGGAAATAGCAAACAACAATACCGTCGAGTCAAAAATGGCGGAAACTCTGGAAGTAGGGATTTGGGCAGCTTTGCGGTTGTAGTAAGAAGGGCAAGTTGTACAGTAAGGATCATTGCACATACCCAATTGTCCAGATCTCAGGAGATTTGCGTGTTTGAGTACGAATGCGTCCTCTGATTTCTTGTGTTCGAGAGCAGAGAAAGAAGGATACCTCTCTGGCTGAGAGGAGACAGAAGAATCGGTAGTGGTGGTGGTAGGAGGAGGAGGAAGAAAGAGAGGTGGAGGATTGCGAGTAGAGGAAAGAGGACCACTCATTTGAACTAGAGGAGGACGTCTCTGGGCTCGGAGAGGACCCGTGTAGCCTAAAACAACACTCGAGTTGTCGAATCCGTCAGTGGATGAAGTAGGGTTTGAGAGTGAAACGCTACGAGTCCAGGAAGTGCGAGACGACGAGTCTGAAATTGGAAGCATGGGGATGTCATCGTTTTCGCTCGGGGAAGCCATTCCGCGGTAGAGAAGGGCTTCCAGAAGAAAGAAAGAGACCCAGAAACCGAATAAAAAATTAGGGCAGAAGGAATAATTCTGAGGGGGAGATGATGAAGCAGAGAGTTAAGAGAGTTCTGGGAAATTGAGAAGAAGAAAAAGACGATGACTGACTGAGTCCAGAGTCTTTGCCGAATCATCATATGCCCCGTCAAGCAAGTGTTTATCATTTATTATTGGATAAATTAAAAATGTGTGTGAATGCGAATACCGAATTTTCTGCGAAAAAAAATCAAAGACATTTTCGGAAGACTGACTTTTATTTATTTATTTTAGTGTCCTTAAAAATTTTAAATAATCAACTCTGAGTTAATCTTTCCTATTTTATTTATGGAATGTTTTTGTTAATGGAAATAAATCGATGGATGTTACTGTAAAATATAAATCTATATAACTGAAAAGACTTGTGACACTCTCCAGCTGATGACACTTCAGCGTCCCCAAAGAGTGCCACGTAAGCCGGATTTTTTTAACCTTTTCCCGAATGGCTCCAAAACGACGTCGTTTTTGGCCCCTTCCAACTGGCCCCAAAACGACATCGTTTTGGATAGTCATTTTCTGCCAATTTTTTTTTTTTTTCCCACAAAATCCTGTCTTCTCGCCTCCTTCTCTTCCCCGTCGAGACCGTGAGTTTCCCGTCGTTTAACGATCTGACTTCCTTCTCCCAGCCGTTACAGAGCTTCTCTTATTCCGGTAATCAATGGCTCCCCTTTAATTGCCCGATTACCCTACAAATAAATACGTGAACCCAGCTTCCCCACTTCTCTTTAGCCGATTCACACGTAGAGATCCTCCGAATCACGATGCGTATGCTTTGCAATTTGATCTAAGCAAAAAGATGCAGTCAAGAATCGTCGGTTATGCTCCGGTGTTTACCCTCTTCCTGAGCTTAAACACACCTCACAAAACCTTCACTTTCCATTAAATCTCTGTTCTTATCATCACCTTCATAGCCTACGCTTCCTTTCACGCCTTTCGTAAACCTCCAAGCATCGTCGAGAGCGTCCTCGGACCTTCAGCGACATCGGTTGATGATGGATGGGCTCCGTTTAACGGAGATAAAGGAACCCAGAGACTCTGCGAGCTCGATCTGGCTTTCCTCTCGTCGTACGCGATTGGTATGTATTTCGTTGGGCATTTAGGTGATAGAATCGATTTGAGATACTTTCTCGTGTTTGGTATGATGGCGAGTGGGATTCTCACTGTTGTATTCGGGTTAGGGTATTGGATGGATGTGCATGTGCTCTGGTTTTACATGAGTGTACAGATTGTTTGTGGGTTTTTCCAGTCTATTGGATGGCCTTGTGTTGTCTCTGTTGTTGGGAATTGTGTGGGAAAGAGTGTGGATTGATCATGGGTGTGTGGAACTCTCACACGTCTGTTGGGAACATCGTTGGCTCCGTGATCGCTTCGTCGGTTCTTGATTTCGGGTGGGGATTGTCTTTTGCTCTGCCTGGTGTTGTTGTGATTGTATCTGGATTGCTTGTGTTTTGCTGTTTAGTTGTGACCCCTAATGATTTGGGGTTTGAAGAACCTGGAAAAGAGATTGAGATGGGTTTAGCTGAGAATGTTGAGGAAAGCTTGAGGAAAACAGAAACTGAAAATGCAGAGCTTCTTCAAACTGTAAGATTTTGATGATGATTCTTTGTCAGCTATTGGGTTTCTTGAAGCGTGGAGATTGCCAGGTGTTACGCCTTTTGCTTTCTGTTTGTTCTTCTCGAAACTCGTCGTTTACACATTCCTCTACTGGTTACCGTACTACTTAAGGCACCAAGGTAAGCTTTTTATATCCATCCATGGCTTCTTTTTCGTTATAACTGAGTCTCATGTTCTTCTTACTTCTTATGCCTGAAAGAGAAAAAAATGAAATAATCAAGCAAAAAAGGAGTAAAGAGGTCAATCAAGCAAAACACGAAAAACAATGGAATAAGCAAATAATCAAAGAAGGAATCATCTAAACAAGTTAAGCATGTTGGCAACCAATGCAAGAAAGAACAATGCAACCAAGTTAAACAAAGAAATAAGGAAGAGTAAAAATTCAGTAAGTAAACAACAACGCAAGTAAACAAGTTAGGCATGTTCACAAGCAATGCAAGAAACAACAACGCAAGCAAGTTAAACAATGAAATAAGGAAGAGAAGAAATAAAATGCAAGAAACAACATCGCAAGCAAGTTAAACAGTGAAAATTTGTTTCTTAATGATTTCTTATGAGTTATTATTTCATTGTACGTATACACAACCCATTTGTCTTCTGCTATTTACATTTGTTTGTTTGAGATTGTGCCTCCAAAAAATCCACACACTAATTTAAAATAAATATTGTATATGTGCCTACTGATGGCTACTTCATTCATCATCCTGAATTTACTTAACACATTCATACTATATTTTTTTTTGTTAAAGCACATTCATACTATATTACAGCGACGATTGTGAGATACGTTTACAAGAATACCTTTTCCAAACGAAAATGGAATAAACAAATATACAATACCACCATAGTGAAGGACCTATAATACATGATTCAATATCACCAAACAAATTTGGCGCCGAAACAGCAAACCCAAACTCGTCTGAACAATATCAGGGACATAAATATCTACTACATTGGCTGTTGTTTAAGCTTATGAAACCTGGAATGAAACCTGCGGGTTAAAGCTTATTTGGATGTTGTTTTTCAGGGCAGGATCCATTTGGGTAGCCTGGATCAGACACAAATATCTCTCTCATTCCCCTTTTTGGGCTTTGAATGGAAAAAACTACGAGTTCTCCTGGATGTTCCGTCAAATTCTGAAGCTTCGTGGTAAAGCAAATCCTTTAATCAGAAATTTGATCGGCAATGGTGATGACACATTCTTTTGGTGGGATCCATGGACTCCTTATGGGCCATTGATCTACTACATTGGCTGTGAGGGACCGGTTTCAATGGGCATTCCTCTTTTCTCTACGGTCAGTGAATTAATAACAACATAGGGATGGACTTTACCGCCTCCAAGATCTGAGAAGCAGTTAAATCTCCAGGTGTTCATTACTACTCTAATACCATCAACCTCAAGCGATAAAACGGTTTGGCTAGTTGATGAGGTGATCCAAGACTCTTTCTCTTCTCGTCAAGTATGGGAGTGTATAAGGGAAAAGAAACCAATGGTACCGTGGGTGAATCTTATTTGGCATAAAGCGAGGGTCCCTAGACATGCCTTCTCGGCATGGCTCTTTGTTCTTAATCGCAATCCTACACTTGATCGTTTATCGAGATGGGACTGCGATATAGAAAAAACATGTCTCCTTTGTGGAGTAGCTGATGAATCGAGAGATCACTTATTCTTCAGCTGCCCTTTCTCTCGTCAGGTTTGGGATGAGACACTCATGAGGTTGGGGTTTCAGTCTCCTCCTTATCTTTGGGACGCTGTTCTTCAGTGGATGCCGATGGCGTCTTCTTGCACAGACAAATCCTTGGCCTTACTTCAGGCGTGGCAAGCTTGCATCTACGAAATATGGCACGAACGGAATAGAAGATTTCATCTTGGAGTCACCTTTCCAGCGAGGAAAATCATTCGGCTGGTCTTCTCTGTAGTTCATGACAGAGCACTTAGTCTTTCTCTGCAAAATCCGGGCAGGGAAAGTCTTCTTTTGTGCTGGTGCTAATATGTTTTTCAGCTAAATTCTATCTATGTTTTTTAGATGAGTGGTTTCATCTGGTTCTTTGTAAACTTTTAATTATAATTCAAGCAAACCCTTTAACAAAAAAAAATATCAGAGACATAATATTCAACCTTCACAAGATGAAGCATTTACAGTTAATTACAGTAAATTACGCCATTTACGAAATATCCATATAAATATAGTTATATTTAAAAAAATATAGCCATTCATAAGTTCATACACATGGTTGGGGGGAAACAACGTCGACTCAAATACGACTTTTCTATAACCAAGATACAACAACAATAATTTAGAAGAGAGGTGGAAAAACATGGAAGTGATCATAACTAAATAACAACTAAAATCAACATATAAAAGCCATCCATCCGCGTGTAGCGCCGGTTCTAGTATTGCGATAAAAGGGGGATCGATCTTTTTCCGTTTACATAGTAAACACGGTTTTCCATTATTCGATCACCAACTGTGTCACTTACACTGGAGACCACAACTGTGTAAGTACTGAAAAATCACTACAGGCTCGGTATAACCGTATAAAATGGGCCGCAATTACTAGCCCAACTATGTAAGGCCACGTGGTTTAGACTTTTTTGAACGAGCATAATTCTTTCATATGTTGTTGAAAATGTAAAATTTATTCAACTTTCATATAACCAACTTTCATACCATCATATACATTACAACCGCCAAGTTTTATACGTATATTCCTGTATACACCTAATTCACCTAACCAATTCATCATAAAGAATGCAGAAATACAATGAAAGATCTAACGGCTGGAACTGGATTGAGCAGAGTATAATCTCTGAAGACGTCTCCTTCGGTATCTCCAAGCCACTTGAATCTGCCTTGCCGCTCGCAGCCTCCAATAAGGAGACTCGTATCTTATAGCTCCTTGCACTCTATCGCTCCCTAGGAAACTCGAGAACAAGCTCGTCACGTCTTCAAGATCTGCTACACTCAGCGAAAACGCCTCCACGTTTGTCACGCACCTGACATTTCTGTTGCTAAGCAATCTCTTCGATGGCAACCTTATCCTCGTTCCATCTGCAGCTTTCAAAGAAGATTCAATTCCATGCTTATGAGACACAGAGCCAAAGCTATTATCAAAAGAGGATATATACCGGGGTTTCGTTCGAGGCACCAAGTGAGGAGTTCTTCACCACAAACGTCTCCTTCTGATAAAGGAAGAACAGAACCGTCTTCTCCAATGCTCTCCATCTCACCTCTCACTATGAATACCATTTTCTCAACTAGTCCTCCTGGGTGGAACACCGCGCTACTCCCTATGTATGCCCTTGGTTTCAGCCTCTCACGGATGGTATCCAAGATTGTTTCATCCATCAACGAAAATATCCTCACCTGCAAACCCCATTAACATTTAGAAATTCTACCCTCCTTAATAATTATGCTTGCTTCAGTTCAGTAGAGTCTCAGCAATGCTTAATCTGTGATCGCATAATTATTACTTTGGTTTCAGCAGCAGTCTCTATACAGACATATTCAGAAGTAGCTCCTTGAACACTAAGGAATTAGGATCTAAGCACAAAGAAATTTGAGAGAGAGAGAGAGAGTCATATTGAAGGAAATGGGCTCTGATGTTTACGTTCTTGAGAAATTTGAAGAGGTGTCGTCTTATATCTCTTTGAAGGTCATCAGGCATGGTCTCAAAGACCAATTCTTCTCTTTGAAGGTCATCAGGCATGGTCTCAAAGACCAATTCTTCGTTAACTCCTCTGGTAGCAGCCCAGTTGAACCTCTCAGCCTCTCGCACCCTCCTGAGAGTGTTGAATAACTATTCAGTTAGTTTTGTAGAGACATTACAGAGCCTGAGACACTGTAATCCCTCAGAATATAATATTCAACTGAGAAGCAAAGTTTAATGGGCGTAGCTTACATACATTCTTATACCTTCTGGCAACCGTCTATGGCTCATCCACTGCTCCACATTACGCCGCCTTAGCGTCATTTCCGTAAATTCCAAATTCCTACAATGGACAAAGCACAATCATCAGAGTACTTGATGATTTAGAAACCATCCACCATGTCTTGAGATATCTTCTTTTGGACAATGATGGAGTTATTTACCTTCGAACGAGTGATTGAAGGAAGGTCTGCATATTACCAATAAGAAGCGCGAAAACCAAAAGCCCCAGTCCCATAATGCCCATAGTAAAGAAGACCTCCCCCAGAAAGTAACTTGGGACTTGGTTTCCAGCAAGCGTGCTGATTTGCTTTGAGATTTGTAAACAGTTGCCAATCATCAGTAGAAACGTTTAACAGTTGTTCAGTATATCTGCTAGGAAAACCTGAATAAACAACTCAATTACCTGGAAACCCCAGAAAAGAGAGTAACTGTATCTTGTGAAGAGACTAGTATGGTTGGTAAGATTGACTGCCTTTGAGTAGATTCCATAAGGAAAACCATCCTCTTGAAAACAAGCAATGGCACTCGCATTATTTCTCCACGCAGCTAACGACATATCGTCATCTCCACGACCACAATCTATAAGATCTCTACACGTACGCTCAGAATTACCACAGGCAATACGAAGGCATTGGTTAACTCTCTGAAAGTGACAAAAGCAAACAATGAGAAAGAATCGACAGGGCAGTAAACTAAAGTGAATGGTTTAAGATTTGAGACTTTGTCTTACCAGTAGACCAAAAAGATACCAGCAAGAGCCAACAACATGTCCAGCCAGCATGAACGTGAGAAGATTAATAACAAAATTAGACCGAGCTGACTCAAATATATAGCCCGTCGGTGTTTGACCAACAAGAAGTGGTAGAACTCTATATAACTTTGGAATGTACTGGAACAGAACTGCAGTGCGTAAAAGGTTTTCTCCATAGTTTGCCCCAGATGTGCCTAAGTGTGCTGGTATTATCCATAATATCAATATCTGTAAACAATTATGCGGTTAATTAACATAATTTTTTTCTAACTTAAAACCAGTTTTCTAGCTCTAATAGCTTTAAACATTATATAATACCTGTGGAAGAGGCATCACTATGAACAAGTCAAGGAAATACTTTCCTCGGAAGTAATGGCGAGCAATTTTTCTTGGGTTATCAACCAACTGGCCAGCACCAACTACATTAGGCTCACGAGCTACATAGGCCAATCGGAACTAGAAAAAAAAAATATGAAAGAATAATCACTAAAAATCCAAAAGATGATTCCCTTATAAGAAAAACCGAAACAAACGAAACACACCTGAAGCAGAATGTTCACAGAGAACAGAACATCCGTTAAAGTTCTAACAGCTACAAACGCTTTAGCCATAGGCCAATCGATCACAATGCATTTGTTGTTCTGCAGCAAGAAAGAAAGATGGTCAAATAAAGGTGCTCCGAAAATACAGGAAAAGCAAAAACAGAGAGACAGAGAGTGACATATCTCTGAAGGAAAACATACCTGTTGGACTAATATGAGGAAGAAGAAGAGGGGATCTATGAAAATGGCCAACAAACATGAGAGGGCAAAGAATTTAGTCCAGCTTTGAACGAATTTGGAATGAGGATTCATGATTCCAGGCAAGCGTCTATTGACAGATGAAGCAAATCGCCTAGCCCAGCCTTTAGCCACATCATACAGAGCATTACGTAACTAGCAAAGAGAAAAAGGAAAAAGAGACTCTTTGTGTCAGTCTCCAGCTGATTGTGAAAGTTAAGGGAAGCAAACAATGTACCTCCGAAAAAATGGCAGAATCGCTGGAAGTGGGGCTTTGGGCAGCTTGGCGGTTGTAGTAAGAAGGGCAAGTGGTACAGTAAGGATCATTACACATACCCAAGTGTCCAGATCTCAAGCTATTTGCGTGAGTCAAGATGAATTCATTAAGTTCAGATGGAATTTCAACGATAGAGGAATCAGGAGGTTGAATAGGAGAAGGAGGAAAGAAAGATTCAGGCCTGCGAGCAGAGTAAAGAGGACCGCTCATTTGCAATGAAGGAGGTCGTCTTCTCTGGGTTCGAAGAGAACCTGTGTGGCCTAAAACCACACTCGAGTTGTCGAATCCGTCAATGGAGGAAGTAGGGTTTGAGAGTGAAACGCTACGAGTCCAGGAAGTGCGAGACGATGAGTCTGAAATTGGAAGCATGGGAATGTCATCGTTTTCGTTCCGGGAAGCCATTTTGCGTAGAGAAGGCCTTCCGGAAGAAAGAAAGAGACCCAGAAACCAAAAAAAAATTAGGGCAGAAGGAAATCATCTGAGGGGGAGAAGATGAAGCAGAGAGTTAAAAGAGTTTTGGGAACTTGACTGACTGAGTGAGTGACTGTGCAATGTGGGTCCTCTAAGGACGGAGACGATGACTGACACTGAGTGAGTGAGTCCACCAGTGTTTATCATTTATTATTAATCGATCGATAAATTAAAATGTGTGTGGATACGAATGTTCAGCAAAAAAGGTCAAGATATTTTCCGAAGACTGACTTTTAGTGTATGTTATTTCAGTGTCCCTAAAATAATCAACTCTGAGTTTTTTTTTTTTTGTCAGCAAACCGTCAACCTGAGTTAATCTTTCAAAATTTATTTACTAGATTTATAACACGCGGGTTTGTTTGTTTGACATTCGTCTCAGTGTGATAATATGTGGCTGGAACTGGATTGAGCAGAGTACAATCTCTGAAGACGTCTCCTTCTGTATCTCCAAGCCACTTGAATCTGCATAGCTGCTCGTAGCCTCCAATAAGGAGACTCATACCTTATTGCTCCTTGCACTCTATGGCTCCTCAGGAATCTCGAGAACAAACTCGTCACATCTTCAAGATCCGCTACACTCAGCGAAAACGCCTCCACGTTAGTCACACACCTAACACTTCTGTTGCAAACCAATCCCTTTGGCGGCATCTTTATCCTCGTCCCATCTGCAAGTTTTTCAAAACATAGATTCATTCCAAGCTTTATTTTTTTCACTTAATGAAATGGTTACGTGGGTTTCAAGTAACAAAGACCTAGAGGCTAGAGCCAAAGCTATTAGCCTAAAAGGTTTCAAAACAGAGATTTTCAGTTCCAAGATTGTTTTCACTTAATCAAAGGGTTACGTGGGTTTCAAGTAACAAAGACATAGAGCCAAAGCTATTAGCCTAAAAGGGATATATGTATACCGGGGTTTACAGAAGAGCGTTCGAGGCACCAAGTGAGAAGTTCTTCGCCGCAAACGTCGCCTTCTGATAAAGGAAGAACATAGCCGTCTTCTCCAATGCTCTCCATCTCACCTCTCACTATGAACACCATTTTCTCAACTAGTCCTCCTCGGTGCAACACCGTGCTACTCCTTATGTACGTCCTCTGTTTCAGCCTCTCCCGTATAGAATCTAAGATTGATTCATCCATCAATGAAAATATCCTCACCTGCAAGCAAACACCAAGATCACTTCAAAACCTAGAGCAGAGTTTTAAGCAAATGGTCAAGCAATGCTTAGTGATACTTATTACCTTCTTGAGAAACTTGAAGAGGTGACGTTTGATATCTCTCTGAAGATCTTCAGGCATATTCTCAAAGAGCAAGTCTTCATTAACTCCTCTAGTAGCCGCCCAGTTGAATCGCTCAGCCTCTCGCACCCTCCTGACAAATGTTGAACAAATAGTATTTGAGTTAATCAGATAATTTATGGTCATATGTAAACCAAAATGCAAAACAGTGCACAAACTTTCTTATATCTTCTGGAAGCAGTCTATGGCTCATCCATTGCTCCACATCACGCCGTCTCAGCATCATTTCCATCCTCCTAAATCAGGACAAGCACAAACCAGATCATATCATTTTATGAAATGGAAAAAATACATAATGCACCATCTCTTGAAAACATTTTTCTTTATGTTTACCTACGATCGAGAGACTGAAGGAAGTTGTGCATATTACCAATAAGCCGTGCAAAAAGCAAAAGCCCCAATCCAATGATACCCATTGTAAAGTAAACCTCCCCTAGTGAGTAACTTGGAGATAGGTTTCCAGCAAGGGTGCTTATTTGCTTTTAGTTAAAGAGTGATTTAAAGACTAATTAATACATTTAACATCAATCAAACTTTTCAGGAAAAACTTGAATGAATCATACTAATGTACCTGGAATCCCCAAAACAGAGAATAACTGGATCTTTTGAAGAAACTAGACTGATTGGTAAGATTGACTGCCTTCAAATAGATTCCATAAGTAGAACCACTCTCTTGAAAACATGCACCAACACTCGCACTATGTTTCCAGAGATCTCTTAGTTCCTTTGATGCTTCGCTTACACGAGCACAATCGATAAGGTTTCTACGTTCATCCACAGAAATATCCTCAGCTTTAAGCAGGCATCTCTTAACTCTCTGAAAAGAGGGCAAAAGAAAACAGAATAATGAGAATCATTTGTGAAAGAAAAAAAAGTAGATTTTAGAAGACAGTGACTAATATACCTGAAGTCCTGCAAGATACCAGCAAGAGCCAACAGCATGACCAGCAAGCACAAAGGTGAAAAGATTAATAAAGAAATTAATCCAAGCCGACTCAAATATGAATCCTGTTGGTGTTTGTCCAGCAAGAAGAGGTAAGAGTCTGTATAGCTTTGGAATGTATTGAAAAAGAACTACGGCACGTATAGTGTTTCTCTCAGATTCTGTCCTCAATGTGCCCAAGTGTTCTGGTATTATCCATAGTATCATTATCTGTAAACAAAAAGGAGAAAGTCTAAGGTAAAAAACAAACATTTGCGACTCGAAAACATTTTGAAGTGTTAACTAATACCTGTGGAATGGGTAACACTATGAAGAGGTCAAGAAAAAACTTTCCTCGGATGTAATTGCGAGCTATTTTTCTTGGTTGATCAACTAACTGGCCAGCACCAACTATCCTAGACTCAGGAGCTACATAGGCCAACCGAAACTGCAACAAATATGAAAAAAATAAAGTTCCTTACATAGGAGGAGATGGGAGCAACAAAGGAGACACACACACACACACACATACCTGAAGGAGAGTGTTAATGGAGAATATAAGGTCAGTTATACATCTAAGAGACACCAATATTCTAGTCTTAGACCCATCAATCTCTATGCATTTCTTTTCCTGCATTAGTAAAAAAATGGTGCTTAAACTCATGGAAACATCATATACAGTTAAACAAGAGATTGATATAGAGGAAGAGAAGGAATTAGAAACATACGTTTCGGATGAATAAGAGGAATAAGAAGAAGGGATCTATAAAAATAGCTAGCAAGCTTGAAAAGGCTAAGAATCTAGACCAGCCTTGAACGAATTCGGAATGAGGATTCATGATTCCAGGTGAGCATCTACGAACAGAGGAGGCAAATCGCTTAGCCCAACCTCTAGCATCATCATACAGAGCAGTACGGAACTAAAACAAGAAAAAAATGAAAAAAGGTTTTTGGGTCAGCTATGTCTAATAGTTACTTGAGTCTCAAGGTATTTAAAAAAAAAGCTTGGAAGAAGTTAAGACGTTACCCTGGAGGCAGAAACTCTGGAAGTGTGGAACTGAGCAGCTTGGCGGTTGTAGTAAGAAGGGCAAGTGGTACAGTAAGGATCATTACACATTCCTAGTTGTCCAGATCTCAAGAGATTTGCGTTTCTCAGCAGGGTTTCTTCATCTTCAGATGGAATTTCAACGATGGAAGATGAATTTGGAGGTTGAATAGGAGATTGAGGAAAGAGGTGAGATTCAGCTCTGCGAGTAGAGTAAAGAGGAGTACTCATTTGCAATGAAGGAGGTCGTCTTCTCTGGGTTCGAAGAGGACCTGTGTGGCCTAAAACCACACTCGAGCTGTCGAATCCGTCAGTGGAGAAAGATGGGTTTGAGAGGGAAACGCTACGGTTTCTTGAAGTGAGAGTCCTGGAGTGAGAACGAGAAGTTGCTTCTTGAATTGGAGGAAGAATGGGAAACTCGTCGTTTTCGTTCGGTGACTCCATTTTAGAGACAAAGTACGAGAAGCAGGTATGTAGGAGAAAGGAGCAAAACGATGAAAGAGACAAGGAGAATAAGAAGAAAGGAAGGAGACGATGACAGAGAGTGGGTTTTGGATTTAGCCCGTGGAGAAGCAAGTGTTCGTTTTATAAGGAAAAAGGATAAAACTTTTAGGAAACATCCAACTTTGAGGGAATTATTCGTCAATATGAAAATATAAAAATGTTACATTTGGGAATTGGGATGTTCTGTTGAACCCATCAACGAAGCTTCAAAATAATTTCGTTTTAATTAAGTAAGTAAAGCAAAAAGGTTGGAGGAGGGAAAACTACAAGAAGCTGGCTTTTGTGTTACTTTGACATTTATCTTTTTTACCTTTCACGTTGTGTATTTTAATTTTTAGTTTTCTATAGTTTGCGAAATGATGAGATCTTGGAGAATTATTAAAATAACAAAGAAAGCAACACTTTCACATATTTTAGGGGAGGGAAATATATTGGAAGTCTAAATTGTACAATAGGAACAAAAAAAATGAGATTGGAATTTCTCACCAAATTCAGAGTTGAACTTTTTCTAATGCAATTTTCTATGACAACAAATGGTTAAGTGTGTGTGAATAAACAAAGCCGCGTTACTGAAAAATGAAAATAGCTCCTTTCAATTCTTTACTTGCCCACCTTGCAGGTCCTGTGTTCTTTTCTTTAGGTAAAAAGAAAAGACGATGAATAAATTAATTGTTACTTTTCCTTGTAACAACGCACGTTTATTCATCTATAGATCAATAATTGACATTCGTGATGTGTTTTCTAGATTTAAAATTGTCATTTGCCAACCAACCACATGCTTTAATGCTTATCATCTTTCCGCTTTTTAATGATCCGAGTTTCACTAAACCACACTGAATCTCAAAATTCAAAAAAGGTCCACCATCTAAAATGCGCGAAACTTCCATGAAGAAAGGCTTTTATTTATTAGGCCCAATAGGAAAAACAGGCCGCAGTTAATAAGCCCAAGTACGTGAGCCACGTGTTAAGATACGAGTGGCACAAAATCAAAAACTTGTAGCTTTGGCGGATTTTGCCTGTTATATGCTCTGCGCTGATCCAACTGATCAGACGTGTCAGCTCTCTTCTCTCTCTCTATTTCTGGGTTTGTATCTTCTTCTTCTTCCCACTCAAATCCTTCATTAATCTCCATGCTCGTTAAATCCTTTTCGACAACATTTATTATCTTATTGGAAAAACCATCCATGATTTAATGCCACATCTCCTCTCTCTGGATCTATGCATATTCGCTTTTTTCCCTTTATAAATGTACACAGAGGACTCACCAAAACCAGTGAATCCTTTTCAGGTTGAAGAAGATGAAGAGCAAAGGATCCATGGACGTCACTCATCTTCCTCCTCCGCAGTTGCCATCTCTCTCCGGTACTATTCCTTCCAATTTTCAAAATCTCTCTCTCTCTCTCTCCTCTTTCTCTTTTTGGACCTTTTTTCAAATTTTCAAAACAAAGCTTGCTACAGAAACAGTGGACCCCCCTTTTCTCTCTCTCTTCTCTCTCATCCTTCTTGTCTCAAATGTTGGAAACAGACCTTGAAGCTCGGATGCAAGTCCTTCGTGTATCAGCTTTTGAAGAAAGCCAAGGCGATGACACATTTGCTCAACGAGCTGAATGGTTTTACCAGAGAAGACCTCTCCTTCTCTCCCTCTGTCTCGACCTTTACAACGGCTACGTCACTCTCCTGGGTCGTTCTCACCAAACCAAACCCAATCAGCAGCTTAAACCCACAGCTGAAGAAGACGAAGACTGCATTTCCGAAATCGATTCCGGTAGCGAGATCAGCTCCGAGAGCACCTTGTCCTTCCAACAGACGCAAGATCCTGCAGCGGTTTCAGAGAAACTCGACGACCTTGTGTCGCAGCTTGTGACTGCAAACCTGGACAAAGAGATTCTGCAACACGAGCTACTCCACAAGGAGCAGCAGTTTTGTGAAGCCTCCAAGACTGTTGTCCTGTTGAAGAAGTTCGTCATGTTGCTGGAGATGGAGAAGGAAATGGCAGTGCAGGAAAACGCCAGTCTTGGATACAAAGTCACTTCTCTCTTGGAGGAGAACAGAGAGCTAGCCACTGAGGCCTTGTTCATGAAGAACGAAGCTGTTGGGCTCGCTAGGTGTGTGCTTAAGATGAGAGATGACCATTTTCACAAGGTCTGCATTCTCCAGAACCGTATCTACACGCTGCAGGCAACTATGAACTCGGAGCCCGTCTATGATAAGGTCTCAGCCGGCTGCTTTGGCCTGGATAAGTATAAGACCAAGAAGAAGAAGACGGAGAAGAAAACAGAAGAGAAAACTGGATTCAAGTGGTTGAAGAAGCTTAACATGTTCACAAAGTCTAGCCTTAACCCGTCATCTGCTGCTGCTGCTTCATCATGCTGCACTCTCAACTTGCCTAATTAGTCTATCCTTTGGTGTATTAGTAAAACTATGAAAAAAATGCATACATATGACTCTGTATGTTCTAAGGCCTTTTTATGTTTAATCCATTTCAGTGCATCATCCTGATGCACAGTTTATTCCAGCTTGCAAACTATACGTGACTCCTTAATACTTAAATGTATGGTTTACATGACTAACTAATCTAGTAAACACAACAATGTCATGACCTTCCCACCCACAAATGCTTACTCCTATAAATCTAGACTGTTCCAGTATACTGTATTTCGAAAACAATAGGTTAAAGAGATAACAATGCTTCACCAGGGAAACAGATTCTCCAGTTTGATTATAATCTATGCCATTTTCTCTTTACCTTCTCTCATGCTGAAATCTGAAGGATTAGAGCATATAGTTGGCGACAGCACTGGCTGGGAACTCTCGACAAACTATACCAACTGGACTCAGGGAAGAGAATTTCATGTCGGTGATGTCTTAGGTAAAATTTCTAGCTCCTATGCAAGGATTTCTAAATACAGCAGAATCAAAGTTGTATCCATCTCCTATGTACCTTCTCTCACTAAGTGCAGAAGATCAATTTTGTTCATTCAGTCACTGTTCTCTCAGCAGTCCTCATCCTCTGTTCCATATCAATGGTAACAAAAGATCAATTGTTTCCAACACACACCTTGCTAAATCTGTCTCTCTTCTTTCAACAGTTTTCAACTATGACAAAGACCAGCATAACGTTATGCAAGTTAACTCAACGGCATACGCAGATTGTGGAAAAGACAACTACATCTCTCTCTATACCAAAGGCAACGACTCAATAGTTATATCAGAGGTTGGAGAGCACTGGTTCATCTGTGGAGTGGACGAACATTGTGAGAAGGGCCAGAAGCTAAGTATTGATGTAGCTTCTTGAATACCATTTATGAGTGATAAATGATAATCAAAATTCGCAGCTTGTTGTTTAGGTCATCTTTAGTACCAATAATGTCATTAGCTTGAATAATATATATACAAGGTAATCTCATTACCTCTTGATATACTCATAACCTATCTACATACCTTGCCACTCTTAAACAAATGACATTTATTGCAACGTTCTTGGCAGAGAGAAAAAAGTAATTACCCTTTAAATGACAGACGTCGAAAGCTATTAATCTGCATCCATTACAGCTCCCAGTGTCAAGATACTTCTATGTCATATCCACTTCAACAGCTTTCTTTTCAAGGTTTGCAATCCGGGCCTGCAAGAATAGTTAAAACACCAACAGTTTTCTCGAATAAGCAAAAGCATTCATTATTATTGCCAGACGCATTTGAAGCTTATCTTCCCTCGATGCTTAAGTGATATATAGAGCGTACACAGAGTGAAACAAAACTAACCTTGAACGATTTCGATCTCCGGAGAGTTGGATCTATCTCTAGACATTTCAAGTATGACTTCTCAGCAAGATCATATTCACCTTTTGCAACGTAGATATCACCTTGGCAAATGTAGGCCTGGTAGAAAAATCCATTAAACAAAACTGAATCAACATAAAGCTTTCAAAGTTGAAACCTTTAAAATTCACAAAGAGCCTCCTCAGAGTATACCTCAGTATAGTTGGGAGCTGATTCCAGAGCTTGGCTTATATCTTCAAGAGCCCCAAAGTAATCAATCATTCCCAGTTTTGCTACTGCTCTGCAATCCCCAAATTCCAAATAATTCAATCTATGAAGAAACAGTATCCAAAAAGAAGAATTTGGGTAAATATTTACCTGTGTTTTAAGATTCTATGCAAGCCACCGTAAGGTTTCAGCTCTAAAGCCTGAAGCAAGACGCATCATTGGTAAATCCCCAGAGAAATGGAGAGGGAAATTGAGACAAAGGTTAAACTTTAGAAACCTGTGTGAGAAGAGATTCTGCTTCCGGGAAGTTTCCAGCTTCGATTTGGGAAAGAGCATTGTTGGTGAGCGCTAAAGCGGCGAGGGCGTTTGTGACGGCGGAGGACGAAGAAGCTTCCCGGCCGTCGCCGCAGAGGCTGAACAATATCTCAGCAGCTCGAGAAGGCGTGGCGCAGTGACGAAGGAGGAGACCTTGAGGGAGAGCCACGAGGTTCGGACCCGAGCCGCATCGGCCGAGGCAGCCGCAGGGATTGACTCGGAGTTTGGGAGGTGCGAGAGCTGTTAACGTCTCCAGTATCTGGAAGGATCCTTGTTTCCGGCAGGTGCGATTCGTGCAGACGCGTAGCTCCTTCACCGGTTCCGATGAGCTCCGGCAGCTTAACGCCGGCAAAGCAACGGAAGCCATAACGATAAGGGTATCGACCACAAAGAAGACTTTATTCGAGTCGAGATGCGCGCGTGACAAAAATAAAATACGAAATCGAATCAGAAAACGATCTGGTTTTTTAACTCGGATCCTGGTTTCACTAAACCGGATTTCACAATTGTACAGAGTCTACAAAAACTCAATTCAGTCCATGGAGCTTACACATATAAACAAGAAAAGCTTTGTTTGAATTTGCTCCCATGTTGTTCAAAAATAAAAAAAAGAATTTGCTCCATTATAAGCTGAAGAAAAACACCAAAACACATTGGTTGTTGATCAAATTAGTCATCTCAAAAATAAAATTGACTCAGAAGTCTGTAACTGTAACCTTTCCATAATACTCAGAAGTCTCAAGCGTGTTAATGACTTAATCAATGGTGGTTGTCTCATGGTGAGCTTTATTTTTGAAAATTTGGGTATGCACTAAGAAGTAGTGAAGTAGTGTAATCCAATGGAACAGAACCGAAGCCAAGAGAAACCCATTTTGCAATGTAAAGCTTCAAAAGTGTCTTCCTAGAGGACTTGTAGATTCAAAGACAAGGGATAAGACGATGGAACTGATAAGTCAGGAGTCGGGAGTAACCATATATATATATATATATGTAATATTATACTAAAGTCTTAAACATAAATCAATACACATTTACAAAAACTTGTAAGCACATCATCAATTCATCACTACGGTTACAGCAAATCATGCTTGTGGATCAACATCATCTTGTTGGTTTAAGAAACGGAAACCCATACTGTATCTGTACTCTCCGGTGCCAAGACAGCGAGAACAATCACTCAATCCACTCCCTCCACAGCTCCTACACCTGTGACCAAAAAAAAAAAAAAACAAACATCTTTAGTTCGTGAATCAAATGTTGGAGATACAAGACTCAAGAACATCACATATTCAAAAAATACTAGGTACCATTTAGGCCATTCTCCTTTTGGAAGCATTTCCATATCTACGCAATTAGTCCTCCCTTCAATCATATATCACCAAAGAAATTCTGGAGTTGTTATTACGAAGCAATCAAGCATCACTCTCGAAGTTGAGAAACAGAGAGAAACAAATATCATTTCGTTACCTTTCCCGCTACAATTGAAACAATCGACTCTTCCAGTTCCATGACAGATTACGCATCGGCCTTTCGTCTTTCTCCTAGTCTCCGTCTTAGAACCTGACTGCTAATCGGAGAAATTAGTTACAATATCGACTATTAGAAATAGAATTTGAAGGTTTTTCGGCTTCACACCTGAGTTGTGATTATCCACGAAGGTTTGTTGAAATAGAGTCGTGGTTGTCCCTGCGAAGATTTCGAATTCGGAACGCCTTCCTCAGAACGGACAGCCGACGTCGCCGGCAGCCGCAGACACGCGTTCGCTGCCATCACCGTCCCTCTTCACACTTCTTCAGTCTACACCAGAAAAAAAAAAATCAATTATCTCTATTCCTCTTCCTCTCATTCCAGTTTCCTTCCGAGTCTCTATTGGGCCTAAGGCCCATCTATCTATTAGTATTTGGCCCACTCTTTCTCAACGTTGGAGTAGTCAAAATAACCGAATTTAAACCAAATAAAAAGATGTTAAAGTCGAAATCAACAAATATATCTTTCCGGTTAATATTAAACCAAAATACCGAAAAGCAACTCCCGCTGAAATCATTATTGTTGTCTGTTGAGAATGGACCAATCAGTCGATGTTACTTCTCCAGCAATTCAAAATAATACACATTAGTGAGTTGTATTGCTTTCTTTTTTGGGTCCAAAATACTCAAGATGTCTTCTCTTCCATTGTATTAAAAATGATTTAGTTACAAGCAACCAAAATTGGATAAGGATAAAATATATATATGTAAAGACCAAAAAATAGAGAACAGAACAACTTCCATTTTTGGCCATCTTTGCCAACCTGTTGACTATAATTAATTTAAAGCCCACATGATGATTTGTCTCCATATTCTTCTTTTTCATCTCTTTCTCATCCTGTTTCACATTAGAGATTTCCAAATCAAATCCTCTGATTCACAGAAGATATAAGAAAGACAAAAAGGCAGAGTCTTTTGGCCTTACAGTCAAAAGTAGCCCAGCTGGAGGGTGGAGCAATGGTGGTTCTTCTATGCTGATTCAACTCGCTTGAGAAAATCTCATTCTTTTGGTTTTGTTTCTTAACTTCTATCCCCACTGGTAGAGGTAAAGCATACATATTCTCCTTCATATCTACCGAACCCTGCATTGCAGAAACAAATTCATGAAAAAAATGATTCAAGATCCTTCTAAAACTGGATTCAAAGAGTCAATTTTGATACCATACCGCACGAAGTCTAGTTTCTGGAGGTGTTACTTCAAGAACATGCTTAAGAAGGATCTCTTCATCAAGTGAAAGAGTTCTTGCTTTCTTCGGGGTTTCAGGCTTATATCCGCTCTCTACCAAGTGACTAGCTTTGCAGCTTAGCTGGTTAGCTATAGGAGCCGGTTGTGTCCCTCCCGGTGAAGCCCATTTCTTATCAATGTATCTAAAGATACACAAACATGAAGATACAAGGTAAGATTTTCGTTTTGCAGACTTGCTGATAAAGATGCAGCAAAAGGCAAGAAACAAAACCAAAAAGAATCAATTACTTGGCTCTGATAAAGGCGTCGCTTGAGCTTCTCTCGAAATGAGGAGGCATCTCTGATTCCCAATACTGGTTTGCCTTTGCATTACCGGTAGCTAGGCGTCAGAAATGATACAAGTAAGATGATTAAGCTAATAATGGAGGTTCATATAAATTCAAAACTACTCAAATCATAGTCAGAGAGGAGCTTACATTGCATGAAAGAAACCTGATCTGGAAGCCATGTATCCAAAGTTATAGATCTTACCTGTTTCAAACAATCTATCAGTATCAGTGTCATATGATTATTCGTTTTGAAGACACAAGCAAGAAGATTGGGGAACCTGTGAGATGTGTACGCCGAGGCTACGATGGATTCCAGAGCATTGCATACAAATGAATATCCCAAGGTTCACACTTGCCCATCTTGGTGCCCTGTAAACAGATTAGATCCAACAATCATTTTTGTGGAATGATGATGATGAGGATGAAGGAGAAGAAGGAAAAAAGGGTATCCTTTATGCTTACTTTGATCTACAATCTGCACATTCTCGATTGTCCTGGTGCTTCAAAAGTGCTTCCAATATCTGTTAACCACACACAAATCTATCTAAATCATTCATGTGGGTTGTGATTGAATAAAGTAAAAACGCAACCTTCCAGACGCAAAATAAAACAATGGTGAAATCGACAAAAAAAAATGGAACCTTGGAATGCTTAGCGTTGAGCTCTTTGGATACAGAGGCCTTCCCGTTCATTCTGATGATCACACAGAGAGAGAGAGAGAGAAGCAATTGAAAAAAAACCAAAAAAAAGTTTGTAACAGAGAGCGAAAATGATCCCAAGGAAGAACGGATTTGAAGGAGACAAGAGGGAAAGAGAGAGAGCGAGAGAGAGAGAGAAGGAGACTTGACGGTTTCTCGTAACCTTTTTATATCTGTGACTAGGACACATCATCTCTATTTTTGTTTATTAAAGAAAAACAATTAATAATCGTAGGAGAAGACGATGGAGAGAGAGACAGTGAAGGGTCAAAGCAGAGAAGCGACTGAAAATGAAATCCCTAGCTCTCAAACCTCTGCAAATTCCATCGGAAGAATCAATTTCTGTTCTCCCTCTTTATCTCCGGCGATCTCGACCGATTGTCCTCAAGTTTCCTCAGGTTAGTTTCTTCTCTCTGCTAAGCTTAATGGGTAACTACAAAACTCTCTTTCTACGTTCTTAATCCTCGCAAGATTGGATTTTTTTTTTTCATGTGGTTCATCTAAAGTTTGCAGAAAACTGTTTATAAAGCATGAATTGTGCAATCCAATACCATATCTATGATCTATACATACAAAGTTTTTACCTTCAAAATCATCACAAAAGGAAGCATCATTACACTTTGCCATGTCCTGTGACATCACAACTTACTGAGCTTTTAAGAGGGTCTTTGCAGGAAGCTGTCGACTTTCGAATTGGTTGCAGCAGAGAGGAACTTCATGCACACAGGAGGATTAACTCCGGCTATAGCCAGCACCGAGCTAGGCAAAGACCAAATCCCATCTCCACATATCAAACCCGAAGCCACCGCTGTGCCAAAAGCTTCAGCCTTTGCTGCATCCACTCTCTCCCAGATGAAAAGTATCAAACTTCCCACACACATGTCAATCGCAAAGTAAGGCCCCAAGAAGAACGGTATCGCCATTGCCATGGGAAGAGGAATGAATCTCCCCCATCTGCTACATAGACTGTCTTTCACTATGTTCACGAGAATCGCCACGCCGAAGAAGGCGTAGCACAGAACGAGACATTCTCTCGGTAGAGACGAGACACCTTCCACTCCTAGCTTAGCCATGCTTCGATATACAGTAGCAAACGGTGCAGGGTACTCAGTGTTTGGGAGACCTAAATCATCAAACGCCTTGTAGAACAGCCAGAACACGCAGGGAGATACCACGCAACCCATTGATGTTCCAATCACTTGGCTCACGAACATTGACTTTGGAGATGACAGAGTTAGGTAGCCAGTCTTGAAGTCCTGCGTGAGATCCGAAGCTGTGGAGACTATGTTCATCATGACGCCACACGCTGCTAGACCAGCGAGCATGCCACCGTGCTCAGAGCCAGCCCAAGCTCCGATTGTGAATATGGCGAGCTTTCCGTAAGTTGAAGCTAAAGACCAGTCTGTGAGTCCTGCTCCATAAGCGTTGCAGAAGGCTAAGACAGGTGCGCAGATGTAGATGACGAGGATGTAATACCATCTCAGCTGGTGGAACATGTGAGGGAGTATCGCTGTAGATGTTGCAGCTATTATGATGTATCCTCCAGCAGCAAACCAAGTAGGGATCTCGTCTTTGAGGAAGAATCTTGTACGGCGTTGGTCATCGTAAGATTCCTTTGGGGTTAATGGGGAAGCAGGAGGGTCTTCTTCAGCTGTCAAGGATGTTGTTCTTGAAACAGGTGCAGTGCCTCGGAGCTGTACAAATAGTCCTGAAAGAGTCCGGCTCAGCACTTTGCAAAAGTTGTATAGACCATCTCCTAGGATTATAGCAACAGCTATAAACACCTGCAAGAAAACAAAGTTTAGTGCAGAGAGATTGATTTGATTCACAGAGGAATGTTGTGGAGAGTTTAGTTTGCCTTGTAAGCCTGAAGACCATGCATGCTGCTGGATGGGACATCAGCGGGAAACCAATCTCCCTTTTTGGTTTCAATGAGAGGCCACATGATCCCCCAAGAGAGGATTCCTCCCAGAAGGACAGAGATGTTGATTATGTATGGGCATATCATGCCAACACCCACATATGTTGCTGAAAAATCAAAGTAGAACCTGTTTGTACATCAGGCTCTCACCAGATAGGAACTCAACATTGGGATTACTAAAAAAAGAAACAATAAGCCAGCTGATGCACTTTGCTTTCTAGCAAGTGAATTGTTTATTGAGCTTACTTGTACTGGTAAGCTTTGAGTCCGAATGTTGGGAAGTTGGAGAAGCCACAGTTTTCTCCTCCGGTAAAGAACCATTGGAAGAAACTCCAGAAGAAGCTTATGGAGAAGAATTTCCCCAAGACCCTCACTTGTTTCCTGTTGCAGAGAAGCCACCATCGAGTCAACAAAAGGAAGCAGAGAAGTCAAGACTAATAAGAATAAAGTGAAAGTGAAAGGTTAGTACTTGGCAAGCTTGGCCCCTTGTGGGGTGTGAAAGCTGTTGATAAGATGAGCAGTTGCAGTACCACTTGGGTAGGTTAGTTTGAAGTCTATTACCATTATCTGCAAAGACAGACATAGATTGGCAAATGCAAGATCTCATAAGCTCATTTGTCCCTTTTTTGGTTCACATGGGAGAGAGCAGGAAACGAAAACTGTGACCAACCTTTCGCAGGGGAACAACCGAGAAGAGGCCAAGAAAGCTGACAACAAAGAGGAAACCAATAATCCAACCCAAAGAAGGGTCCTTGACGCCACGGGAAGCATCTCCTGATTGGTTCGCAATTCGTTCACTCATCCCAAAGAGGTAAGTCCCAAACCCTCCTGTATATTTTCATATCCCCAAGTAGTCATTTATTAATAAGCAAAAACCTTAACATAACCAGCAAGAGAGGAAAGCAAGCAGGTGGGTGATGAGTACAAAAGACTCAAAGTATTTGTCTTTTTTATATCAGAAAGCCACACAATACCAAGTCATGATTCTCACAAGCAAAACTATGGCAAGATTCAGTCAAAAATCTGATTTCTAACTTAATTAGCGGATTGAATGTGAAGATGAGTTTTGTTTACCGCTGAAGGCAATGCCGGAAGAAGCAACAACGCAGGTCTGAATAACAGTATTCTCCTGGCGAGTAAATGGCTGTTTCAAGTATCCAGACCGATGAAGCATCTTGGTCCATGTCTTGACGAAGAAGAAACCAAGAAGACCGGCGGAGACATTGAGGGACGGTATGATTCCGGTTGTGAGGTTAAGCTTCATGACAATGAAGCTAAACAAGATGCTTAGCATAAAGCTCACCACAAAAGCCCTCAAAGTCAGCTGCTTCTTCCAAGAAGGTACTTCTCTGCTTTCAAAGATCTTCTCCACAGATTCTTCTTCTTCATCTTCTTCATCATCTTCGTCGTCTTCAACATTCTTCTTTGTCGCCTTCTCTGACTCTGGACTAAACCCAGTTTCCTGCAACTCATGTTCCACAATCTGACGATCTCTGTCTGGATTCCGAACTCCCTTTCTCATCCTTTCTCTCTCTCTTTTGCTCTGTTTCCTAGATCTAAGAAAACAAGATGGTGAGATGATGGAGAATGAAGTATTATTGGAACGAAAATCAAAGCTCCAAGGAGTCAACTTGGACTCGTTTTTACATTCTGACAAATCAGATAGCTTTATGCTACTTTATTTACTTAAGTTTCTTTGTCGGTATGTCTGTAAACAGCTAATTATTTGGAATTTAAGTTTGTAAATTGATGGTTTACTCTATCAACACCATTATGTTTTCATGTTTTCCAAATTAGCAAGTTCTTAACTCATCCATATCCAACAAGCTTGGGGATCTAAATATCTTAACATAAACTGTATCTTCAGTGCACTACAGACCACAAAGTGAATTAAAGATTATTCCTTTTTTTCATCAAAATATCATACTAATTGAAGATAAGGAAAAAATATAGAAAAACCAATGGTGTGTTTATTTCCTTCCTCATTATCTCAAAATGACATATATTACCCAAAATAAAATGAAAATGAAAACAAAATAGAGACAAGGACCAATCTATAAATTTATATATTCCATACACACTAGAGTGTCATTTACACGTGAGGACCACTCTTTTACAGATCATTTTTGAATTTTTGTTTTTTTTAAGAAAACACAACGGTTCAATTCCTAAAAATGTCAACTTTTTCGTAGAAAACATTTTCAAAAACTTGTCATTTTTTGGCAAGTTTCTTTCCCAGAAAAAAAAAAAAGAAAAGATGTTTAACCAGTGGAGCTGTGATTGTAAAAGCGAGAACATTGTATAGCAGGCCTTGAGAGCAGAGGTGCAACTTCGATAGGACACGTGGACAAACCGACGACAGGATCCGTCTCCATACAGTTATAAGACAAACAGAGCGAAACAGAGTCTGGCAGTTGAAAACCAGAGTTCCAAGGGAATCTGGTCAAGTAGTTATGCTGCAAGAAGAGCGTTTTCGTTGTGCCGTTGACTAAGCTCTCGACGTATTCCTCTGGAATATCTCCGGTGAAACGGTTATTGTTCAAGAACAGAGAATCTGCTCCGACGAGCGAAGGAGGTAGCTCCCCGGAGATGGAGTTATGGCTCAGATCAACGACGGAGCCCTGAGGTAATGAAACGGCGGTGCCGTTGGCGATGGATGTGAAGTTGTTTCGTTGTAGGAACATTGATGAGATCGCTGGACCAAAGAGCGAGTTAGGGATTGCGCCGGTGAATTGGTTCACGCTGAGATCGATGTATGTCAGCTCTGTCAATGGCTCCAAGGCATTGATGGTGCCTTGCATTGAGTTTCTGGAGAGAGACAAGTACCGGAGAGTGATGGGGAAAGCTGGTGGGAGTTCGCCGGAGATTTCGTTCATCTTTAGGTCTAAATGGAACAAAGGGCTAGAGACAGGTTTAAAGCTGTCGGAGAAATGGTTTGAGGCTAAGACAAGGACTTTGAGACGAGGAAGAGTGGTGAGAGAAGGAGGGAGAGATCCTGAGAGCTGGTTATAGCTAAGGTCGAGAGTGTGGAGGTTTGAGAGAGATGAGAAAGAAGCTGGTATAGGACCGGTTAAGCGGTTTCTGGTTAAGGAAATGACTCGGAGGAGAGGGAGAGTATCGAACCGAGGAGGGAGAGGACCGGTGACTGAACCGGGGTAGAGAATGAGTTGGGTCAAGTGTGTGAGATTGGAGAGGGAAGGAGAGAGGGAACCGGAGAGGTTAGGGCCGAGAGATAAGGCGGTGACACGGCCGAGGGGAGTGCAAGTGAGGCCTGAGAAGGAGGAACAAGGGTCAGGGGCTGTGAAGTCCCAAGTGGAGAAGAACGCTGAACCGGGCATGTCGGTTAAAGAGTCTCTGATGGATTCGAGAGCGGCTTTGTCCGTTGGAGCTAGTGAAGAGAAAGTGGAGTGGACGAGAGTGAGCAAAAGAAGAAAGAAAGTGTAGCTCATGTTTTGATGTCTTTTTTTTTGTTTACTCTTTGTCAATGTTTTTTAGTTTGGTGAGAGAGAGGTTTTTAAAGGAAAGAGGAGAGAGCGTGAGCGTGAGAGAGAGGCAATAATGAAGACATTGAGAGAGTGTGTGATAGTGAATGAATGTTAACGTTATGGATTCTTGTTCGAAAATGTGTTAGTTTATTTATTACGCCTCTTTTGACTCCTGTCGGTGATAATGGCGGTTGTGGTCCCTTTTGCATTCAAACCTCCTCAGGAGGTAATTTAAAGTTGGAGATTCCGTTTTTTCGGTTTTGAGTCATAACTCCATTTATCCTCAACATCAAGTTAGATTCGTTTAGAAATTAATCAGAAGAATATATATGTTTTAGACTTTTAGTTAGTGAAAAATATAGTATGAAACTTCTGATAAATTATGGTTATTTGATGCACTTCGGTTACATTAAATTTAATTTTGGTTGAATTTGTTTGGCCTAAAAATAATGCACACCGATTCTAGTACAATACAGTGTATTTTGGTTCGACTTTTCCATGTGATTTACTCAACTAAACTAATCTAACACACATTTTTGTGAAAATGTAACATATAATGGCTCTATACTCTATTTAACTAATATTATTAACCCGACCTTTAACAATTTGACATTCATACAAATCCATCTACATATATAATTATCATCCAAGACGGCAATTAGAAACAAGATCAAGAGACATGGAAAATTCAAAAACATATGATAAAATAGACTTGCAATTCACTCAATCTCATGAAACTCTAAAGGAACCGAGATCAGACTTGGAACATAGACACAGTGAGAAAACCAACCAATATCAGAATCTATCGGAATCTTGATGCACAAATCTCCCCTCGCAACATAGATGCAAGGCTCTCTAGTTTCATCGTCGCCACAACACATGATCAGGGTCTTGCCATGGATGAAGTAACTGATGCCATAAAGCTTACTAAATAACCTTGGCAAGTTACTTGCTGTCAAAGTCATCAAACTTACCCAAACCACTTCATCGTCTCTATTAATCTTCTTCTTCGTCACCCAAATCTCGATCTCCCTTGTCACAAAGCATTGCTTCAATAGCGAGAACCGATCTCCTACAAAAACCGCGAGGACTAGTTCATCACAAAAACTGTTCTCCATCTCCTGACCCGGAAGGAGACAACATGTTTCGAAACGATCCCTCGAGAAATCAAAGCTTTGGATGAAATACTCACGAGTCTCGCCATTGTAAGCAACCCAATACAAATTTCCATTCAAGGACACATGTAACCGTTTGGCTGTTTCAGATAATACCCTATCGCAAGGTGTATCAATAAACTCAAACTCCCGAGAGGAACACTCGTAGACAGCAGCTCCCTTGCGGGTAATAAACCCTAAGATCTTGTAAACCTTTTCGGGTTTAGTATTATCGTATCCTAAGCCGAAAACCTCAAACTGTTGGGCCTCGTACTTGATCCATTTAAACTGTCTCAAGCACGGATTCCATAGCCCTGGCCATATAGAAATAGAAGAAGATGATTATATTGAATGATATCTACTCTTGTACATAGCTCCCGTATATATACATGAGAGGCAGAGAATATACTAACGTAATTACAGGGATTGCAGGAACGTAATTATAGTGATTGAGTCAACACAATAGATGATTGATACTCTTTCCTTATCATTCCCCCTCAAGATGGAGGACCGTGAGAGACACCAATCTTGGAAGTGGATGATTTAAAAGGGGCCCTGGTGAGCGGTTTAGTTAAAGCGTCGGCTAGTTGGTCTTTGGATGAGACATGAGCAACACGAAGAACACCTGAAGTGATCTGGTTTCGGATGAAGTGGTAATCAAGAGCTAAGTGCTTCATTCTGGAGTGAAAAATCGGATTAGCGCAGAGATAAGTGACGCCGACGTTATCGCAGTAGATGACCGGTGTGGAAGGGATTGAGATGCCGAGTTCAGTGAGAAGCGAGCAAATCCAACGAAGCTCAGCGGAGGTATTGGCAACAGAGCGGTACTCTGCTTCTGTAGATGATCGAGCAACACCTCTCTGCTTTTTAGATGACCAAGATATAGGATGTTTGCCGAGGTAGACAATGTATGCGTTGGTGGAGACATAATCGTCAATGTCACCACCCCAATCAGCATCAGAATAAGCGTGTAAGGATGTCGGATTGCTTCTGCTATAAAAGGTTCCATGTGAGCTCGTACCTGCTAGATATCGAAGGAGACGCTTTGTGGCCTGCCAATGCTCTGTAGTCGGAGCATGCATGAACTGAGAAAGCCGATTAACCGCATACGAGATGTCAGGCCTGGTGAAAGCTAGATACTGTAAGCTACCAACAACAGAACGGTATTCAGTTGGATCAGGAAGTGGAGACCCGGATCGAAGAGTGAGCTTCGGATAGGCAGCCATTGGTGTTTGAACCGGTTTTGCGTCAGACATTTTACACCGTTGAAGAAGATCAAGGATGTAACGGCGCTGAGTAAGGTGCAGACCAAAGGATGTGCGGAAAGCTTCAATGCCGAGAAAGTAATTTAAGTCTTCAGGGTCCTTGATCGAAAATCGAGTGGCAAGAGCATCAAGTGTGTGTTGAAGGAGACGAGGGTTGTTTCCAGTGATGACTATGTCATCAACATAAACCAAGATGTAGAGAAGCGAGGAATCACGATTGAGAATGAAAAGAGAGGGATCAGCCAGGGAGTTCGTGAAACCAGAGACAGTGAGGAAGGTGCTTAACTCACGATACCAGGCTCGGGGAGCTTGTTTGAGGCCATAGAGAGCTTTGTGTAACCGGCAAACATGGTGTGGACGGTCTGGATCAATGAAACCAGGGGGTTGAGCAACATAGACTTCCTCCTCGAGTGAGCCTTGGAGGAAAGCATTGTTCACATCCAATTGTTTGATTGGCCAATCACGACTGACCGCGACATCCAAAACAACACGCAGAGACGTCGACTTGATGACCGGACTAAAGGTTTCAGTGAAATCAACACCTCTCCTTTGGTTATAGCCTTTGGCGACATAGCGAGCTTTGAGCCTGCGAAGAGAGCCATTAGGATTAAATTTGTGAGTATAAATCCATCGACAAGAGACAATATTGTGATGGGGCTCCTTAGGAACCAAAGTGTAGGTGCCATGGCGGAGGACGGAAGTGTACTCTTCAGACATAGCATTGCTCCATCGGGGATCAGCGAGAGCTTGAGCAACAGAGGTCGGAATTGGGGGAATGGCATCGGATCTAGGTGTAAGGAGGGCATATTTTTTGTTGGGTTTGGATATGCCAGATTTAGCCCGAGTTGCCATGTTGTGGTTGTTTTCCGGTGGCATAATGACCGGAGCCGGTGGTGGAGAAGGTGATGGTGGAGCTGGTGGTGGAGACGGTGAGGGAAGAGAAGAGGTCGAAGATGAGGATGGTGATGGGCTAGGTGTATTAGTGGGCCTTGGTGTTGTAGATGGGCTTTGAGTGGTGGTTGTTGGAGAGGAATGGGCCGAGAGTTGTGAATTTGATTGAGTATGGGCCATAGAAGATGGTGAGTCATCAGAGGTGTGGGTGACGGACGGTGATGTCGCGACGGAGTTGTGACTCTGATTTGACGGTGCATTCAACGGGTGAGAGGAGGCAGGAGATAGATCTCCGTTGGGCACGGGAGATGTCGGCGTTGATGCAACTGGTGATGTCGGAGTCTGATCAGAAGGCAATGTCGGGGTCGGTGAAGGATCGGAACCAGGAGGTGACGACGACGGCGGAACTGATACGAGTGGCCGATTAGAAATTGGAACAAAGGAGAGAGGCGAAGTCCAATTGGAGGAAGGGGTTTCAGAGTTCGATTGGAGAAGACGTTGATAAGGGAAAGTCTGCTCATCGAACCTGACATGACGAGAAACAAACAAACGATTTGTGAGAGGGTCAAAGCAAAGGTAAGCACTTTGGGTTAAGGAGTAACCCAAGAAAACACAGGAGGTGGATCTTGGTTCGAGTTTATGAGAACGGTATGGACGAAGCCACGGAAAACACAGACAACCAAAAATTTTGAGTTTGGAGTAATTTGGATCGAAGCCAAAGATCATAGAGAAAGGAGATTGAAGAGAGAGTGTAGGAGTAGGCATACGATTGATCAGGTAAACTGCAGTGGAGAAAGCATAAGACCAGAAGGTGTTGGGAATCTGAGCATGATGGAGAAGAGATAATCCAGTCTCGACAATGTGTCGATGACGTCGCTCAACAAGGCCATTGTGTTCAGGTGTATGGGGAGGTGAAGTGAGATGAGTGATACCAGAGGTTGAGAGAAAGGTACGTAATGCAATGAACTCACCTCCATTGTCTGAAAACAGAGTGACAATTTTGGTTTTGAATTTGTTTTCAACAAGAGCTTTGAAGCGGATGAAAATTTCTTTCACATCAGATTTAAGTTTGAGAGGATAGAACCAAGAGTAGCGAGTGTAGTGATCCACAATGATTAGATAATGTTTGTAGTTATCAACAGAAACTACGGGTGAAGTCCAAAGATCTGAAAAGAGATATTCAAGAGGCTTAGACGAGGAGATAGAGGTTTGTGAAAAAGCAAGTTTGTGACTTTTATTAGTAAGACAATCAACACAAGACAAAGTTTTAGAAAAAGACTCAGAAAAAGGTAAAGAAAAGCTAGAAATAATAGTTTTAAGAATAGAATGAGAGGGATGGCCTAGGCGAGAATGCCAATCCGAAAGTGAAGCTTTGATAGTTGGAGTAGCAAAGAGAGCAGTAGCAACTGGTTTAGGAATTGGCCACTCGTATAGTTCATCCTTCGTACGTCCTTGGAGTAACGGAACCCCCGAGTTGAGATCCTTCACCTGAAAGTGAGCAGGAAAGAATTCAACCGAAACTTTGTTAGCATTGCACAACCGATAGACAGAGATAAGATTCTTTGTAATTTGTGGTACGCAGAGAACATTATTGAGGGATAAGGTTTTAGCAAGTAAAGGTATAGAAGCAAAACCGGTGTGGGAGATGGGAAGACTGTTTCCATTTCCAACGAGAACCTCTTCTCCACCGTTGTAAGGTTGATGGAGTGAGAGATTAGCTAGGTCGGAAGTGATATGGTGTGTAGCTCCGGTGTCAAAGACCCATGGATTGGCGTTAGCGGAGGTAGTGAAATGAGCACGTGGCTGCCAAGAGGTTGGTGGATACGTTGGAGTGGGGAGCAATGGGCCACGAGAATTCTGTGATCCAGAGTTGAGTAGATGGCAGCGTCGAGCAGAGTGGCCAGTGGCACCACAAAGTTGACAACGGCCAAGGTAAGGACGAGGGGTACGGTCGTTTGGTTTGTTGTTGTTGTTGGTCCATGGCTGAGAAGAACGCTGATTGTTCTTGGTGGAGGAGGAGGACCGGTTAGATGCATAGTTGGCAGAGATCGGGAGAGAAGAGACGGTGCTCATAGTCTGCAGCTTAACTTCATGATTGATGAGTTTCTCATGAAGTTCGGTAAGAGTTGGTGGAGAATCACGACCCTCCGTTTGGTCGATGATGGGTTTGTATTCGTCGGGAAGCCCTTGGAGGACAAAATCAACCTGATCTTCATGATCAATCAACTTACCGAGCAGGGCAAGCTGATCAAATCTGGTGGTAAGACCCTGAAAATAGTCATTGATTGATTTTGACCCTTTAGACCAATGCTTGAGTTGTTGTTGAAGTTGTTTGATGTGTCCTCGGCTAGGTTTGGCGTAGGTGGCAGCAAGAGTAGCCCAAACCTCTGCGGCTGTAGATGAACGAGAGAGTAGAGGTTGGACAGACAGAGAGATAGCACCAAGTAAGGCACTATAGATGAGTTTGTCCTGACGAGTCCAGAGAGTGAACGCAGGATTCGGAGTAGTAGACCCATCGACAGTAAGTGTCGGATCTGGTTTTGCGGCTGTCTCATCGATGTGGGCCGCCAAGTCATAGCCATCAAGCAGGGCATGCACTTGAAAGACTCCACATGAGGTAGTTTGTGGATGAGAGTTTGGTGATGTTCATCATGTTGATATTGAGGAGGGAGGTCGTGTTGATTGAGACCGTATCAGTGGAGGCGGTAACGCCGGGAACAGAGGTGCTGTTGTCAAGAGACATGGTGGAAGAGAGAAGAGGAAGATGGACGAGAAAAGAAACGAAAAATTTGAGAGGTCTAGAGTTCTAGAGCTCTGATACCATATAGAAATAGAAGAAGATGATTATATTGAATGATATCTACTCTTGTACATAGCTCCCGTATATATACATGAGAGGCAGAGAATATACTAACGTAATTACAGGGATTGCAGGAACGTAATTATAGTGATTGAGTCAACACAATAGATGATTGATACTCTTTCCTTATCAGGCCATTTCTTCATATAGCTCGGATAGTTGCAAAACAAGAGATCATCGCAAGTATTGATCATGAAGTTGTGATGAAAATTCGAATCCTGGCAAGGAATATGAGAGGAGGGTAGCTCATTCAACTCTATCTTTGGATCGATGTTGTTGTGATCGACGATGTCTATTGAGCAAATCTTGGATTTGGTCAGGAAGATGAATTGAGGACGTTTTTTGAGGAAACTCCTGTCGTCGAAAAGAACGTTTCATCGTTTACATGCGGTTCTGAACCGAGCAAGAGATGGAATTGGAAGACGAGAGAGTATTTCTTCCTCTACATCCCACGGAAGATTAAAATGCGGATCCATTGGTTAGGTCTTCTGTTTTTGATTATACAAAAAGTGAAACTATATAACCCCTTCTTTCTTTCTTCTTTTGGCATCATATATTATGGCAATTACTTGCCCAACAAGTAGAATTGGGTTAATATCTGAGCTATTGCCTCTTGGTGAGCTAAGAAGAGAAAACCTTTTAATACTTCAAAGTTTTTTTGACAAATATGAAAAATAAGGTATAGATATAAATCTACTAAGCCGTTCAAAAAAAAAAGGATATAAATCTACTACATTAGAGGTATAATTAATTTTGGTTGATTCGATCCGATCACATAGCATGGTTTAAACATTAACACTTTTTGATTGGGTTTTTAAAAGAAAATTTGGTGGTTCGATTTCGGTTTAAGAACTCTCTTGGTCAATTTTATGCCCGTAAATCTTATTTTAGGGGGGAAATACAAAAGGAACAAAGACACTCCAACTCCCAACCAAAAAATAAACCAAATGGTTTCGTGAGACAAAAACAAAACAAAAAGAGAGACATTTTTTTCTTTTCTTCGTGTTGTTGCTCTGTAATAATAATCTGTTTAGATCCGATCAAACGGTTGAGTCTGCAAACTCTCTGGAAGCCTGTTCGTACCTGACATCTTCCTCTATGAGCGGCCGTGTATCCGCCGCCGGATCGTATCCCTGAACAACGAGCACCGACGCGGTTGTTGAAAACTCTGACGCCGACAGCAAACGTCCAACCGGTCCCAACTCAGGACAATCCGTACTGTTGACCAACGACACAACCGCCGCATTTCTCCCGACGACAAAGAGATTGCATTTGCTCATGGCTTTAAGCGTTGCGTTGATATCTTCTTTGCTCTCAACGACTCTCTCCTCGTAAGCCAACGACTCATCCCCTCTCGGATCGTTCAACAGCTCCCTCACAAACTCTCCATCAATCTCTTTCTCTTCCTTCTCCTTCTCGTCCTCTTCACCTTTCTCGAATCTCTTCAGCGTCCCTCTCGCAGCTACGAATTTGAGAACGGTCAGTGTGATTCCCGGATGCTCCACCATCTTCATCCCGTAGGCGAGAGCTTCTCGATCGTCGAGACCTCCGAAGAACGGAACCACGACTTTGTAAGAAACCTCGCTGGCTACGACCTGTGAGGTCCCTCCGAGTCCTCTGTCCACAAGAATCCCCACGGAGCAAGGAGCTCGGTTCAACACCCGTTGGTTCACAAGATGGAACCCATGTCCGATCGACTCCATCGACCCGTCCGCTCGCTGATGCTTGTGGAACGGAAGCAGAATCATCGCCACTCGTTTCTGATGCGCGCTTTGGCATATGTCCACGTGGATGCTGGTCAGGTCTGAGATTGCAGTCATTGGTCTAACCGCTACAGCTCGGAGATGCTGGTAAGCCTCGAAAGCAATCACCATCTGATCCGTTGATCTCTCGATCTTGTTCCATATGGGAAGTCCGTTGTTCCGAGCTTTGTGAACCATGGCGATCGCTGATGACCGTTCAGAGAGCTCCATTAGATGCATGGCGTAAACGCAGAGACGTCCCTTTTTCCCTGTCCCTCTTGACGACTCGATCAGGTTGATCAGTGTAGGGATGTTTCGGGAACTGTGGAAGCAAGTAAGTATCCGTAGCTCGGAATCGTGATCTTTCCTTTGGATTGTTCTATGCTTGTACGGTGCTCCTTTTCTTGCAGGCTTGTATATCGCCATCAACAATGGTGTTGTGATGAAGGTCGTGAACAATGCCATGAGGACTAAGATCGCAAACGCTTGATCATTCAGCACCTTCCGGTCCTTGCCGATGTTCAGAACAATGAGCTCTACTAAACCTTTGGTGTTCATAAGGACTCCAAGTGCCACGGCTTCTCTGAAAGGAACCTTGCAGAGCATAGAGGCACCAACGGTTCCTACAATCTTCCCGAAACAAGTGGTGAGTATGACAAGAACCAGAAGTCCCCATGATTGCGCTCCTTTGATCGTTGTTACATCGGTTTTGAGACCGCTAGACGCGAAATACAGCGGTAGAAGAAGCCCTGAGACAAGATCCTCAATCTTCTCAGTCAAAACTCTGCAGAAAGGTCCTTCTTTAGGAGTCACTATACCTATCACAAACGCCCCAAACAGCGCGTGTATCCCAATAGTGTCCGTCACAAAGCTCGCCGCTAAAACCAATGTTAGAGTGACACATACATAGAGTTCCTTCACAGGCTCTCCCTCAGGACAGCGTTTAGCCATAAAAGTAAGCAGAGGTTTGATTGCCACAACTGCAAATATCACAAATCCAGATCCACTGAGAAGAACCCAAACAGGTACAAGAGGAGAGCTATCATCTCCTGAGAGAGCAATCGCAAGCGCGAGGAGTATCCAAGCTGCAACATCGTTCACTCCCGCCGCAGACATGGCCATACGTCCAATGTCGGTTGTTAGAAGCTTGAGCTCAGCTAGGATACGAGCAAGCACAGGGAAGGCGGTGATTGACAAGGCAACACCCATGAAGACTATGAAAGGAAGCTGATGGACTCCTTTGCTTATGGTGGCACTGAGAACAAAAGATGTTCCTACACCCATTATAAAAGGAAGCGAGATCCCAGCTACGGCAATCAATAGTGATTTCTTTCCGGTTTTCCTGATGGCTGTAAAGTCGAGCTCAAGGCCAACTAGAAACAAGAAGAAGAGAAGACCGATGTTTGCGAGCGTGTCTAAAACGGTCATGCTCATCTTTGGGAAGATGGTGTCAAGATAAACCTTGCTTCTTCCCAGAGCAGTAGGTCCAAGCAGTATCCCTCCCTACAGAAAGATCCATTTAAGTTTACAAAATTATTATCGAAAAGTAGAAAGAGATTAAAGAAAGGGAAGTTGATGAATATGACCTTGGAAAGTTAGTTAATTACTACAATAACTCTTGTATATTCAAGTGGCTTAAACAGATTTTTTTCCCGATTTTACCCTTATTTCTTTGGTGACAAAAAACGTATTTACGAAAGTGCCATTAATGAACCAGGATAATAAGTCTACAAAAGACATTTTCGAAAATAAGTCTACAAGAATAAATCTACAAACAATGACCGTAGAGTTATTATGAAAACTGTAGACTAATTTTTCAATTTGTAGATTTATATCGTCTTGTAGATTTATCTTATTATTCGTAGACTTTTAGTTGTACATTTATTTTTAGTTGCCGTAGACTTAACTAAGTTTGTAGAGTTATTTTGATTTTGTAGACTTATTTCTATTGTTGTAGATTTATGTTTGTAGACTTAATTTATATTGCAGTAGACTTTTTAAAAATGTCAAAGTCGAAGTGGCATTTTGTAGATTTATTAATAAATTCGTAGATTTATTGTTGTGTAGCCGTAGATTTATAGTTTTCTTGTAGACTTATTTGATTTGGCCGTAGATTTATTTTTATGTTTACGTTATGGTAGACTTAGTTTACATTACTGTAGATTTATACATTGTCTTGTAGATTTGTTTATTTGACTGTAGATTTAAGGAACATGTATCTTTCGTTTATGTTGTGGTAGATTTATTTTCTTTGATTGTAGATTTATTGTGCACGGTAGATTTATTTATTGTTGTGGTAGACTTATTTTGTAACAATTCATTGTAGACTTTTATTTGTATACTATACAACACGTGTATACTTAAATGTAATAGTTGTAGACTTTTATTTGTATATTATCACATATGTAGACTTATTATCTGTAGTACAATAATATTAGAGTTAATTATTAATTTTGGGTAAAATTTTAAAATTAATAAAAGTATTTTTGGGTAAATGTTTTCAAAAGTATTAATTAATAATTATTTTATTAATTTTTAATTTTAATGAATTTAAAATTTTAATAATGTTTACCTGATTTAATTTTTAATTTAATATTTTTTTTTTTTTAAATTTTTAATTTTTAGTTTTTAATATTTTCTTTTTAAATTTTAAATTTTTAATAATTTAATTTTAGTTTTTTGTTTTTAATTTTGTGTTTTTTGTTTTTTATTATTATTATTTTTTTTAATTTTAAATAATTTTAGTTTTTAATTTTAAATTTTATTTTTTTCATAATTTTAGTTTTTATTTATTAGTTTTTTGTTTTAATTTTAAATTTTAATTTTACTTTTTTAATTGCAAAATTAGGTAAAGTTAAATTTTTGGTTTATGTTTTGGTTAAGTTTGATTTTTGGTTTAGATTGAATTTTGGTATTGATTTCGGTTTAATAAATTGGTTTTGGATTAGAAAGATAGAAATTTTGTAATACATGGTCTCATGATAATTTTACAAGTCTTTTTACACCTTTGTAAAATACAAAGGTTAGTGTAGTTATTTTTAAACTTTCCAAAGTTATATTGATCCATTTTCTCTTAAAGAAAACTCACAATGATCTCGGCGATGACACGGGGCTGTTTGAGAGGTTTAAGAAGGAAAGCTAAGAGCCTCGTAAACACAACCACCAGGCAGATCTGTAGGATGATGAGAGGAAGCGCGAAATCAAGAGGGCTTTCGTTTTGGAAGGCTCCATTAGAAGTAGCCTTCATTGCACCAGGGCAATTCCCTGTAACGTTGGTGCCGCCAGCCATGCTAGTCGGAATGTAACTTAAACGGGTTGATGATTGGTCGAGAAACGCGACACTGCTTCAAACTTCAATGATGCCTTGGCTGCTGCTCCCTCATTGCATTTTCCGAGCGAGGTGGAATGAGATTTGGAGCCGGAGGAGAAAAGGAAACACAAAGATCTATTCTGATCTGTCTCTGTTTGTCATACATAAACAGAATCTATGTTCAAGAAGTGAGTATATAAAAGAGAAAAAAAACAGAAAACTAATAGTGTTGACAGTGCTAATAATAGGAAGACGAGATTGAGGAGGACATACCATTTCCAGGGTGGGCATATACCTCGCACCTTTTTTCTATTTATAGACTGTCAGTTACTCAACTTCCAACCAAATCGCATCACTCCTTCACAGATACGAACTGCCTAAACTGCGCCGTCGTTTCCGTCTCTGTTTTCTCTGTTTGTCCTAAATTTGCAAGCACTCTGTACATGCTTCTTCAAACATCATTCATTTCCACATATATCCATGTATATGCGTCGGAGAAGACTATATAGGTGAACATTCATGAGATGCACAAAAGTAGTAAGAATGCATTTTAGAGGAAGTAGTCAACATTGTTCCAAGCCGACTAATCAACATTTCAACCCAATCAAACTGAAGACATTCATGTATAACCAAATCTTCCAACAAAAGAAGAAAAACCAGATTGAAGAAAGAGGTTGAAAAGAAAAACTACCACTAGCTCTGTAATCCTGCAAATGCAATGAATGATACAACAAAGATTTGTCCACAGTCATTCTTCAGCTATAAGAATGCTTCAGCGATCAACTAAACCTTTCTACTCTCCGACGGCGTAGCTCATCTAAAGGGAGATCAGTAGAAGAAGACTGTGCCGTTGCCTGATTCACTGACCATCCGTTTCCTCTACCCCATCCTGAGCCACACATCTCGCAAAGAATTTGCCAGCCAGAGTTATCATATGTACACGACTGGCATCTCCAGACACCAGGTCCTGCTATCCTATTCTGGCCTCTTCCCACTCTTCCTCTCCCTGTAATCCTCCTCCTCCGAGACCTGACCATACTGTTCAGAAACCTCAAGGGCCAAGTCACCGCTCGGGTGACACCTCTAACCACCATAGTGACTGGATCTGAGCCTGAGTGAGAACCTTTCAGCTTCATATAGAGAATACCAGCAAGGATTCCACCTAAATGCCCAAGAAACGAAGCGCTCGGTACAAACATCTGCACTAGAATCAGCTCTGCCCAAGCAGCGTAACGCGTTGGGACTAGGATGCCGTACACGCTCGTGTAATCCTCGGCCTGAGCGTTGAGGACAACTTTCAAAGCAAAGAGGACGCCGGAGAATCCGACTGCGTATTCATGGAAATAGGCTCTTCTGTAATCGAAGAAGACGTGGAGTGATTTGGCTAACAGCAATGTGACTCCTTGGGACATACCGAGGAGTGTTAGCACCATTGAAGCAAACTCGCTGCTTCCCATGGATGTCTCGAGCTTGATACCTTTCCAGAGAAGAGACATCATGTTGTAGACTAGGTGAGGCTCGTTGAGATGGTAGAACGCTGATAGAAAGAAGCGTTTTAAATCCTTGTGCTGCTCAACAACAACGACAAACAAGACGAAGAAGAAGAAAAATTAGCAAAGAATGAAATCAATCGAGAGAGATCAAATGCTTAGAACAAAGTTGATTTATGTGTTATTTTGCTTTGCAAATTGAGATTTGGGTCAAATTCTCCAGAAGCTGGTACATGATTTCCAGATAATACGTACATATGAAATCGCGACTCCAAATCGAAATCGGCAAAATTGCAGTCACGCGTGTCTAATCGATTTCTCAGATAAACAATCGCGAAATGAGAGGTTGAGGAGGTTTACCTTGAGGATGAGGTGGGGATTGAACCAGACCTCACTGATCTGAGGGATAACGGGATCGATAAAAGCCGGCCTGAGATAGACGAGAGTGTTGGCGGCCAAAAGACCCGCCGTCACCGGCGGTTTCCACGGCAATCTATAGTACTCCGCGACGGCGCTTAGAGCCAGCAGCGGCAGCATCCCTCCGGTTCCTCTTCTTCTCCCTTCACCGAAATTCGCCATTGCTTCGTATTGATTATCTCCTCCGAATCTCTAAAATCTCTCTCGAATTCCTAATAGTTATTCAGCGATTTATATAATAAGATTGCAGCTTGATCGCTACGAAAACAATTCTCCAGACGCTTCGTTTCAGTCACATAGAACACGTGGGTCCCGCCGTAACATTTTACATAGTGCTTAAGACTTAGCAGCCTTGATTAAGTCATCTTTTTTTATTCCAAACCTTTTGTCTTTCTTGATTATGCAAATCTGAGTGGAAAATTGAATGTTATTTCTTGATTATATTGGAAAATTCAAAATATTGGAGATAGTGGTGTCACAGAGTGATGCTCAAACTGAATGTTATTTGAACAATGTTTCTGTATATAAAGTTATAAACCAAACCAAAATCCAAAAAAAAAAGATTCATAATTTCATACAAAAAAAGAAGAAGAAGATAATCATACAGCATTATTACAGATTGGATAACTAAAACGGCTCTGCTCTCATCAGTGATTGTCATCAGCTTTAGGCCTTGTGTTGATAAGCATTTTGCGAAGCATTGTGTTCTCGTTCACCAAAGTAGAAATCTTCTCCTCAAGCTGATCATTGTTGTTCTGCAACTCATTAGCTCTTGATTCCAAATCACTCACATACACTTTCTTCCTCTCCCTCGCTTGTTGTGCCGATACTCTGTTCCTCAACAATCTAAATATTCACCCAAAAATAAAACAAAATATTCACATTCATCAGTCATCACTTTCTTCTAGCATTTCATTTTCACACAACTTTATAGTAAAAATGGTCTCTCACTAATTACCTCTTGAGGCTTCTGTACTCTTTATCAACTGGGTTTCTTCCACGGCGGCGTTTGGCGGCTGAGATTCCGTTTTGGGTCTGGTCAAGCTCCTGATTATTGACTCCGTCCTCGGCGCTGCTGCTTTGAACACCTGTCGATCCAGCTGCTTCCATGTCTGGAACCATCAACAACTCCTCGTCACTATCCTCTGAAACTCATAAACCATTTATCTCAGATTATTCTCAACTTACAAAAAGAAACAAAAAACATACGAGTTCGATTAAACGCTTACCAGTCTTGTGCTTATTTGGGGAAGAAGAAGAACTCGAGTTCCCATTGGGTCGTTGAAGAGACATGAATATATTGTTTCTCTTTTGAGATCTTGCAAGAAGACCAGAATTAGAGAGGTAAGAGGTTTAAAGAGAATCTCAAAGCAAAGAAAAAATGCTTCTTTTTTCCACTTCTTTGGGACCACTGAAAGTCTAAAACCAATCAAAACACCATATTACTCTGCAAGCTCATTTCGACGAAAAATGAGAAAAGATTTGTTTGGCTTGTAAAAGAACACGTAGGTTTGTGTAAGACCACAAGTGCAAGAGTTGGACTAGCATATGTTAATATAAATGCAACTCTTGTTTTCTTTTCCACTATACCTGATTGAGATATCTAATTGATTGTTCTGTTTTGCTTTTAAAGTCTCTGTTCATGATTTCTTATGGAAACAACTTTTATTGACAGAGCGTGTGGTTTTGAGGCAATAATTACTGTCTGGAACGATACAAATGTACTTGCAGACAAAGTCAGAGACTCAAGAGGCACACAACTTGTGTATCTACTTGCATGGCATAGGCATGCACAGACTCATCAAGTAGTTATACCTAGTTTATTTTCCTTGCCTTCAACACTTTAATTATATTAACTTTCTTTGTGATTATGATCGCTTACTACATTTTTGATTGGTAACCAGCACAAAAGTTAGAATAAGTTTGTAATTTTGCAGGTTTATAGCAGTTATATAAAAGTATTCAAAAACGTATATATTTGGCATGCTTAAGTTTGGGACTGGAGCTTCTAGCCTCTTTTATCAATAGGAATTTAAGTCATTTTTTCATAGTTCTGTAGATTTATGGATCTTTATAGTAAGAGTACTCTTTTTTTATAGTTAAAGTATAGTAAGAGTACTCTTACAAGATACAATACAAAATGAAGAACAAATACATGAATCTTTTCTTATTTGTAGTATTCGACTCATAAATCTTTCTACACTTATGAATAACAAGACCTATGGCATATATTGTCGACCGATCTATATATCTTCCGGACCCATTAGTCCATTACCGACCTCTGTTTATGTACTTCGTATCCGCGTTCATCTTTAAAATGGATCATGAGTCATGAGTAATGAGTCACGAGTATGTGTCGATCGATCAAAGGGCCCCATGGCTTTAAAACCAACACAAATAATTTGATGTCACTTTAAGACCAAGTACTATCCAAATAATTGGTTTTCATCAGCAGCAGACATTCATTTTGTTTGTGATTTGATTCTATGAAGCTGTACGCAAACGTGTAGATATTATTGCATCTTTGTCTATGCATGAACATGCCACGTTAATATCAGGAGTACATATCATGATAATGATATTTCTTGCTATAACTTTTTGGCACAACACTGTTGCATGCCTCTTATACTACTTCATCAAAACGTTTGATTTACGATGGTATTAAGTATTTGAAGAAAGCCACATTGTCAATGAAAGTTATTGTTTTCCGAAATTCGCAGCTTCGTTCCTAACATATAAACGAAAACATGAATTGTTTTTCTTTTTTTCTTTGTTATAAACGAAAACAAATGACAAAACTCTTTTAAATTGAGACTAAGCCTGCTGTATAAGAAAATTAAATTATAGATTGTGTTAGACTTAATTATTACAAGTATAAAGAGGATTAGACACTCATCATTAGACTACTAGACATAAAAAATGGTAATTGAAATTCTCACAAGAAGGATCCCTAGAGACCAGACATGCATGTCCAAAGACAGATCGTGTAATAGCTCATAGGAGTCTTATCGATCCAACATCCAAGGTAGGCTTTATAACAAAGTAAACATTAGAATACAATATAACAATTCCCATGATGATTCTAGGATCTAATATAATTATCAGTACAACCAATGAACATTATGTGATGTAACAATGTTTACTTTTTATTTTTCAGGTATCATAAATCAGTGAATTTAATTTGAGAAAAGAAAGAAAGAAAGGTAACAGATTGGCCTCATAAGAGAGACAATCCAGAAAGCTAAAGAGACATTAACAGGAAACGTACAGTTGAAGAAAAGAACACTGTCTGCTCCACGAAAACAACATACACAAAACTCATCAATTATCCTTTATTTTTTTAATTGTTTCCGCAAGTTTTCATGGTCTGTAACATTAATGTGTCACAGAGACAACTGAGTTTTCTTATCAACAGAAGTGTCTAAAATTTCATCCCACAAGTTCATAGTCTATAGACTCATCAGTTTTCAAATATTGATGTAGGAAAGTGAAAGTGATGTGATGCTCTGTTTCTGTTTAAGGCTAGACAATAAAGCTTTTCGGCTCTTTATCTCTCCTAATTAAAGAATCTGAGCGGTTGGGAAATTAAAATCAGAAGCCTTAACATTTTTGATCCAACAACATTTGGACACACTTTCCTTGGATTCCTCCTTTTTATGGATACATCGAATCTTACATGCAAACAAATCTCAAACCCCATAATTTCATATTTTACTACAAATAAGCTTCAGAGATCTAAACTTATGAATTTAGTACTTAATCGGGTAACTATTACAGTGGTTTTCAAAAATCAATGTTTGCTCATTTACAGAAGACTGAAAGTTCATAGTTAATGTGGGGAACACTCTGTTTCTAACTTCTAATATATATTTATATATTAAATAAAAAGTTGATTAAATCATTTTAAAATATAATCTATGCAATCGGCATCACCTACACCTACTAGTCTCTTATTGTTTACTAAACAGAGAGAGATAGATTGAAATAGAGAGAGAGACATGAAGAGCACTCTCAAGAGAGAAGAGAAGGAATCATGTAGCTGCAGTCGCAGGTGAGGTTGCATCTTCAAGGTCTCATCAATGGAGGTTTCAAACTCTTTTTCTTCTTATTCCCCATCGTCTGTCGACAGTACTAAGCCTTCACATTCTGAAGCTTCCGTTAATCTCTCTCTTAGCCTCACCTTTCACTCTACTTCTCCAAATAGGTCCTTCTTCACATCACTACTCTGTTTTTCCTCTGTTCTGTTAGTTTCCTCTGTTTTTTTTGTTGTTCACATTTTGTGTTTCGAGTCATTTTTTTGCAGAGAGAGAAGACAAGACTGGCCACCTGTAAAAGCTCGATTGAGAGATACACTAAAGGGTCGTCGTCTTGTTCATCGCGGTGACGAATCATCTCTCTTTGTTAAGGTTTATATGGAAGGTGCTCCCATTGGGAGAAAACTCGATCTTTGCGCATTCTCAGGCTATGAAAGTCTATTAGAAAATCTCTCTCACATGTTCGATACTTCAATCATCTGTAAGTAGTTAAACAAGACTATAATACAACAAAATTCGAACACTTTGAAGAATTTCCATGCATTGTCTTGTTTCAAACAGGTGGTAATCGAGATAGGAAACATCATGTTTTAACATATCAAGATAAGGATGGAGATTGGATGATGGTCGGAGATATTCCATGGGAGTAAGAATCTTGCATCTCTATCTGATATATTCGCCCAAACATTTTAGCTCTTTATTATCTTCTTAACTAAATTTAATTAGCTAAAATGTTTATTTTGTTCAGTATGTTTCTGGAAACCGTGAGAAGACTAAAGATCACAAGACCAGAGAGGTGTTAAAATTTGGATCATGCATGAGTCTGTTTTTTTCACAGTTTTGAGAGGTGAGAGACTCAGAAAATCGACGAAGGGACTTGAAGCGGAACAGAGATGATACTGCATATTGCAAGAATTAGAAAAGGCCTTAAAATAACTTGGCGAATTGATGCAAATATATTTGATTTTTGACACCTTTGCGTGTGTTTTTTTTTTCAGTAAATAAGTCACAATATCCAAGACTTCTTTTTGTTGTTACTCTGAATGATAGATATTTTACATGTTTTGTAATAGTGTACGTGTGTACATGACCATGAAAGAAGACACGAACGTTGTTGGGGAGCACGAACATGGAACGAGAGAATGATTCTCTTTGATGTGCCGGCTCGTCTTTCTTGTTGATTATACTCGGTTTACGCCGATTTACAAGCCCAATAAATACTGACTAGAAAGCCCGTGTAAAGCCCACAGACTACTGGCAAAAAAAAACAAAAGATTGGGGTGAAATGTGAAGGAGATTAGAGTATAAGGGTGATTCTGAAATAATCAATGATATAGCGCCGGAAAAAAAATTGAGAAATTGAAATTCCCACTCTAATCGATCTCTTCCTTTGAAAATTGAATCTGTGAAGGGAAATTGGAAGATGAAGGCGTCAGGGTCTACTGGCTGGAAAGCTCCCGTCAAGTTCAGGATGTAAGTCTCGTCTCTTCCTCTATCACTTCTTCTTCTTCGATTGAAATCGTATCTCGAGTTCATGTGTGTTAGGGACCTGAATGTTCATCTCTTGAAATCGTCGGAGCTAGGCCCACTGCTGAAAACTTGGTACCCATTCGTTTGGACATTCAATTCGAGGGCCAGCGTTACAAAGATGCTTTCACTTGGAACCCTTCAGGTTTATCTCTCTCTCTCTCTCTCTCAAAACCCTACAATTGTTTCCATCTTCTCTTCTATACAGTAGAATAGCGTTTTGTTGTATCAATGTGACTCACCGAATTTCTGTGTGTTTCGATTTGGATAAAGACCCTGATAATGAGGTCGTTGTCTTCGCTAAAAGGACTGTTAAAGACTTGAAACTTCCCCCTGCGTTTGTCACTCAGATTGCCCAATCTATTCAGGTTGTTTCTCAATACATCACACTTTTCCGTTAAGCTTCTCTTCTGCTGTATACATCCTAGGAAGAATTGTGAAATGAGAAATGTTGAATCTTGGTTTTTCTGAGTTATTGTTTCTAAGCTCTTTAGGTAGCAAACAAGAAGAGGCCTGTTTATTGCATTAAACCATTGTTGTATATCTCTAGCACTGATCTTGTGATGTATTTTCGCTTCAGTTACGCTCTTTGTAATATTTTCTGACATTGGTTAGTTGTCATGCTCCATCAGTCTCAGCTCGCAGACTTTCGCTCATACGAAGGACAGGATATGTACACTGGTGAAAAAATCATACCAATCAAGGTTTTATATGACTGATTTTCTGAGCAAAGAAGAGAGTTTCTCTAGAAGCTGATAAGCTGTCTTTCCTTTTTCTTTTTTTCAGCTTGATCTCCGAGTTAACCATACCCTTATCAAGGATCAGTTCTTGTGGGTGAGAATGCGTGGTGATCATGAATAGTTCAAATCACGTTTTGTGTACATCTTACATGTAGCTTGACTTGGCCCTTTTGCAGGACCTAAACAATTTTGAGAGTGATCCTGAGGAATTTGCAAGAACCTTGTGTAAGGATTTAGGTGTTGAAGATCCTGAAGTTGGGGTAAGATAGATAACCGCTCATATTTTTTACATTTCATTCTGTAACTAAACGGAGCACAATTTCAAATGGTGTTTGGTTTCTTTTTCTCTGTGTAGCCTGCTGTTGCCTTTGCTATTAGAGAACAGCTTTACGAGGTGAAAAATCTTGTTGGATCTTTAAGCTATTTTGTTTTTTGTACTTCAGTGTTTGTTTTCAACAAGAATGCTAAATATGGTGACCTACGATGTTGTTGTTATTTCTGCTTTTCCAGATTGCAATTCAAAGTGTGGCTTCTGCTAGGGAGAGTAGACTAAGTAAGAAAGGCCGTAGAGGATCTGATCATGGTTCAGCGAGGTATTTTCACTTTGCTCCTATTTTTCTATCCAAGTTTTGAGGTAACAGTTGAGGTAGCCTCGAACAAATTCTATAGTAACTGTCCATCTTTTATGCGCAGTAGCAAGGCAAGTGGCTTGTCAATGGACTTAGTGAAGTTATTCAGCTTTAAGTCCAGTGTAGTTCGGTGAGTGATTTTCCTGACTCCACTCGATGTATACAGTTTTTTAGTGCCATTGAGATGTCTTTTTTAAGACATGCTGTACGATTGTCTGCTAGTGTCTATTTGCTTATAAGATGAGTTGAAACAGTTTTAACTCGTGATACATTCTGAGTTCGTGTCTTAGATGATCTCATGATTAGGAGATGTTCCTTCCTGGGATTTGATAGTGACCTCTGGGAATGTTACATCTTGGTACTGAACAAAAAAATAGAATCACTAGGTTGCAAATTACAATAGTAACTCAGTGGAGGTTGATAAACTTGTCTGTGATGAGCTAAAAATATATAAGATTTACCGACAAACAAATTGACATGTGAAACTTAGCAAATGTGATAAACAAATTCCATTCATTACCAATGTTGTTGTTCATGGGTCTTGACAGGAAAAGGAAAGACTTGGATGTGTATGAACCTGTGGTGGATCTGCTAACAAATGAGGAAGTGGATGCGCTTGAAGCCAGAGAAGAGAGGCATGCAAGGTAACAAAGAGTTCGCAGTGCATTTATAAATATATCTTAGGGCAGGAGTCGGATAATGAAAGGTCTTGTTGTTGTATTATGCTTTTAACTGAAGTTTATTATCCAATGGATAGGAAATAAAGACTATAAATCAGTATCACTAAACTTTTCTTCAAAATTAGCTTCAAGGCGGTGACTCTGTATTTCACAAACACTATAAACAAGGCAAAGTGAAGAAAATCAGTATCACTAAGCTTTTTTTGTAAAAGAATCACACTAATCACATATCTTAACTTCCACACGAACTCCTAAAGTAAATCTCATTTAACAACTGACGTGCACAATTTTAAAAAGCCTAAAACATGCAAAAGCCAACAACTTTAATATAATTGAGTGTAAGTAATCTTGTTCAAAAGGAGATGATACAAGAAACAAAAACAAACTAGTGCAGATGGAACTAGCTACTTGCTAATCTCTTTCTTTTTCTTCTAGTTGCACTAAACTTGGAACACAAGAAGAGAACACAAATGGGTAATAATACCCACTCTTGTAAAGAATCCAAGCTTCTCCGTGAGGAATCGGAGTTTCTCCCATATCCGCAGATTTGAAGTATCCATCTTCTCCAATGATGTAAGCCGTTGAAGAATCCTCGAATCTGGCAACAACAACGACCTTCTTCTCGGCCTCGTCAATAAAGAAATCCCCAGCCGGAAAAAGAGGGAGGGGTCTTGTCTCCACTTTCAAGAACATGCTCCACGATACTGAACATGAATCAATCTTGGTCGTGATCCAAATCTCCATTACCTCATCTTTGCGTAGAAATAACGATGCGAGCTGCTCATCTCTAACACAAGATAAAACCGCTGGGTCTGAACTATATGATAAGACTACGATTGAAAAGGCAGAGGAAGAAGCGGTCCAAATCTCTCTGCTGTGAAATCAAAACTGAGTAAAGACAATACATCGATCTTTTCTGTATCTGTTATCTTCTTTCGAGCAAGAAAGTAAGTGTTTCCCTTTAGAGACTGGCCGGTTTTGATAAGTCATCATTCTATCCCAGCCGGGAGTGACATCAAGAACCCTCCATGAGTTAGAGTTGCAATCATGGATTTCCAACCAGAGAAAGCCTTCTTTCGTACCATGAAACCTCAAGATTTTGTGGTAACCGTTTTTGTTGTTGTATCCGAAAGCATACGTGTCATATTTGCTGAAAGAGTTCAAGGGTTGGACCGACCTGGTTTGCCCCAAATAGGGATTCCACATCACGAGCTTTTGGTCTCGGTTTGTTGGAACTCATTTTTGATAATATACTAGGTAAATACCCACGCTTCGCTGCTGCGGGAGAATGTCATTGCATTGCATGCTTTCTTGTTTTGAATTAATTAAATTTAAGATATTATAATTTGGTATTTTAATCCAATGTTGCGTTACGCAAAAGGTGTCTCTAAAAATTCCAGCGATCATGAGAAACGAAGCTAACAACATCGGAGACCATCTTTATCGGCAATTCTGGTCTCCATCGTAGTCGTTTTACTCTTTTATAGTCAAAGTCGCAGCAACAAGCAAAAGAACTGGTCTATACCCGCCAAATATTAAGCAACAAAATAGTTATAAGAGTAAAGTAGTTCTAGAAAAAAGCAGCAATTAACATAGCTCTGATCCAAAAACAGTGAACATATATAAAACAGCATAAATAAAGAGTTAAGAAACCATGAGCATCTTCCATTGCCTCTTTGTACAAACCCCTTTTGAGTACACATCGATTAAGGTAGAGTAAGTCAGTAAATTAGGCAAAACTTGGTCCCGCTTCATATCAGCGTAAACATAAAGATATAAGATTTGCTAAACGAAAAATAAGGATATAAGAACAAACTGGCTTCAAGATGCTTCAACTTTCTTCTCTTCCTGATCTGGAAAATCTGTAGCTTTGCCGCTCTGCAGAAGCTGGAGAGGTAGAACCATATTCTCCACACTCCTCCCAAGCTAATCAAAACGACAATTTTTAAAGTTTGATCATGAATCTGAGATTGAAGCAAATCTTTTTTCTTACAAGGCAAATTGCTGTGTTTTGGCCAAGAAAATCCATGTTTCTCATTTCTCTCGGGAAAATTACAAAGAAACGTACCTGACCGGAAGCAATCTTGAGAAAATTTCATTTTTATCGGAACCGACTCATTTGCCTTGCAAAGTTCGGTTTCTGCTTTCACCTTTACTCATAAGCTCTTCTGCTCTATCTGTAGATTCGAAGCTCTCTTCGTGACTTATGCAAGTCCTCCGCGACAGAAGGAAGCGACTGTTAAACAAAATAGAGAGCAAAATATCTTCGTCACCTATACAAAACTGGCTGAGAGTTTCAGCTTATGGATACACTTAACCTCAAAAATCAAAACATTAGCAAACTAACATTGTTCTTTAATTTGTTCTTAACATTAAAACCCAAAAAAAAATCGACCATTGTTCTTAGCAGGTCTGATGTAAGCTCCTTCAATCAACCATTTACAGACACAATGCTAAAATCGCCAGGTAACAGAGAAATCAACTTCGACAGAATGAATCAAGACTAACCAAGTTATGAAGTAGTTTTCACGAAGATCCTTTGTAGTAGCTTCCGAAAAAGAGAAGGCAAAAGAGATAATTGTGGCATTTCAGCATCACCAAGAGATCGCCTTTCTTACTGAATCAGTGGCAGAAGCTGGGTTGGCCTATAGAGCACGAAGAGGAGGCCGTAGAAAGAGGAGGCCATAGAAAGAGCAAGAGCAAGCTGGGTTATCGGAGGAGAGGACGAGAAACACGTGATTTTAACTCGCCAATTCCCGGACACATCCAATTTAAGAAGATGATTGAGAAGAAAGTTTTTCGATTTTGTTTTTCTATCGCCAAATATCTTTCTCAATCGGCAATCGGCTGATGAAAAAACGATTTAGGCTTTGATTGGTGACAATAAGATGGAGTATTACAAACTGTAATGTGCATAATGAAACCATTTATAGAGATATTACGAAGATGATAGTACAAATATGGCATTACAAAAAAAGACAGCATTACAAAAGAAAATGATGGTACAAAGGTTGTAACCATAGTACAAGTGTAATGATACTTTTAGAGGGCATTACAAAAAAATGATAGTACAAGTTATTTTTTAAAGGACAAAATATTCCACTAAAATGTTTAAATATTCATGCGTTTGGGCCGCCGTCAGAAAATGAAGAGGATACAAATTCTTTTACGTTAGATGACTAATTGATATTTTGAAAGTAAAGTTTCTAAAACTGTTAATGCTTTTTTTTGCTTTGGTTAAAAGTTGATAAATTATTCATTTTCAACAACTTTTTTCTTTTAAATAACATATATATGGAGAGATGATTAATAAATCAATGAAAATTGTTAGTGTAAATTAAATTATCTACACTATATTAATTCGCATTTAATTTTCATAGTATTTTATCAAATAAGAATTAAAATGTTAATATACTTATTTTTAAACAAAAAAATAGTTTTTCTTATTTATTTAAATTTCCTTTGATTATAGTTTTTTAATTATAATAACTTTGGTTGTACTGCTATGATGTTACCAATCAGAACTCATATTTGTACTATCATTTTACAAAATCACTATTTGTACCATTATATTTTGTACCATCATTTTTTGTAACATCATATTTTATACCATCAATACACCACTATTCATTACGTTACCAATCGGACCCTTAATCAAAACCGGCTGAATATGTGGCAAGTAAACCAAAAGAAATTGCTGACTGTGATTATTTAAAATGTTTTGATTGGCTTTCTGTTTTTTCTGAGGTGTCAACTCCAGAAACTCTAAAAAATCCTATGTGTCAACATCTTGAGAGGTGCAAAGACTTTTGCTGTGTTGATTATATATCAAAAATGAAGTTGGTTTGAATGAGAATGGAGGTCCAAGTGGGTTGCTTGTATAACATAAAATGTAACATTTGTGAAATGTCCCATATTGGAAGTTTGAGGTGAAATCCTCTTGTATATAAAGTGGAGAATTTAAAGCAAAGTTTAAAAACTTGTGTATTAATAGAAAAAGATGATTACCGGGACGGGACTTGTGTCTCGGCCCTCGGGATTGGCAATCGGGCCAAGGTCCATAAGTTAATTCTTTTTGGCCAGAAATTCTTGCTGAATTTTGATGTTGATTAAGTCAACAAATATCTTCTCTAATTAATTTATTTTAAGTGACAATTAAGGGCATCTCCAATGTATTGCCTCATATTTAATTCCAAAATGAAGAAATCTCAAAATGAAGTTGGGTTTTGCTCCAATGTATTGCCCCATATTTTACTTCAAAAAGAATATTCTAAATATATTCTTTTTGAAAAACTTTTATTAATTACTAATTTGCATTGTATATTTATATATATTACAAATTGCCCCATAATTTTTTTTCTTTAAAACTTTCACAATTTCATTTTGATATGATCTCTAATAAAATTATTTTTCCTTTCTTTTTTAAAATTTATTATTAGCTTAAATAATTAATTTTCCTATTATATATGTGTTATTTATATTTTAGAGTAAAAATAAATATCAAAATAATTAATTATATATCTTAAACTGAAATAATTTAAAACTTGAAGGACTCATATATAAATTATAAATTTCAACTCCAAAATGGAAATGGGATCATCCCCATTTTGGGAAAAAAATATGGCATTTTGCCATTTTGAGATTGGAAATGGAGTTGGGTTGGAGCAAAATTAACTCCAAAATGGCAATAAAGGTGAAATATGGGGCTGGGTTGGAGATGCTCTAAGTGCATAGTCAATATTATTGATTTTGTAACTTAAAGAAATTAAGGTCATAGAGAAGAATTGACCATCTCCACTTTAATGCTACGTTGAGCATGACTTCTTTATAAAGCCAAGTTTTTCTCCATAACATACAACACACAAATATGTGATCAAACACAAGCAACAATAATCTCTCACTTCTCTTCTTTTTTTTTTGGTTTTCTTTATGAGAGTACAACACAGAAAATATGGTTCGAAAGCTTATGTTTGAGTGATGCAATCATAAGAAGTGTGCAGTTTTATCCTGGGATTCGGAACGCTATGCAACCGTCACACTACGGGGCGTTTACATAATTAAGGAAAGAGATCATATCTCGACTCTGCAAATCCGATTTTATTTCCTTAATTCTTGTTTATTTTGTATCATTTTAATATTTTGTTATATTAATTTGTTCATCTTAATACTTTACAATTACCAATCGCCTATTGTAAAATTGCGTTCCTACAACCTTAATTCTGTAAACGCCCTGTAGTGTGACGGTTGCATGGTGTTCCGAATCCCAGGATAAAACTGCACATTTCTTATGATTACATCACTCAATACATAAGCTTGCGAACCATATTTTATGTGATGTACTCTCATAAGAAAAAAAAAAAAAAAAAGAAGTGGGAAATTGTTGTTGCTTGTGTAAGTGTGTGAATGAGAAGACCAAGACTTCAATATATAGCCAAGTGCTCAACAAGAGCCATAAAGTAGAAGATTGACCAATTGATTCTCTTCTTAATTATCTTGACTGAATTTATAAAATTCAATCCTCCATCAATGAGACTGTTAAAGGAGATATTTTTCTTTGTTGACTTAATCAAAAAGAATACATGGTCAAAAGTTTAATCTCATAGACCGTTGGCCCGATTGCCAAATCCCGAAGCCCGAAAACAAGTTCAGCCCGGTTATCTCTTTTCTCCACTTTATATACAAGAGGATTTCACCTCAAACTTCCAATATGGGACATTATTATAAATGTTACATTTTATGTTATACAAGCAATCCACTTGGACCTCCATTTCTCATTCAAACTAACTTCATTTTTGACATATAAATATATTATCAAAAATAAGTTCCAACACGGTTTTCGTCTTCGACGACGCATAACAATAAACCATGGCAGTGCAAGACTTTAGATATCTTGACTTGGTCAAATATACTTACTTGCTTTATCGATGGATCAACCATGTTGACATCGTTGTGGATTCGTTGGAGCTCGAATTTCATTGAATGAACTCTAAAACCCATCAGCACAAACACGATAAACTGCTTACTTGATGTTGCTCTTTTACCAACAATTTGATTTTTGGATAGAGCATTCCAGTTTCTGCAAGTAGATCGCACTGCTGTGAGCGATGTCAATGGAACCCTAAAAAGTATCTCCCCAGCCAAATCATCAAGATCTGACATTTTCGGCATTATTCAAAGGTTTCAACTTCTGTTTTTTTTTTTTTTTTTTTACCCTTGCCCTCTTCTCTATGTTCTAATACATGTATATAGTTAATTAGGGTATAAAAACTATTATTTTCTTTCTAGCTTTAAGTAATAAGATACTTACTATTTAAGTATTTATTAAGCTTGATTCCCAAGCTACAAAAACTTGATTCCCAAGCTATCAACTATTTATGTGTGGAGTTAATAACGAGAATCTATTTACTTTAACCCCTTTTTTTTCTTCCAATCATTAACTTTTTCTATAAGACAATATAAAACCTGGTGTGTATGTGTATAAGCTTGAGCTTTGGCTTAGAAAACCCTGGTTAGGCGAAAACACAAGTGGGTGTGGAATGAAGAATCTAAAGATGACTTTTTCCTCAAAGGAACATGTTAGGTTTGAAGAGTTTAGTGAAGACCCATCTATTTGATTAAGATGGTTCCCAAACTTTGAGCATGTTACAAATGTTAGAGAGAGAGAGAGGGAGAGAGACATGTTATAGATTTAAAAACTTCAATGAATAAAGAAAAGTTTAGGACAGAGCTCAAATCCAAAGGACAAGGCACGTTGAGAGAATCAAGTGCCCACTTGAGAGTTTAATAAGATCTCATCATCAACCATTAAACCCACTGTCGATAGATATACGGTCGTACTTTTCTTCTAGGGAAATTGCACTAAATAGCCTTAGATAATAGGAGAATTAAATGACAATTTCTGACAAGTTTTTGTGCTATCTGTTCATATTAAAAAGTCTGTTTTATCCCTATAGGATGAGTTTCTTTGTTTTACTGGTGTAGCTAAGCATAGGGGGAGTGGGGTCCACATCGCAGGGAAAATTTGTTCCACTTACCTCGCATTGCATCTTGCTAACAAAAATTACGTTAACTTGATAACAACTAACTTGATATCATGCTAACAAAGATTACGTTAATTCTCTAACAAGTAACTTGACACGGTGCTACCAATATTACGACAATCTTGTTAACAATTAATACTTAATCTCCCTCTTAAATACTACATCATTTTGCTAACAGGTTTTTAGTTACCTCGCTAACAAAAAATACATCACTTCGCTAACAAACACCACCTTTTTGCTAACAAACATCACATTATCTTGTTAACAAAGACTATGTTATCTTGCTAATAAAGATCATAACGAATCGTTATTAATGAATTTGTTAGCAAATAATGATTTGCGTGTTATCAAGTAATGATTTGAATATTAGTATGTAATAACTTAAATATTAACATGATTTTAATAATTTTGTTAATAGGTAATGTTAACAAGTAATGATTTAAATGTTAGTATGTAATAATTTGAATGTTAGCAAGTAACAATTTAAATATTAGCATGATTTTAATAGTTTTGTTAATAGGTAATGTTAACAAGATTTAAATCTTAGCATGTAATGGTTTGAATGTTAGCAAGTAACAATTTAAATGTTAGCACGCGTTTAATACTATGTCCACTGAGTTCACCAACTCATATAGGGGTAAATCGGGCAGAATCTCTCTCTGAAAGTATTATTGTTGTATTCTTTATTTCCTAAGTTTCTATGTATATTACTTAAATTTACCTTTTCTTCTATTCTCTTCTTCTCTTTCTTTCTTTTTTTCTCCTTTTCTTTTCATTTGCGTATTCAATGATTGGGTCCCCCTCTAAGCTCAAGCTGCTGTCATCTTAATTATTTTATGTTTATTCGAAAATAAAATTATTTTGTTGGATGTTTTGTAACTTTGTGTGGAGATTATTGATCAGTTTTTGTTGTGTATAATTTATGAGTTGTACTTGTGCCCTTCGAATATTATCCGTGGAAGGGTATACGAATAAATAAGTTAATGTCTTGAATCGGCAATAAGATGTTTAATAATAGAAATCAATTTGATGAGTGCTAAATTTTTGAACTTGTTTTTAATTTCCAGTGTACAGTAGTTGTATATAGTCATACACTCATACTCTAAACTGCTTTGTTGTTCTGGTTAGGATAGATACTTAAAGTGTTACATAATTTTATGCTCTCTTTAATTTATCGATTTGACTGGCAAGTAACCTAACTGAAACTGGAGAAGAATCATATATATGAAAAGGGGCCAACTTTCTCCATATTTTGGATATGTGTACACACAAATAATTGACATGTGGCATAACTTTATATATTCTTTTCAATTAATAACTTTAAACCTAAATTAACAACTTTTCATTTTCCTTACTTTTTAGTTAACAACTTTTCATTTTCCTTTCAATTAACAACTTTAAATATTTTAATTTATTATAATTAAAACTATTCTATAACTTTTAAATTATTATCTTTTAGTTTCCATTTTGAATCAATATTAAACATCTAAATTCTTCTAATATACAAAGAAGCGGATCTAGCGAAAAGCGCTAACGGGAAGCAAAGTCCTTTCCATGTGGTGGTGAGTAAACAAAGAAAATGGATGGCATACATGTGGTATAATGCAAAAAAATATATTTGAAAACACTTGCAAGTTGGAATTAAAATGTAGTTTTAAAAATATATTAGAAAATAAATATAGATTTTTGATTAATATTAGAAAAATTGGTGTTATTAGGGTAAGATTTTTCTAATATTAATCACAAATCTATATTTTTCTAATATATTTTTAAAACTATAACAATAGAAAAACTCGGCGCGGGTATTAATCTAGTATATATGATAAGTGTTCGACTTGTATGCCTCTCTCCTGTGCTGAAATTGAATTTACTCAATAAAAAAATAGAAAAGGAGTTTGGTTAAATAACTAATTCAAAACTGCTTAAACCAAACTGTTTTTGTTTAATATATGGTTTGTACTTTATACATTACAAAGAAGCTGAATTAGCCCTGGGCATTTCGGGTTTTGGGACGGGAATTGACGGGTATGGGACGGGAATGGGAAATTCGGGAAACCAAATATGATTCCCGAAGCATTCCCTTATTATAACGGGACGGGAAACCACGGGAATGGGAAGGGAATGGGAATTTTGGGAATAAAAAAACAATACCCGAAGTCTTAATAAATCGGAAAAATTGAAGATAATATGGGAAATTACGGGAAAAATACGGGAAATATGGGAAAATACGGAAAATTATGGTAAAATTCGGGAAAATATGGGAAAAATTGGAATATTTAAGAAAAAATATCTAATTTTCAATTTTTTATTTTGTAAACGGGAAAATCGGGAAATCCCTTACCCTTCCCTTACCCTTCCCTTACCCTTCCCTTACCCTTTTGAATAAAATAAATGTTCCCAAAAGGGAAATTGCAAATTCCTCATTCCCGAAAAATTCGGGAATTTTTAAACGGGTAAGGTGGGAACGGGATTCCCGTCCCGAAATGCCCAGGGCTAAGCTGAATCTAACTGAAAATAAACTAAGAACGATATGGAGTTGTCCACCTTTGATCAAGGTTACATATTATTTATATAGTTAGGTCTTTTTGAGACCGAGTTGGTTATTTTTGTCTGAGCAAAGTAATGAGCTTCAAGCCTAACTCTTTGTGTCTGTTCCAAGTTGGGAACAAGAACTCACAAGTGCCTAATGGATAGGGTGTGTATTATTTAAGACTTGCGAGATCGTACCGAAAATGCAAATTATTGTTAACTTCGAAGACAATGATAAGATATCGATAGTTACTTAATTACCTTTTTTAAATTAACAAATATGTACTGGTCTGAAATCTGAACATTAAAGATTTGTGACTTGAATCAAGTGCTGTTACATTGGAGCAAATCACAGGGTATCAACTAAATTATGGATATTTTTCCCCTTCTTATGTTTAATAATTCAACACATGTGCAATTTTAGTCAATACATGGCTTTTACATTATGGAGAACTTATAGTTCTTGAATTCTTTCACAACAATGCTAATCATCTCATACAATGATATATCAATTCAAGAAAGACATTTTTCTCCAAAAAAAGAAAAGAAAATCCCACCGTAGTATAATCACGTGGATTATCAAAAGAGAAAAGAGTAGCATCTAAATTCTCGACGATAATTCGTCGAGAAAAAAATCACTAGACCTTAAAAAAAAAAAGCCGCGACCACAAAATAAGAACGGAGAAAAGGAGGAGGAGGAGGAGGAGGAAGAAGAGATCGGCATGGCAGAGACGGGCTGTGAATCTGTGACACCGCTTTTACTATATGTACAATAAGCAGATAAGTAAACCCTTTTTGTGTGGGTGTTTGGTTTTGGAGGTAATATTTAAGAAGTGAGGTTATTGGAGGAGTTAGATTTGTCGAGAATAGACCACATGACGAGAACATCGTCGTATCCACAAGCCATGACTTCTCCTTGAAGCTCTTGTGCCATCCTCCTCTCGTGTTCTTCCCTTGCTTTAGCATCCATTCTTCCTCCATGGCAACCCTTTTGTGACGGTTGCTGCGGTTGGTTGAAGAATGTTGCTGCCTTCTTGAATGGTGTTGCTATTGTTTTCTTCCACGATGCCATTTTTTTTTGTTTACTAAATTCTTAAAAAACAATGTAGACCTTCTTCTTCCAATTAAAGATGCGGATTGGGAGAGCTCGAGAACGACTTGTTATGTGTATTTATACACATAGTCACACACCTACACTCTCTTTCTCTTTCTTACGACATAATAATAATAGTTATTCATTATCATTGAATAAACTAAAGAGTAATTAGTAATGCTAAAGCATAGGGGAGAGAGAGGCAAGATCCGTAATAAGAGCTTCCAAGAAACATCACTTTGCTTAATTTTTTTTTTGTTTCTTAAACTTTTTTACTTTTTGTTATCCATTGAACATCGTTTAGGCCTCTCCCTACCCTCCCACATGCCTCCCCACGTGATCTCTCCCTCTCTTTCTTTTTTAGTTTAACCCACAAACATTATCTCTCTTTTCCCCTTTTACATTCGATTCGACAAGTTGTGTGACCAAACCGAAATCAACCGAACGAACCAAATCAATATATACGTATTACATCGTAGATGAAGTCAAGAGTTTGCCTTTTCCCACACCTTAGTACTGACAATTGAATCATCAAATGCTTACTGCATTTCCTCATTCCCATCCACTTCCCATAGTATTAGATGTGCCCATTCTCCCTTTTTTTATTTATCCACTTTTCCATCATTAATTCTAGATATGTATTTTTGTTTGTGCTCTTACTTCATATAGATACGTAGGTACCAATTTTTCTTAATACGTCAAATATACAGGTACCAATTGTAAATTTCTTTTCCACTTCAAAAAGAAATCGTGGTTAGGTTATGTTAATTCAAGTTAAACTATTTTCCTTATATTAACTCAAGTTATGCAAGTAGATCAAAGTTGGTGGATGGAAAATGGTAAGAATGTACAAAATTGGAAGGACCAATGAACTAGGAGAATGAGGTGGGCACAGATTGGTCAGCAATAGGCCATGTGATTTCCACATGTTTCTCTGCTTCTCTATCTCTTACCCTCGTTTCATTCACCTCTTTGTATTTAAATTTTTCTTATTTTATATGTTTTTCCTACTCGCTAGATATATACATATGTACATCCACAGACCACAGTGTTTTGCATCAACTTAATCTATGAGGTTATACAGAATTTCTTAAAAATATATATCAATCGTTTCGCATTGCACAAAACTTTCTTTCTCATTTTTTGCTGTTCACTCAAGCTTTTCTTTCTTTGATAATCTTAACCTTTACGACTTTACCTTTTATTGACTCTTTTGTTTGTTTAGTTAGAGTTGTTTGATATGGGTTTTTTTTTTTTTTTTTTTTTTTTTTTTTTTTTTAATATCTGATATTATTATTAGATAGTAAAAGGAAAATACAAATAGTTTATCAAGAAACATGGAATATTATACAACATATATACATAGGACTTATAAACACTCTTGGATAATTTGTCTGCAACTTTATTTTTCTCTCGATTGACAAAATTTACTTATCCAATGTCGAATATCACTCAGCAAATTGCCTAACTCTGTACTCTCTTCCTATATTTATCAAATTTTGTTTGGTATCAATATTGAGATATAGGGTATACGTCTATACGATCCATATTGAATTTGACACTTACATTTTTTTTGTTGGTCACGAAAAATTGACACTTAATCTAAATTTGCAACTGTTTTCATTCCATCGATCGATTTGTAGATTAATTTCATGTTGTTCATACGTTATACGGACTGGACATTTGGAATTTAGCCGTATGCACGCACCAAATTACAAGATTCCTTTTTCAAATGTACGATACATTCATGTTTAGTTTAACTAAAAGGGAACCCAAGAAGTAAAACTAACGTAGCTTAAAAGTAATGCTTTCATTTTGTTCTTTTGATATCAATTTTAAAGTTAATAAATGCATTGAAAAGCATCTTTTGCATGAGAGGAACCGTGGCAGTGCATGTATCATCTTCTCGTTACAATAGAATCTGTTGTTTTATTTTTTTTAAATCATTTTTTTGTAAAAAAAAAAAGAAAATCCTCTTATATTTTATTTTTTGTTTTCCGGAAATACAAAAATCCTCCTTTAATTTGGTTTGTAGCATCCCACATGGCAGCCAACAGACTCTGCTCATTGGTGCGTAATTATTTTCTCTTTCTCTCAAAGTTTATAATTGTAGAGAAAAAAGTTTGTATATAAATGTTGTAGAACATGATTTGGTTCGTGGTTCTATGATCACACATTCGGAGGTACCCTCGAGACACGATGGATTTAATCAAATGGCTATAACTTTTTTTTGGGGTTAATAATTGGTTATAACTTATAGATGTGGTTTCGTTTTTTTACTACTATAATTCTTTATACCATTTAAAAATTCGTGACGATAAGTTAAAGAAAATAACATGCAGAATCTAAACCATGATGATTGGATGGTATTATTTCAATTCTTTTCCTCAACATTTTAGGTCGGTGAGATTCAAATATACTGTTACAAAAGAATGACGTTTAGAAACAAGAAATTTAAATAAAAAATCTAAAGGGTGTGAAGAAGTAGAAAAATGGGAGCTAATTGTTTATTTGTTTGTTGACTGATGAAAACAGAGTGGCGGTTTGGTCGGTCCGTAAATTAGGTGACTTATACGAGTTTCCGGTGCCTCCCCAACTCTGACTTCCTCTTTTTCTCTCTTTCACACTTTCCATTTAATTTAAAATTTTATATTTGTGTAACGTTTTTCCATATAGTATGACTAAATATAGTAAATCAGCTTTGACTAATGAATTCTGTTTTCGCGTTTTCTGCAAAAAGGAAAAGGTATATATATTCCTGAACGTTTTGTTGGTATGGATGTAATAATATTTTATGATGGTTGTTGATTCTTACTGTACTTGAAGACTTGAAGACTTTGAAGTGTTAGACCAATTGTACTTGTTACGCCGACAATTAAATAAATGATTTTTCGAATAACATAAGTCTTTTGTATTTTCCGTGATATTCGTGACGGAGAAATGAAACCTATAAGTTAATTTCACACCAAAAAAGGTTATTTATACAAGATGAAACCAGGTGTTGCTAACTTGTTATCCACTTGATTTTAATCACAAAGTTTTCATTTAGAAGAAGTTAGTCAAAATCCAAAATGTCTAAACAAAGTTTCTAACGGGAGATTTCTCAAATTTTAAACTAGGAAAGAAAGCCCACGGGCTTTTCAGCTATTTACAAAGTTGGATTTATATTTTCCAACTTTTTGGCGATGAGCTTATGTCACTCGAAACTATAGATAAATACCAAAATTGATAAAAATCTGGCCTTCTCCGTAGAAGAATGTTGATGGTTTCTGTATTATAAATTGGCAGAGTTTAGAATCCCATATCAAAACTAGAAACGGATAAAACTGATCCTTAAAAGAAAATGGGATTTGATCCTTAGTCAAAAACCATTTTTTGAAGGAAATGTGTACTGTAATTTTTTTTTAAAATATTTACATGTATGCAGTATGCATATAGTTAGATCGTTCATATAACTACATATATAATAATAACTATTTTTATTGACTGATGACGGTGCCAATTGAGAGCTTAAAAATCTCATTATTATTCAAATTAACAAACAAAAAGTTGCACATAATTAATCTAACAAACACTCGTTGCCAAAAAAAAAAAAAATTAATCTAACAAACACAGGATATAGTAAGTTACTATATATTTTTAACATGAACTAATTAACACAAGTTATTAGATAAACACATGAGGAAGTGAAAAAAAAAAAAGGGGAAAGCATGGAAAACACAACTCAAGGAGTAAGAGTTTTGTAATCAGGATCAGGGACTCGGTTCTCGTAAAACTTAGCGATAAAAGAAGTAGCTCTTCTATCGACCCCTGGCTCAGCGATCCAAAGCCGACCATCTTCATCACTGGTCATGATTCTTGACCTTATGATCACTCCTTCTTCACTCCAATCATCTCCACTGTTGGAGCAGCAAGGTAACAAGGCTCTTATTACTGAAAACGTTGACGATTTCTTGTTCCTACCCATCTCGATTTATCTTATGCATGTAATATACAATCACTCGGTTTGAAAATATGCATACATGAAAGTTTTCATATTTATAGAAAGAGAGAATAGGAAGTAGCTTGGAAATTGTGATATACAAATATATATAACCTCTCGTGTATACAATATGCCTTGAACACGTACATTCGTATCTCTTCAATATTATAATACCTGATCTCATACGAGGTTTAAAATAACATTATTGTCTAGAGAAATGCATTCGTGACCGACCGATGGATGCATGGCTGTAAAAGTGAAGAACTTCTTTTGAGATGAGAGAATAAGTTCTCATCCTTTGCAGTTTGCATGTACAGTGTCAGTATGTGGATCGGAGGATCAATCGTATTGTTAATTAGTTTATAACTTTATATAGTGTAGTACTATTTAACGTATGATAGATATATGGTCTTCATAATATATTCATGTATCAAGAATAATCAAGCTTATGTCTATACTACTAAATTATATACTTCAGCTTTTGTCTTTATATTTTTTTGTTCTTGTGTATATGATTGCAAGAACCAATATTGATTTTATTCAACAAGATGCCCACTATTTAAATCAAATGTTGGACAGTTTTATTGTAAGTTTTCTCTTCACAATTTTCTGATTAAATAAGTTTTGTCACATCACATTTATGGAATTTTGAACTGTACAATAAGTTGCTGCTATATGCCTATGTCATATTATCCCATCTCTGGATTCTCTGCAAACAAAACTCAACCATCATCATTAAACAAAAAAATTTGATATGTTCATCTGTGCATTCCTCCTATAAATATGAAAACGTTGACGATTTTTTGTTCCTACCGGTGATCGGTTGACTACAATGCATACATCAAAGTTTTCATACTCATAGGAAAGGGGGAGAGAGAGAGAATGTAGCTACGAAATTGTGATATACAATAAACAACCTCTCGTGAATACAATATGCCTTTTAACACGTACGTTCATTCGTACGTATCGCTTATAATACATGAACTATACGAGGTTTAAAATAACATTATTGTCTAGAGAAAATGCATTGGTGAGTGGGTGACCGACTGAGGGATGCGTGGCTGTAAAAGTGAAGTGTTTCTTTTGAGATCATGAGAATATGTTCTCAACCTTTGCTTAATAAGGCCGATGTCTTATTATATTAGCATATCTTATTTTATCGTTAGAAAATAAAGTCGATGGTCTATACAACTAATAAACGATATTCATCTTCCTCCTACTCTTTGGTTCGTCTCTCTGTTTTTGGTATTTATTAAACATACACATATTTATGACAAACTTCACCAGGATCTTTTAAGTGACTAAGCAGTCATTAATTAACAGTATTGTATTTGAGTAAGATAACCAAAATCATTTTTCAAAGCAAAGAAAAAAGAAAAGAAAACAAAAGAAAATCCAGCTGTTGTATCTGTTAACTAAACAGAAACATCAAACAACCCTAATTAATAATTTGACTAATCTCGTTGCCACCACTCACCAGGGTTACTGCCTTTGTTGGAATTTCAACTAAACTTGGAACATAACTTATGAGAAGTGGACATTGCCATGACCATGATCCCGTTGGAATCTCTCTATAGACTTCTTTATGAATATCTTCTCCAACAACGTAAACTGTGGTCCTATAGTCATCGTCCATGTCTGTATCACAACACAAGACCTTTTTAGTCTCTTCGTCCACCAAGAAACTCGACGCCCTAGTCATACCATGTATGCCAAGTTTATTGAAATCGACTACTAAGAATTCGCTCCAGGACAAGCCTTTGGCCTCATCAGTCTGAGTATTGGTCAACCATATCTTCATCTTGAGATCATTAACCATATCAAACCACAGCTGACGTAACACCGCGAGTTTCTCTTCTCTGACAACTGATAGAACTGCAAGCTCTTCATTATAACCATGACTCGGAAACGGAAGAGGCAGACGTTCAAATCTCTCTCTTGTGAAATCAAACCTGACTATGTGATTAATCAGACCGTCTACTTCATCTGAATCTAACCAATACGTATCTCCCTTTAAAGACACGCTAACCTCGGAACAAGCGAACCACTCGTGAGTGACATCAAGAACCCTCCATGAATCGGAGTTAAACTCATAAATTTCAAACTTCGCAACTGTGGCGCCCTGGTCGTTGTTATCATAGCTACATCTCAAGATTTTGTAGCTATTGCACGATTTGTTGTTGTTTTCGTATCCTAGAAAACACGAATGGTGCATTGTACTAGATTGTATCCACCTGGTTTGGCCAGTACAAGGGTTCCAAACCACGAGTCTCTTGTCTTTGGTCTTGCATAATATCAAACCTTCACAGTGAGAGATTTCAGATACCTTGACATCTTCTGAATCCTTTGGACTCTCAAGTTTACCCGTAAACTCAATAAACTGATCATACCTGTTGTGGATTCCATGGAAATCGATGTTGAAGGGAAGAACAGATTTCTTTTTCTTTAAGAGCATCTGTGTTGCAGCTTTACCAGAGTTCTTCTTGATAAAGCTCGGTTCTTTAGTTAAATTGTACCATCGTTTGCAAGTAAATCGAAACTTCTTTAGAAACGTGGCCGGAACCCTAGATAGTATTTCCGATTCTACTTCCCATAAGAGATCAGTAAACATCATTGTTTCTCTTTTGATTTCTGAGCTAAACCCTCAAGGAAGAAAGCGACGGAGCAAAGAAGGAAATTAGGCTTTAGTTTTAAAATTCAAAATTTGTATAAATAAAGAGAGGGTGCCGCAAAATATAAAAGGAAAATAGAATTAGGTTTTGATCGAGTGTCTCAACAAAACACAATTAGGGTTTCCAAATACGACTTACTATCGCTATCCAGTAATGTGAGCTGTGTAATTACTGTGGCATTTGTTTTCATCTTAACAAAGAATGATTTTCTTCTCCTCGTCGTCCAAGACGATGAAACTATATCTTATTCGAAAAGCAAAGACTACGAGTGCATAATCCACGGTTGAGAACTTGCTCCACAACAAGACTTTGATGTGACCAATCGTATTATTGTTATTCGTAAATTACCCATATATGCAACTTCAGTGTATCAAAGCTCATAGAGTTATAGCAGATATATGACCGGGAGAAAGTTAAGAAGGTTGAAAACGTCTACTTTGAAATTAACCTCTGTTGAAACATCAAAACTTATGAGAATGATTTCATAATATTGTGTAACATCATAAACAAGACAGTAAGATTTCCTCTCATCAAAAGACACACCACGTTCCAGTGTGGACCAACCATCCGAAAGGGACGTATTCATCAAGAAATTTCCATGAGTTTATAATCATTGATTTTCAACCTTTTGCGTCCAAGGAGTGACCAACAAGTTATGTGTGATTCACCAAGGGTGATATCTCTGAATTTATCCTCCAATATTGTATACCAAGTTTCTGGTGAAACCCTAGTATTTATATCAAACCGAAACTTTCTTATCATCTTATTATATCCAATCGCTCTTCTCTAATACACTGAAATGGAAGACACTACAGATCTATAAAATACCTCTTTTAATTTGAAAGATAAAAAATCCAAACTTAATTAGTAAGAAGGCTGCTTCTTCTTCTACTACTTTACATCCTCAAGTAGCCTAGTAAGTTTTTCCTTCCAAACATACACCATGAGGCTGAATGGTCCAGCAAGAAACAGATATATATATATATATATATATATAGTCAATAAAGAGATTTGGAACATGGGGAGAGTTTTATGCAAGTTACAACTTTAGACGTTGAAATCTGCTTTGTGCTCTTGTTAGATAGTTACAATAAGTTATATCCTGCGATTGCAACCATCTCTTTGTTTTTGGTATTTATTAAACACACACATATAGAGAACAAACTTCACCAGGATCGGTAAGTGACTATAAGCAGTCATAAAAAAAAAATTGTATTTGATCAGTAGCATCACCAAAATTCTTTTTTAAAAGCAAAAAGAAAAAAATCTCGTTCTAATTAATAATTCATAATTGAGTTATCTCATTCAAAGAAACTAGCTATACGTAACTGAATCAACTTGCCACCTTTTTCTTTTGCCACCAGGATTACTTTGCCTTGTCGGAATTCGAACGAAGCTTGGAACATAACTGAAGAGAAGTGGTCTCTGAGAGCGTTTTAAAGAAGGGGGTTCCCAATCCAATACGGACGGGTTCTCTTTCATCTCTCGATACACTCGTTTATGTATATCCTCTCCAACAATGTAAATTCTGGTCAGGACTTCGTGAAAAAAGCAGCACATGGCCCTTTTATTCTCCTCGTCCACTAAGAAACTCGTCACCTTGGTCCTATTATTTATCATAAGTTTACCCAAATCCACTACTAAGAATACGCTCCACGATAAGTCGTCTTTGGCTTCATCAGTTATATTATTGGTCACCCATATCTTCATCTCTAAACTTCCAAGCCTCTGATGTAACATCGCTAGTTTTTCTTCCCTCACAACGGATAAAACTACAACCTCTTGATCATCATAATAATTATTCACCTGAAAAGGAAGAGGTAGACGTCCAAAACTCTCTGATGTGAAATCATATACGAGTATGGAATTAATCAGATCAGGCTCTTCTTCATCATCTGAATTTAACCAGTAAGTATCTCCCTTCAAAGACACGCCACGTGATGCTATGCTCCAACTATGAGTATCATCATCAAGAACCCTCCATGAATCAGAGTCAAAATCATACGTTTCAAATTTACGAACTGTGGCATCCTGGTCGTCAAGATAAGTGCTACAACTAAAGATTTTGTAGCTATCGAACGAATATTTGTTGTTGTTTTTGTATCCTAGAAAACACGTATGGTACATTGCACTAGATTGGATCCACCTGGTTTGGCCAGTACAAGGGTTCCAAACCACGAGTCTCTCGTCTTTGGTCGTGCATAACAACAAACTTTCACACTGGAAGATTTCAGATATCTTGACATCTCCTGGATCCTTTAGATTCTCAAGTTTACCTGTAAATTTGATAAATTGATCATACCTGTTATGGATTCCATGGAGATCGAAGCTGAATGAGTAAACCGATTGATATTTCTTTAAGACCATCTGCGTTGCAGCTTTACCACCCAAGTTTTTCTTGATAAAGAACGGATCTATAGATAAAGCGTACCATCTTTTGCAAGTGAATCGCAACTGTTTCAGAGATGTGGCCGGAACTCTATAAAGTATTTCTGTTTCCAATTCCCATGGAAGATAGGTAGCTTTCATTGTTTCTCTTTCAATTTCTGACCTTCTTGCCCAAGGAAGATAGCGAGAGGATAGGTAAGAGAAAGGAAGAAAGCTAGAGGGTAGCGAAGAGGAAGAGGAGATAGGGTTTTAAGGTTAACAAAAACAAAAATTAGGGCTTTCACTTATAATATTCACAATTATGTACAGAGAGGGGTATATAAGTCTAAGAAGAAAACCGGCAAGAAAATTAAAAGGCATACCAAAAAAAATAGTGAATGTTTATCATCAAGCTCATGATGACTTTGAAGAACGTTAGGGCATCTAAGAAAGCAACCGTTCATCGTCACCAACTCTTGGTGAACGTTAATGCACATTTATGTTATTAATGTATATGTCTCAATGATGTTGAATAAGTCCAAAGTTGTAACACTGATCTCAGTTTATAGATAGCTCAATATGATTCTTCTTTTATTCAAGATATATAGGGTTCTCAAAGTGAAACCTCTTTCTTTGTATTGTATAGAAACCAGTTTCCTTTGAATACATATACATAATGGGGCCGATATAAGACCGAAATCTGCTCTTATCTATCAACTGATAGAGCCACAGATGCCTTTAAAAAAATCACATTGAAATGGAAGACTTAATTAGACGTTGATATCAAAATTTCAGAGGCCACCAAGAACATATATTTTCCATTCTCTCTTTGCTTTCCTCTTTCTAGTTTTTCTTGTTGCCTCTTCTGATATTATAAATAGCAACATCTGCAAAAGTTAATTGCTCTATCTTGGTAACATCCTATAAAGAAAAATATAAATTTGGATTTCTGGATGCACTTCTCAATAAGTCTGTAATGTTTTCCTTTCATTAATGCCGCTACTACAAAGTACACACACACATTTTCGTGCTACAACAACATGTACTTATGTTGGAAGAAGCGTTTATTGCAACTACTATTTCGGTTAAAAATTCTTTGTTTCTTCTTAAGTAACTTAATTCTGCTTCAAATTGCAAAACAAGAGATGATTCTTTTTTTTAATAATAATTGCCTCAAAAGACCATCTCAAAAGGAAACAGATCTCACTGCTCTATTAGATATATGTCATCGGTAGCCAAATCCCTTGGAAGATCGTGTTGGAACATAATTGAGTTGTCAAGAGTTGTCAAGGAAACGTGAGAAGAGCTTGAGAGACTTGAAGGAGACATGGAGAAGGCTTGCGGGTCAGAGAAAACCTAGAGTTCCAATGTCTGAACAAGAGATCCAGAAGATGCTCACGCAAGAGGTGTGAAGCATAATAAAGAAGACATTACTCTTGAAGAAGACAGAGTTTAAAAGTTTAAGGAAGCAACTTGGAGTTAGATCCAAACTCAACTAAGGGGGAGTGTTGGAACATAATTGAGTTTGCTCTAACATTTATCTCTTTTAGTAACTGTTGTGACGGTTTGCTTTGGATAGTTTTATAAAGAGACACAAGTATGAAGAGACACAACTCTTGTGTTGTTGTATCTGTTTATGATCTATATAAACCATTGTTGTTGTAATGTAAACAATATAATCAAGTAATCTTTCTTACTCTGTTTCTAAATCAAAATCTAGCTAACAAATCGGACAGCATCTTGTTTAGGTTACTTTACAAAAGTTGCTGGCCCTACTCTTTGGTTCTCTTTGTTTTTGGTATATAGGAGTATTAAACATACACATATTTATGACAAACTTCACCAGGATCGTTAAGTGAAGCAGTCATAAGTTAACAATATTATATTTGAGTAAGATAACCAAAATCATTTGTCAAAGCAAGAGTATGAAAAAAGAAGAGAAAACAAAAGAAAATCCAGCTGTTGTATTTGTTAACTAAGCAGAAACATCAAACAACCTAATTAATAATTGACTAATCGCGTTCAATGAAACTTATCACCTTTTTCCTTTGCAACCAGGACTACAGCTGCCTTTGTTGGAATTTCAACTAAACTTGGAACATAACTTATGAGAAGTGGAGGATGATGGGACCCTGATCCCTTTGGAATCTCTCTATAAACATCTTTATGAATATCTTCTCCAACAACGTACACTCTGGTCCTATCGTCATCGTCCATGTCTGTATCACAACACAAGACCTTTTTAGTCTCTTCGTCCACCAAGAAACTCGACGCCCTAGTCATACCATTTATCTTAAGTTTATTGAAATCCACTACTAAGAATTCGCTCCAGGACAAGCCTTTGGCCTCATCAGTCTTAGTGTAGGTCAACCATATCTTCATCTTGAGATCATTAACCATATCAAACCACAGCTGACGTAACACCGCGAGTTTCTCTTCTCTGACAACTGATAGAACTGAAACCTCTTCTTCATAATAATTATGACTCGGAAAAGGAAGAGGTAGACGTTCAACTCTCTCTTGTGAAATTAAACCTGACTATGGTCACACCGTCTTCTTCATCTGAATCTAACCAATAAGCATTTCCCTTTAAAGACACGCTAACCTCGGAACGATCGAACCAATCGTGAGCGACATCAAGAACCCTCCATGAATCAGACTTAAACTCATAAATTTCAAACTTCTCAACTGTGGCGTCCTGGTCGTTGCGATAATAGCTAAAGCTCAAGATCTTGTAGCTATTGTACGATCTGTTGTTGTTTTCGTATCCTAGAAAACACGAATGGTGCATTTTACTAGATTGTATCCACCTGGTTTGGCCAGTACAAGGGTTCCAAACCACGAGTCTCTTGTCTTTGGTCGTGCATAATAGCAAACCCTCACAATGAGAGATTTCAGATATCTCGACATGTTCCGGATCCTTTAGACTCTCAAGTTTACCTGTAAACTCAATGAACTGATCATACCTGTTGTGGATTCTATGGAGATCGATGCTAAATGCATAAACCGATTGATCTTTCTTCAAGACCATCTGCGTTGCTGCTTTAGTACTCAAGTTCTTCTTGATAAAGCTCGGGTCTTTAGATAAAGCGTACCATCTTTTGCAAGTGAATCGCAACTTTTTAAGAGATGTGGCCGGAACCCTAGAAAGTATTTCTGTTTCCAATTCCCATGGAAGATGGGTAAATTTCATTGTTTCTCTTTTAATTTCTACCTGGTTGCGCAAGGAAGAAAGCGAGAGGATAGCCAAGAGAAGGAAGAAAGCTAGAGGGTAGCAAAGAGGATTAAGAAGAAGAGGAATAGGGTTTTAAGGTTATACAAAAAAATAAAAAAATAAAAAAGGGTTTTAACTTAACAGTAACACGTATCTAATTTTAATTAAGCTTATTTGAGATTTTAGTTTATCATACTTACACTCCTCTCATATTTTAATCTATGAGTCTCTAATAGGACATAAAAGGATGGTTTTAAATCATAATTACATTGAATTGGAGGCTGTGAATGATTAGAGATTTCCAATGCGCCAAGTATTGGCTTTGTGTTGCCAAAACATATATGGCCTTTGTTCAAAAAAAAAAAAACATATATGTTTGGTTTCCATCAACTTCTGTTACAATATTTTTGATCTCGCTCATTCCTACCAAGAACAATCAGCACCAAAGGGAGTTCCTGATCTTATCATCTTTACTAAAATCCAAACTTAGTAAGAAGGCTGCTTCTTCTTCTACCACTTTACATCCTCAAGTAGCCTAGTAAGTTCTTCCTTTCAAGCATACACCATGAGGCTGAATGGTCAATAAAGCGGTTTGGAACATAGGGAGTTTTATACAAGTTACAACTTTAGACATTGAGATATGCTTTGTGCTCTTGTTAGATAGTTACAATAATAAATTTCCTGCGAACGCAACCATCTCTTTGTTTTTGGTATTTATTAAACACACACATATAGAGAACAAACTTCACCAGGATCGGTAAGTGACTAAAAGCAGCCATAAAAAAAAATTGTATTTGATCAGTAGCATCACCAAAATCCTTTATAAAAAGCAAAGAAAAAAAAAACCATCGTTCTAATTGACTAATCTCGTTCAAAGAAACTAGCTATACGTAAATGAATCAACTTATCACCGTTTTCTTTTGCCACCAGGATTACTTTGCCTTGCCGGAATTCGAACCAAGCTTGGAACATAACTGAAGAGAAGTGGACTATCATAGGGAACTAAATAATGGCGTCGTTGCTTAACCTCTCTATAGATCTCTCTAAAGATCTCTCTATAGACTTGTTTGTGCATATCCTCTCCAAAAATGTAAATTATGGTCCTCGTGTCTTCGTCTAGAAAGCAACACATGACCCTTTTATTCTCCTCGTCCACCAAGAAACCCCTCACCTCTTTCATATCATCTATCATAAGTTTACCCAAATCCACTACTAAGAATACGCTCCACGACAAGTCGCATTTGGCTTCATCAGTTATAGTATTGGTCACCCATATCTTCATCTCTAAACTTCTACCCCTGTGACGTAACACGGCAAGTTTTTCTTCTCTGACAACAGATAGAAATGAACTCTCTTGATTATAATCATACCTATCAGCACGAAAAGGAAGACGCAGACGTCCAAATATCTCTGATGTGAAATCATATACGAGTATGGAAGTAACTAGATCAGGATCTTCTTCATCAAGTGAAAGATTTAACCAGTAAGTATCTCCCTTCAAAGACACGCCAAGTGATATTATGTACCGATCGTGAGTGAAGTCACCAAGAACCCTCCATGAATCAGAGTTAAACTCATACGTTTCAAGCTTACGAACTGGGTCTTTCCGGCCGCCAAAATTAAAGCTAATACTCATGATTTTGTAGCTATCGAACGAATATTCGTTGTTGTTTTTGTATCCTAGAAAAAACGTTTCGTGTCTTCTACTAGATTTCATCCACATGGTTTGGCCAGTACAAGGGTTCCAAACAACGAGCCCCTTGTCTTTGGTCGTGCATAACAACAAACCTTCACACTGGAAGATTTCAGATATCTCGACACCTTCTGGATCCTTTAGACTCTCAAGTTTACCTGTAAACTTTATGAATTGATCATACCTGTTGTGGATTCCATGGAGATCGATGCTGAATGAATAAACCGAATTATATTTCTTTAAGACCATCTGCGTTGCAGCTTTAACACCCAATCTCTTCTTGATAAAGCTCGGATCTTTAGATAAAGCGTACCATCGTTTGCAAGTAAATCCCAACTGTTTTAGAGATGTGGCCGGAACTCTTAAGAGTATTTCTGTTTCCATTTCCCATGGAAGATAGGTAAATTTCATTGTTTCTCTTTTAATTCCTGAGCTGGTCGCCCAAGGAAGAAAGCAAGATGATAGCCAAGAGAAAGGAAGAAAGCGAGAGGGTAGCAAAGAGGAAGCCGAAGAGGAGATAGGGTTTTAAGTTAACCAAAAAAAAACAATTAGGGTTTTAACTTAATAATATTCACAGTTATGTACAGAGAGGGTATATAAGTCTAGGAAGAAAACCGGCGAGAAAATTATAAGGCATACCAAAAAAAAAGGTGAATGTTTATCATCAAGTTTTCAGTGGTTGAAGGAGAGAGACAAAAGCTCATGATGACTTTGAAGAACGTTAGGGCATCTGAGAAAGCAACCGTTCAATCGTTCATCGTCAGCAACTCTTGGTGAACGTTAATGCACATATGATTGTTGATTCATATTGAAGTAGACAAGAAAAGAAAAAAAAAGACATTACTTTGCGGGTCATAAGAATTCGTTACGTGTTTCTTAATTATTACAAACTCCATTTGGGTCATCTAATACTAATAAATCAGCAGTCACCTCATGGCCTGTATGAACGACACGTGTCCTCAGTAATTCCAAATAATTTATTTTTCATTTATTTCAAATATAATTATTATTTTTATTCTTTATTTTCGTTTTTTTAATTGAAAAACCTTTTTCTTTATCCCCAAAACCACGATCTCTTCTTCTTCCCCAAAACGGCAAAACCCACGATCTCTGAATCTCTTTTCAAACTTCCACGATCTCATAATTCGAATTTCACTTTCATCACATATATAGTTCGATCTCAATTCTCAAACAGGGAACTGACTAAATTTCTTCTTCTTCTAAAATCAAGGTATCTCTATACTAATCAAATTTTCACTTGCATAATTGTTTTTGGTTTTATTCATCACGATTTCTCATATTGATTTGTAGATCTGAATGATTAAAATCAGATTACTTTACAGATTTCCTTCTTCTTCCATATGTTGATTGATAGAATAGTTTCATGTTCTGAATCTGGAATTTCTTTGTGTAGATCCAATCTCAAATGCACCGATGGAGACTCAAGTTGTGACAGTAGCTTGGGCTTTTCACTTTTAAGGAAAACAGGTAACCAATTTCGATCCATGGGTTTTTTTTTCTGGTATATTTCCTCTTCAGTTCTCTAATGGAAATTTCGAATTTGCTTCTAATTCTAACCTTCAAATCATGTTTTAGTCATGTATACGATTTTATCGAAAACATCAATCATGAGTTTTGTGATTCTAGATACTAAGGATTAGATGTGAGAATAATTAGTTAAGTTTTTTTATTCTGGGTTATTTTGATTTTTATCTGTTTGTTGGTCTGCTTTAGCTTTTCTTTTTCTGAAATCAACCAGAAATAATCTCAGAAGCCACCTACTTCTTTCACCAAATCATAACTAAATTATTTTGATGTTTTGAGATTGTTTTTGGGATTACTCTTCTGAATGTGACTGAATTATTTTCCACAACAGCATTTTTCTTACGGTTAAAATGGCAGGTTCAAAGACGCTCTATCACACCTCTATCGTTTCAGCTTTCAACGATATGGTTCTATCGATTTTCTTCTCGACAAGGTCTTTCTCTTCCTTTTCTTATTTTGTTTCTTCTATAACTACTTTCCTGTGTTTATGATATTTTTAATGACCTGTAGTTGGCATAAAGACAGTAACGGGACAAAACTTAGAAGCAACATTGTGAGAAGACATCCCAAAGCTACTCGGCGATTTTGGGATAACACTTTGTCCATACATTCATGTTATTAGAATGAATAGTCTAGAAGATTCATATTGGATTATTTTATCCAAAGACTTTGTCGCTAAATTTATTTAGTATTTCGAAAGGTTATATTTGTGTTTAACCATTTGTAAATCTTACTCATTGACATACATAAATTTCGACACGTGATTCCACATAACTCACTCAGTAGCAGATGTTTGTTTATCAGTAGCAGCAAGTTTGTCTTAACCATTTGTATATATTTCTATCTATAACTTTGTATAACTGCTTTTAATTATGAATTTGCTTTGTCTGGAGTAATTAGGTTATCCATGTTTTGTGTAATCATCTATTTCAGTCTATCTTGGATTCTGTTTGTGAGTTCAGTTTATAATTCCAATATTGATGTGTAACTAAAAAAAAAACTTACACTAAAAAAAACAATTTTATAGATAATTTCATTACTATAAAAGTTCAAGTCCGTGCATTGCACGGGGCACAATACTAGTTTTTTATAACTCAACAACACGTATCAAAATTTAATTAAGCTTATTTGAGATTTTAGTCTATCATATAGGTGGTATTAGTCTTACACTCCTCTCATATCTTATATATAATTAGGGAGTTGCTCTCTCCATCTAGAGTGTCCACATCAGCACAAAAACATTAAATTGTATTTAAAATATTTAATAAATATATGACTATTCATATTTCTTTACATTTATTCATATTTAATAAAAATATACAATTAAATTAATTAATTAATAGAAAGTATGTGATAATTTGATGTCAAAAATTGTAAAAAAAGTTAGAATATAAAATAGAAATGGAGTAAAGAAATATTTAACTTCAAATAGTATATATTAACCTTTTTATTCAAAGGATTTATCCTATTCAAAAATGTTAGAATGTGTTTACAAGTTAAAAAGTTGATTATAAATCAATTAAGATAATAGAAAGCTAATGAAACATTAGAGTTAGAGTTTTTTTTTCTAAACAAATAGAAATGGAGTTTTATATGTAAATTTCAAAACCAATACAAATAGAAATGGAGTTTTATATGTAAATTTCAAAACAAATAGAAATGAAGTTTCAAAACCAATGTTTTTAAACCCGGACCGGACCGGTGGTCCGACCGGATTCAACCAAGAACCGGGAGAGTGAAAGGTCTGGGTTATTATTGAAAACCGAAAGTAATTGAACCGGATAACAGCCCATATTCGACTGGCTATAAACCGGAAACTGGTAAACCATTAAACCGGATTAACCCCGATTTACAATTTTAACATTAGTTTTTTCTATTTTCATGAGGTAAGACAAACATGATAACCACTACACTACAACATCTAAGTTGACCACTATGTCAAGGTTTTTTTTCTTATTATTATTTTTATTAAGGTAAATTTGATTATTCTTAAAATATCATTGAACCAGATCGAACCTGTTAAACCATATTGACCCATGACCCAAAATATTTCCGGTTCAGTCACCGGTCCGGTTTTAAAAACATTGCTCAAAACATGAAAGTTAACACAAAACCATCGTAATTCAAATCAACAAGTATAAATAAAATTAAACAGAAAAACTATCACAAACAACCCCGCGCTTGCGCGGGGCTTCAAACCTAGTATTATCAAATGTGGTTGGTATACTGTTTGATCATTGTTTCTTTAATTCTTTCATTCCCAAATAAACAAATAATAACTGCCACAATAATAGTCTTCCCTAACAAACAAAAATGAATAAAAGTAAACAATAATTGCCATGCCGTGTCACACGAATCATTATAAGATAAACATATTTCATAACTAAAAATATTCTCGTCTTTCTTCATCATTATAAGATAGAAAATCGACTTCATAATGTGATGAGCGTGGCTAAGATTTTTAAATTAAGTACGACAAACTCACAATGCATTTTAAAACTATAAGCTTGGACATTGATTTGATTTTTTTTATATATTGACATCTTTTGGATTTAAGCTCTCACCATCAAACCTCTTCTCCTTGTTTATTTTCTTGAGGACAAGTACAATACAAGTATAGAGGAGTTAATATACAATATATACTCATATTTTATGTTATTCAGTCATTTGTTTTCATATTCATCTTGTAACATCCCGACTTTTGAAGAGGCTTAAAAGAATTGATTTGGCTACCTATGTTAATAAAGTGCACTTACATTTTTTGTCAAAGGTCCATAAGTAACTCCAGAGTTAAGCGTGTTTAGGCTGGAGTAATGGAAGGATGTGTGACTTCTTGGGAGGTGATTTCCAAAACCGTGTAAGTGAGGCCAAAGCATTGGAAAAGGTCGGGTGTTGATTGCAGAGACAGTAAATAAGTCTCTCAAAAACAATGCACCGGCCGTCAAACAGGGTGGGCCCATGGGCCGAGAGCGTGGGTGACTCAAGGGATGGGCGGTCGGGGCGATATAATTTGGTATCAGAGCCAAAACCTAGATAGAGTGTGGAGTGGCCTTGACTCACACCGTCAGGGGGTGACTATCCATATGCGCAATGAGGACGTTGCACACAGTGAGTGTGGGTAAATTGTAACATCCTGATTTGTGGAGAGGCTTAAAAGAATTGATTGAGCTACCTATGTCAACAAAGTACACTTACATTTTCGGTCAAAGTTTCATAAGTAACTCCAAAATTAAGCGTGCTTGGGCTGGAGTATTGGAAGGATGGATGATTTCTGAAACCGTGTAAGTGAGGGCAAAGCATGGGGAAAAGTCAGGTGTTAATTGCAGGGACAATACATAAGTCAGTAGACCGTTAGATAGGGGTAGGGTCCATAGGCCAAGAGAAGACGTGGGTGACGGAGCGGGATAGGCGGTTGGGGCATTATACATCTTCACCATTTCATACATTATTTCATCTTTTGGTGTTGCTATTTATTTTTTTATTCTTTATCCTTAAGTACTTGTTTTTTCTTTCCCCACAAGGATTGAAAAACTTTTTTTGTGAAATTATACAAACATATATCACAATTTTGTTTACGAATCAATTATTAATTATTTTTTTGTGTTATTTTAAGATTCATTTTACCATTCTTTTTACATAAATTTACAAATTATAAAATAACAGTCACGGTTTTCAAAGTTTTGTTACCAATCAAACTTTCAAAAAATTTGGAATTAACAGCCACAGTTTTAACAGCCAAAATCTCTATAACCAAAAGTCACAGCCTAAAGCCTAAAGTCAAAATCCTAAACAATCAGACCCTATAAATTTCTAAATTTTTGGTATCAGGAATATTAATCTAGTATTATTAATCTATGAGTCTCTCTAGTAGGACATAAAAGGATAGTTCTAAATCATTACATTGTATAAGCTTATTATCAAAGTGTGTTCCTGTTTTTTTTTAATTACTGTTGCTTGACTTAAAACCCTCTCTGTTGCTTTTAAATTCCTTAGCCTTACAATCTAAATTAATAATTGTATTTTCTTGAAGTGTTTGAGCCATTGAGAAGGAGGCTGTGAATGATTAGAGATTTCTAATATGCCTCAAATCTTATAATTGGCTTTATATTGCCAAAACAAATATGTTTGGTAGCCTTTGTTCAAAAAAAAAACATATATGTTTGGTTTCCATCAAAATCTGTTACAAAATTGATCTCGCTCATCCCTAGATTCCCTACCAACAAACAATCAACACCAAAGGGAGTTCCTGAATACTTTAAAGAAGGCTCTGCCTTTACTTAGAATGCACGGCAAGAGAACAGTAGGAAGTCAACAAATCTCTGGCTTTCAGCTATAGTGTTCCTTCACCTGAGACAAAACTCCACATTTAATCTGCAACATGGATATTCTGTGTTGATCAAGATTGAAATCCACGCTTGTGCGGTTTGCTACATTAGTGGAAGCTGCATTTTACGATCATTCCCACAAATCTACTGCAAAGTTTCGGATTAGTCTTTTCTCTTGGTTCAAATATGGTTTGTGTCAAGTGCGTAATGATTTTGGATTCTTTCACTTGGATGGTCCAAGTTACAATCTAGACCATAGCAGCGATAAACTATTGCCGAATCAGACAGACTTTAACAAAACAAAAACACACAATTAAAGGTGTCTAAGATTATAACAAGCCGATCATCTCAAGTTTGTCTTCAGAAAGTAGAGATAACAACATATAAATAAAAGTCTCCTGAAACATAATTTAAACAAGAACAACAAACAAGTTCCTCTGTTCTCTAGATAGATAAAATCTCAGACGGATAGGCGTGGGACAAAAAAGTCAACAAGCAGAACCGTAGGCCCAATTCCCAGGGGTCGTAAAACACCCTGCTCAAAGCCACCTTGACAGTGATAAACTTCTTCTTGTACCAAACCTTAACTCTCGCAACTGACTTCCCCTTGAACTTCTCCACTCCTTCCACGATCCCATCTCTAAGTCCAACATACTTGGCTGTCTCTCCTGACGAGCCACAGTAGATTGCCTACAAATGAACAAATCTATTAGACCATTAAGTCATATTTATCTCTTATGTTTCTTAACTCACATTTTGTTGAAACACATGCAGCTTTGCTCCAACCGTTTGATGCTTCAGCAGCGCATGTACTTCCTCCAAATCCTCATGCTCAACGACTTCTCCTCTCAGGGAAACGAGATCAGGTTTGTAGGACGGTGGGGGCTTCAAGAGTGGCCAATCCTCTGCTTTCGGTATGCCGTTCTTCAACGCGAACTCGAGGCATTTCCTGACTGTGAGGTTCTGACCAGCGGCGTTGTCCACCAGATATCGAGCTGAGTACTCAGTACGCTCACTGTCCAGCTTCGCTGCATGCCTTGCCGAGCTGATAAGCTCAGCCGCTACGATAGCAGCAGATTCAGTCTCATCTGCAAGACAAACAACACACACACACAAATGGCGAAAAATGTGAATCGAGTGTTGTCAAATTTAAAAAACGCAATATAAGAGCAAAAGAGATTCTTAGTAGTTACCGTGGTCTTGGTCAAACTCATAATCTAAGGTTTTCTTTCCCCATGCCATTGTGAACTTTGGATCATAAGGAGGGAGTGCCATCTGTAATTAAGAAGCGAATCAGCAAAAAAGTGTATGTTCATAGGCAGGAAAAGCAAGAGAGGTTTGGAGACTTTTGCTTCCAAATAGCGAAATCAAACACAGAGCAAAATCCAGAGTAATAAAACTAGAAATTGGAGATAAACATAACCGGATCGATGAGTTTTTATTCCCTAAATCGAACCAATGTGACCAAAACTAAAGGAGGATTCCACATCAGTCCACGAAAGAGAAGGTTAAACCCTAATCCAAGCAAAATTTGTTTCACTAATCAAACTGAAAATGGCAAGCACAATCCGTAACAAACGAAAGCAATCTAAGCAAATCCCAACTTAGAAACCAGAAAACACTAATTGCAGGAAACTCACAAGTCACAAGAGTAACAAAACCTAACGGAAAATCCAAAGTAAGAAACAAAATGAGAGTATCGGGAACATTACCGGAGAAAGGAAGAGGAAACAACGACGGTGAGACTGAGACTACTCTGAAAGTAAAGAGCTTTTAGCTGTTTGATTTTACGGCAAACGCTCAGAGAAGGGGCTTTGGGTTACAGAGAGAGTATTTATACAGAGAGAAATGCTGTAGACTCTTCTGTAGAGCCCTATTGCCAGATGGCACAATCCGCTTCACTCTTCAGATAAGGACGACAAAGGCGTAGCAAAATTGTTTTGAAAACTTGACTGCATTGTTCGTCGTACGAACATTGTTGAGCTGTTTCGCTCTTTCTTTCCTCTGCTTCTGCTTTTGACTTTGTCGTTTTGCAGAGTAATATGAACGTTGTTGTTGTTCATCTTCATTATTGGGTTTCGGTATTGAGCTTTCACTCCCTCAGGCCCATTTCATCTTCGTTTCTGATCCAAACGATGAGATTGACCGTTTTACTTCACTTGCTTTGTTTTACTTTGTCTCTAAACGGCGGCGTTTTTGCTTGAGATCACAATCTTAAAGTGTTGCTGCTGAATAAGAGAACTTTCATATTAATTTCCAAGAGTGATGTCTCTGAATTTATCCTCCGATATTTGTATACCAAGTTGCTGGTGAAACCCTAGTATTTATCACATATTCACATCTAACCACAACTTTCTTATCAACCGCTCTTCCCTAATACCTTGAAAAGGATCACGCTGAAATGGAAGAAAAAAGTTCCAAACTACAAGTTACAACTTTAGACGCTGAGAATCTTGAGATCCGCTTTGTGCTCTCTTGCTAGATAGTTACAATAACTAATTTCCTTAGTGTAACCATCTCTTTGTTTTTAGTTTTTATTAAACACACATATAATTAGAACAAACTTCACCAGGATATCAGTACGTGACTATAAGCAGTCATAAAAAAAAAATCGTATTTGAGTAACATCACCAAAATACTTTTTTAAAAAGCAAAAAGAAGAATCTAGCTACTCTGTTTATTAACTAAAACAGAAACTACCCTAATTGATAATTGACTAATCTCGTTCAAAGAAACTAGCTATACGTAAATGAATCAGCTTATCACCTTTTTCTTTTGCCACCAGGATTACTTTGCCATGCAGGAATTCAAACCAAGCTTGGAACATAACTGACGAGAAATGGTCTCTCAGAGCGTTCTAAAGAAAAGTATCGGTACTGTTTAACCTCTCTATAGATTTCTCTATAGACTTGTATATGTATATCCTCTCCAACAATGTAAACTGTGGTCATGTCTCCGTCTAGAAAGCAACACATGACCCTTTTATTCTCCTCATCCACCAAGAAACTCGTCACCTTGGTCATATTATTTATCATATTATGTTTACCCAAATCCACAACCAAGAATACGCTCCACGACAAGTCGTCTTCGGCTTCATCAGTAATAGTATTATTGGCCACCCATATCTTCATCTCTAAACTACTCAACCTCTGATGTAACACCCCAAGTTTTTCTTCCCTGACAACTGATAGAACTGAAACCTCTTCATGATAATTATTACGACTCTGAAAAGGAATAGGCAGACGTCCAAATCTCTGTAATGTAAAATCAAACCTGACCATGGAATTAATCAGATAAGGGTATCTTTCATGATCCTCTGAATCTAACCAGTAGGTATCTCCCTTCAAAGACACGCCAAGTGATAATACCCCCAAGGTATGGGTATCAACATCAAGAACCTTCCACGAACCAGTGTCAAACTCGTACATTTCAAACTTATCAACAACAGGGGCATTCCAGCCCCTGCGAGATTTGCTAAAGCTCAAGATTTTGTAGCTGTCGAGCGAATATTTGCTGTTGTTTTTGTATCCTAGAAAACACGAATGATGCATTGTACTAGATTGGATCCACCTGGTTTGGCCAGTACAAGGGTTCCAAACAACGAGTCCCTTGTCTTCGGTCGTGCATAACAACAAACCTTCACACTGGAAGATTTCAGATATCTCGACATCTTTTGGATCTTCTGGATCCTCGAGTTTACCTGTAAGTTTAAGATAGTGATCATCCGTGTCGTCGTGCCAATGGAAATCGATGCTAACTGAAAAAACCGAATGACGTTTCTTTAAGACCATCTGTGTTGCAGCTTTGCCCCAGTTCTTCATGATAAAGCTCGGATCTTTAGATAAAGCGTACCATCTTTTGCAAGTGAATCGCAACTGCTTTAGAGATGTGGCCGGAACCCTAGAAAGTATTTCTGTTTCCAGTTCCCATGGTATATAGGTATACATCAGACTCTGTTTGGAGTTTTCAGACCTGATCACCCAAGGAAGAAAGCGAAAGAAAAGCCAAAACAAAACGAAGAAAGCGAGAGAATAGCTAAGAGGAAGAGGAGATAGGGTTTTAAGGTTACAAAAACAAAAATTAGGGTTTTAACTTATAATATTCACAATCTATCTATTACTAATAAAAGTTGAGCCTATATGCATTAGAGGCTGTCCACCTAGGATTTAAAAGGTTGAATTTGATTGGTCCATGTCATTATTTTTATTTTTTTGCTTTTAAATTAATTTATGTAAATTTTCTATTTTACATATTATTTATTAATTAGTTTTCAGTAAAGATAATTTCTCTGATTTTACAATTTTCGAGAACTGAATTATAAGTTTCCTATTCATAGATTATCTAAATTTACATATATTATTAGTATTAGTTTCTTTTTTAGTGGAAAATTTACACATGTTTTAAGTAATTATAGAAATAAATTTCCTATTCAGCCAAAAAGATGCTATGGTGTAGCGGTTATCACAATTGTCCTAAACTCAACAGGTATCGAGTTCGATCCTTTGCAGTCCCCTGTTTTTTTTTAAACCGTTTCAAAAATAATTATATGGACATTGCCATTAGGTTACCACAAAAAAAAAAAAAAAAATCAGACATCGGCATCTCCAAAACGGGATCTGCTACATCTTCTTCCCCTTTTTTCTACAAACCCTAAAACTGCATCTCACAAAACTCTCTCTCTCTCTCCACCGTCAAACAACAAAAATTCATTCTTCATTTCCCAGATTTCGTAAATCGAATTGGATTTATTTTGCCCTAAACTCCCTATTTCGCATTGTTGCAAGTTTGAAGCTTCAGTACAACTTCAGTTGAGGGAGTATTAGACCAAAAATGGAGAAATTCGGAATCTATTACTAAGATAAGTCTTGTGATTTGACTGTACAATTCGGCTGCTTTAATTTCTGGCGAATATAAGATTGCTTCTTGGCATTTTTTTCTTATTTCTTCTTCCAAATTTATTTCTTGGTTTCATTATTTCGTTTTAGTCTAGAAGATTCTTGAAAAACAAATTGGATATTGTTTGATAAAGATTAGGATTTGGATAGTTCCTATTTTTGTAATTATCACTTCTCTAATTTCCTTATTGTACAATGACATTGATATACATTGATTCCTTTTTCCATTAGGAATAAGATGATCTTAAATCCTATATATATGTGGTCTTATTGCCACATGAAACCAAGTTCATAATATACATTCACATCTCTCAATCGATTTTTATAAGCCATGGCAAATTCATGCTCTTCTGTTTCTAATCAGTTAAGCCATACTTTGGTTTTCGATGATCTAAAAAAAGGTTTCAAAATAATGATTTGCTTGTCAGAGTCATCCACTTTTGGGAGGCACGAAACGTTAGAAAAGGCGGATTACTCATGGGTGTAGAACTCCTTCTCATGGATCAGAAGGTACTTAATCAAAGGATTTTAAAGAAAAAAATTGAACCTGAAGGCTAAGGACGTTTGATCTCTGTAAAAACAAGAAAACCAAACAAAAAAGGGGTAAAGTCAATGAGAAGAGATTTCAAATATTATTAAAAACGACCAGTGAAAGGAGAAAACGCTCTAAAACTCGACAGCTATAAGTCTCAGGAACTTGCCAAAGCAATTGCCACCACCTAGAGTTATACATTTATCACCAATTCGCATCCGGACAATTAGATTACAAACAAAATACACCATTTGGACATCAGCAAAAAAAGATTGAAAATACGGAAAATCATAACCTTCATCGAAGCCATTAGCTGAGAATCAGGAGAAGAAAGAAGCATCGAAACTCAGGGAAGGGGATGATGAGATGCCAAGAACAGTGATTTCGATGACTTTAAAACGAAGTCGTTGACTGAAGCCATTGAAGAAAAGTTGTGCTCCATATGAACTGAAAACAAAACCAACGAGATATTTCAAATATCAAATTGATAGCTAAACCGAACCGAAACAAACATAGACTGATTAAACATCAACAAAACTAGCAAACACCGAGAAAACCCAAAATTTAACTCGGTGACGTTATCGAAAATCATTTGACCAAAAAATCAAACCATCAATCGGCGATAAAGGGGAAATTCGAGATTGGTACCTAAGTTAATTGAGAAATTCAGAGCGAGAGTCGAAGGAGATCGAAAAGAAGAAGAAGCGTGAGCTCTCCCCTGGTAATAACAAGATTAGCAACAAAGAAGAGGGATCTAGATGATGAGATGGTTCCGGTGGGAATAAGGAAGAAGAAATATTGTTCGATTGTGGTCGGCAAATGAAAGAAAAAGAAACGAAGCATTTCTAATTTCTATGAGATAGGAAAATCGAACCGTAACAAACCAAAAGAATTTAACCGGGAATTGGAAAAACAATTAAAAGATGATGACCACGGGAAGAAGAAGAAGCCATATGATATGGAAAAAGTGGGAATACATTTAACACGATTATATCATATGAAACAATTAAAAAAAAATTATTTTTTACTCCTGATCTTTCTGATTCCTTTCTTCCCGTCCTTAATGATCTGTAAAATACATTTATATTTTATTTTATTTTCTAGATATAAGACTTTTAAATACAAAAACAGTGATTTAAAAATAAAGAGATGAATTTATTGAATGGAATTAAATGCAACATAATTAAAATTACAAAAAAAATTAAGTATAAATCATAAATTCATAGCTGGAAAAGCTAAACAAATAAATAAAATTAAAAAATAAATTAAGAACTAAAATATGTATTAGACTAATATTGGATAAGTTTGCCAGATAACCTTTATTGGATATAAAAAAAATTGTCTAATGAATAGTAAAATTAAGGGATTAGTTTAAGAAATTTGAGGATTGGGCTGTTGTATGTTTTTATGACAAAAAAGATTTTTAAAAGGTATCTTACTTATTATGACTACTTATAAAAATAATTAAATTGGTTAGGTAAAAAAAATTAAAAGTATATTACAAAAAAAGTTTATTAAAAAAAATTATAAACAAAAATTGAAAAATAGTGAAGCATTTTAAAAACCTTTTTTTAATAAATGAAACTATTATTTTCATCTCTTATCAAAGAAACAAAAAAAATTGATGACTCGAACTTGATATACAAATATTCTTAATTGAATCATACATTTTCTTAATATTATTGAATAAAATTAAAATAAAGAGGACATAAGATTTATTTACAAATATTAAAACGGAACCCGCGCGTGCGCGGGTAAAACACCTAGTATTATATAAAAGTTGAGGCTATATGCCTTTGAGAGCGTCCACATAGGATTATAAAACACGATTTGACTAAGCATTAATGATATTAAGAAAATTTCCAAATTTTAAACAACCAATAGTATTAATCTATATCATCATCTAAAATTAGCTAATTTCTTGAGGGCGTCCACATAGGATTATAAAACGCGAATTGATTGGTCCATGTAACCATTAACGATATTAAGAAAGTTTTCAATAATTATCCAACCAATAGTATCAGTCCACATCATCATATAAATTAAGAAAATTTCCAAATTTTAAACAACCAACAGTATTAATCTATATCATCATCTAAGATTAGCTAATTTCTTTTTATGTTTCAAGAAAATTAATTAATATAACTCATTTATATTAGAAACTCCATAACTTTCAAAGTAATTAAATTAATATATTTTTTTATATACAAGTTGGGGCCAAATGTCTCTAAGAGTGTCTACATAAGATTATAAAATTGCATTTTATTGGTCCTCATAAGCATTTACATAATTAAGAATTTTATCTAATTTTAAACAACCAATAGTATTTTAATCTATATCAATATCAAGAATTATTTTTGTTTTTCAAAATTTTAAACAACCAATAGTATTAATCTATATCATCATCTAAAATTAGCTAAATTTTTTTAATTTGTTATTTCTTTTATGTTTAAAGAAAATTAACTAATATAGCGAGTTTAAGTTAGAAACTCCACAAGTCCAAACTAATTAAATTAAGATTTGTTTTCTTTTTGTTAAAAATATAATTTACTATATTTTAAAATTTATATTAAAAACATTTGTGTAACTAAAATATTAGTTATAAAAAAATAAAAAAACATAAATATGAATTCTCTTTGACCAAAATTAAGTTTTTATAAATAGAATGTAAGTTACACGTTATTCTGTTCTAAGCAAACAAAGCCAACGTTGCAAGAGAGTCGGTTTCAACATTACATAATCTGTGAATATAAAAAGAAGAAAGAATAAAAAAAGCGTAATTTCCTGTAGAAAACATATGAGTTCATTTGGAAATTTTTTTTAAAGTGATGAAAGAGATCAAACTTTGAGAGGTAAAACAAAAAATCAAGAAAACAGTAACATACTAGATAAAACCTTCTTCATTGTGGGAGCTTCAAAAAAATGGCCGAAAAAGTAAATAGTTTGTTTGGATTACTATGAAACAGAAGAATTCAAAGGAGAAATAATAGTCCAACACATACTATAACTTTTCGAAAAAGCATTCCACCCTACATCAACAAAACAATTGTTCATATTTGGGAGGATATTGGAGGTCAAACGGAAAGTCAGAGAAGAGGTCGATGTCTTAGCTGAGCTTTGGGTATCATTTCATTCGTGGGCACACTTCATAATCACATCTTTTAAGAAGATTTCATCTTTATTTCAAATCATGATATTCAAATAAGAGAAGATCATGAGCTTTTAAAAATGCCACAATATATAAGAATAAAGAATTATAGACAATAAAATTATTCGGGCATAATAATCATCTTGTCTACATCTTCAAAGAGTTTTCGAGAAAGGTGTGAGTTTGCCACAAATTTATTGAGAAGCAGGGCTGGATTCTAGACTCAAATTATAGAAGGACATATGAAGAAGATATGAAGTCTGTTTCTTTACTAGGCATATTAACTTACAAAAGTCAGATCAAGAAAAATATTCTTTCCACAGAACACACACGTATGTTGACATTATGAGTATTTGAACTGCAAATATATGTGTTACGTACAAAAAGAATTGAAAAATAGTGCTTAATGTAAAATTTTGTTTTTTAAAAAAAATATAAAGAAAAAAAATGAGGATTTGAATAACCTCAAACAATTTTTGGTTATTAGACAGACTAAAACATTTTCGTTGCCGGGATTTGATCTAAATAACATTTTTGTATGCCAAGATTTGATCTCAACAAATTATTGATATATCTAAAAACTTTTGTTTTCCATAGAATTTTGGTATTGATAGATTTTTATATTTTAGTTGTTGATTTTTGCAGTTTAAAAATATTATTCATTAAAAATATACATTAAACCAGTTTAAAATACAGATCCGCGTGCACGCGGGTGAAAATCCTAGTTACTCCCTCCGTTTTTTAAAGATAAATTTTCTAGTTTTTTCATACAGATTAAGAAAAAGTTGATTTTCAATCATTAGTGCATAAATTTCTGCAATAAAACAACTTTTTATAATTTTAAACCAATAAAAATCCAACAAATATAATCATTGTATCTTGAAAACTGAAAAAATGCATCAAAAAGGTAAAAATTTTATCTTTGTGAAACAACACATAATGGCTAGAAAATTCATTAAAAAAAAATGGAGAGAGTATGTACAAAGAGGAGGGTATATCAGTCTAGGAAGAAAGCCGTCGAAAAAAAAAAAAAAAAAAAAAAAAAAAAAAAAAAAAAAAAAAAAAGACAAGGAGGATTTAACACAAGAGCCCAAACTATTATTAAGGCTCATATCCAGAAACGAATGGAAATGCTCTGGTTTTCTTTAACGGTGCATTCATGTCTCTACTGCTTTTTAAGATATAAGGAAGCAAACTATTGGAGATAAGCGAGTACAACTACTTCAGAGTCAAAGAGAAACGAGAGTGAAAACGACGGTGGAATGTTATTTCGATGTCAAACCTTGAAGAACAGAGGCTGGGTTCAATAGAGTGTTGGAACAAAGGTATATCAATCATTTCTATGTATAATTGTGATTTTGTAAACAAGATTCTGTCTCTCCAAAACTAATCACTCGATGTAAAAGTGGATATAAGCCGTAATAAACAAATGTATTAAACTAGATCATCACCGATCCATCTTCAAAAGCAATAGTACAAGAGCAAAGAAAAGCTTGATCACAGTTACTTACTCTCTGTTTATCAACTAAATGGAAGCAACCTCTCCAAAAAGAAAAAGCATATCCTTCACTACTTGACTAACCTCGTTCAAAATGAAACTGACATTGCTAATTTCATTTGACTAACCTCCTTTGTTGTTCTCTTTCTTTTGCCTTTTGGTTTTATCTTTCTCAAGGCGAACCAAACTTGGAACATAACTGAGGAGAAGTGGCGAATGATGAAACGATCTTCCCTTTCTTCTCTCATCATCGAAAGCCTCAACATGTAAATCTTCACCAACAATGAAAATCCTTGCAATTCCTCCATTTCCTTCAATCTCTGTAACACAACACACTGCCACTCCATTCTCCTCATCCAACAAGAAACTCTCCAGATTCATCATCACACCATCTTCTCTCATAAACTCACACAAATCCACTTCCAAGGACACGCTCCAGGACATCTCTTTACCCTCATCGGTGACCCAAATCGTCGCCTCCGACGAGTACCGACTCTGGTATAACAATGAGAGTCGTCCATCTCTGACGACGGAAAGAAGAAAGGTATCACAACAATCCTCGCTCTGAAACGGAAGAGGAACACGCCCAAATCTCTCCCTTTCGAAATCGAAATTGAGCATGTGAATGCCAATTTCACCGTCGAAAGCAATCCAGTAGGCGTTTTCTCTCAGAGACACGCCGGGAGATAACAAGTCGATTCCACAAGCCGAGCCATCGATAACCTTCCATGAATCAGAGCTTAGATCGTAGATCTCGAACTCGGATCGGATATCCTCCGCGCTCGTTTCGTAACTGCGAAGCGTCAATATCTTGTAGCTACCGTTTCCGTATCCAAAACCGAGAGCGTAGCTAGCGGAAATCGCGTTGACCTCTCTGGGTTTGATCCATTTCCTTTCGCCGTTGCAAGGATTCCAAATTAATAGTCTTCCTCTTCTACCATTTCCCTTGGGGGTGCACAAAATCAAACCGTCGCACTGGAAGATTTCTGATATTTTCAGGTTTTTGAGTGTACCTGAGAAAATCAGAGTTGGTTTAAGGCCGTCGTGGATTACGCCGGTGTCGATCCTGATTGAACAAACCGTGAAATTCATCAGTAAGATGATCTCCCTCTCCCTCGCCGCTTCGCTACCCAAGTTCTTCTCGACGAATCTCGGGTCTCTGAATAAACTGTACCATCGTTTGCAAGTAGTTTTCAGGTTTTGAAGAGAGTTTGCCGGAACTTTTGAGAGTATTTCCTCTTCCAGTTCGTGGGGAAGATCGGGAATTTTCGATTTCCTCCTTCTCGTCATCGTCTTGGAGCTGCTGCTCTCTAAAATTCCGGCGTGTCTTTTCATATAATTTTAGCTCATTACTTTTGTTTACAAAAGGCCCATTTTCATTGGTTTTTGTATAAAAGCCCAACTGGGCCGTGAAAGTTATCGGAACTCGGATTTTTCTTTTTGTTAAAGTTAAATTTTGTTAAAGATTATTTATTTTTTTAAATTGTTTACAATATATTTTGATCTTTATTGAGTTCTAAAATGGTTTCATTTCTAATCTACTACAACTGAACCAAACTCAGTTGTTATCTATAAAGAACGGTACGTACAACAAACTGACCTAATTATGCACACGAGTTGTTTCTATAATGGTTGTGATTTTGATAAACTCTTTTTTTTATGTAAAATTAAGGGTTTTGTGCAAAACAACCCTCAAACTAAATTCTTTTTGCAAATCAAACCCTCAATTTAAAGTTGTGCAAATCAAACCTCTGAAGTCAAAATAACCCCGCAATATAAGACATCTCTATATTTGTGACAAAATTTAAAATGATTTTATGCAAAAAAACCCGCGAACTATTTTTTGTGTGCAAATCTAACCCTCAACTTAAAAAATATGCAAGTCAAACCTGCAAAATCGAAAGTCACTGCTAAAATGGACTTATATGTATTTGTCCTTAACTACAAACGTTGACTCAAAACGTCATGACATTTATAATATTTTAACCATTTTTATTAAAAGTAAATTAAAAAAAAAATTTAATCTTTAATTTCCTTTCTCTTTCTCCTCTTATTAATGAATTTATCTCGAGTAATCTTATCGCGAATAAGTTGATTCTTTTCTTCATGATCTCATTAACTAATGACGACGAAGAGACAAAGATAAGAACTAATTTACTCGCAATAGAATTATTCGAGAGAGGCTCATAAAGACATAGGACTTCAGATCTTCCAAGTAATTATATTGTGAGTAAGTTGGTTCGGTTTTGATTTTCTGGATTGGTTACGGTTTAGTTTTTTTGGATTTGGTTAAAAATCCTAACCCTCTCCTTATTGATGGAGAAAAAAGAGAAGAAATATTGAATTATTGTTTTAAGTATTTTTAATAAAAATGGTTAAAATATTATAAATGTCATGATGTTTTGAGTCAACGTTTGTAGTTAAGGACAAATACATATAAGTTCATTTTAGCAGTGACTTTCGACTTTGCAGGTTTGACTTGCATATTTTTTAAGTTGAGGGTTAGATTTGCACACAAAAAATAGTTCGCGGATTTTTTTGCATAAAATCATTTTAAATTTTGTCATAAATATAGAGATGTCTTATATTGCGGGGTTATTTTGACTTCAGAGGTTTGATTTGCACAACTTTAAATTGAGGGTTTGATTTGCAAAAAGAATTTAGTTTGAGGGTTGTTTTGCACAAAACCCTAAAATTAAACTCAAAAAAGGATAATTGAGATTTTTTGAAATAAAGAAAATAAAACTAGTTTCTTGCTTCAAACCATGTTTGGAAAGCTCCATCAAACTTTTGTTTTGTCATTTTTTTTTTGCACGAGTTGTGGTTGCTCCTCAGCATCAAAAAACACATAAAAAATATATAGAAAATGTAAAATCTAGTGAGAAAGTAAAGTTGGTTTGAAATTTTATTTTTCGAAAGAGAATACACTATCTCTTTATCTTCTCAAAACCAGAACTCATATGAATCACATAAGATAAAAATCAATTTCATCCTCGATCTACACATGCCATCACCAATCAATAAAGTTGATAGCAAAATAAATAGGTGTGGTAGGTGCAGCTTGATTCTCCAGTGATGGCTTTCTAAACATCCAACTGAATCCCAAACTCTTATGCTCAATCAGTTGATTTCTGCAATCGAAATTACACTTAAGAATAAAAGACTTTGTTAAAGTATACATCGAACTTTTGCATGTGTCTCTTTCTGCTGCAACCAATTTAAAATAGTAAATTGATGATGGTCTTTGCAGAAAGTTGTCGTATATATATATTATAGATATGGTAATTGATTGCACAATTCATGTTTTATAAACAGATCGTAGATAAATTCCAACTAGTTTATTTTTTCAAAGTTTAGATTAACCACATGAAAAAAAAATCCAATCTTGCTACGGATTAAGAACATAGAAAGAGAGTTTTGTAGTCACCGCTTGGTGCTTCGAGAATCCTGAGTCAAAGGAGCGAGTCGGCGAGTCAAACCGGCGAGGAAGTCTTCTTCGTCGTCACTGCTCTCATCTTCCGTCTCTGTGGAGTCTCCTGAAGAGGTGAAACTAGGGGAAAAAGAGGGTGAATCGAATTCATAAGGGAACTCGATCGGGAAACCTTGTCATATTATTTCGCTCATCGTTAGGAAAAGTAGAGAAAAATTATATTATTTACAGTTGAGGAGAAAAATTAGACGGTGATGTATACATCAATATAAGCAAAAATCTTCAAAATTAGATCAATTTTGCTCAATTTCCAGTAATATTTAAACAGAATAATCGAAAACTAGAGATCATGGAAATATGTGGTTACCTGTTTTTTTAAAGTGAGGAAGGGGAAAGTTCAAGTGAGTCTGAGTTTGTAAATGCCCATCCACGCACAAGAATCATCAAAGCTTGGTCTCCAACTCTACACACAGAAATTTCAGATTCAACTATTCCGGCGGATGGAAGAAGAAGAAAAAATTCAGAGATACCTGATTTAAGAAGAATAAACTTGATTTATGAATTTGTTTCTCACAGATTTTGATTTTGAAAGGAGGAAAAGCAGGAAGATGAATTTGGAGATCTAGAAAAACAAAACAAAGTAATTGAAGATGAATAGATTTAGGTGATTTTTTATTTTTAGCACATGGATTTTATAGTTTTAGCAGAGGTTTTAGATCGTGATATAGCAGTTTCTTTAGATTGTGGTCTAGAAAAATGAATTTTCAGAAAGAAAAAGTTAGAAAAAAAAACAATTGAAAAAAACAACGAAAAAAAATAAAATTAAAAATTAAAAAGAATAAATGAAAAGGACACGTGTCGAATGGAAAAGGCATTAGGTAACTTCTACTTTATTAGTATTAGATTTGTTTTTAGTAATACAAGGGAAGGGTTTATACAAAATATTTTGAATCCAGTTTTTTTTTTTCCTTTAAACTAGACATGGATTGGATCAGAGGAACAATGAGATAATAATTAAAAAGTGATAAAGGCATTTCCAAGTCAATTCACAAATGTTTTTCGATCTCTCTAGTCTCTTCTATTCAACTTCATATCCCGAGTCGGCAGAGTGATTTCCGCAAAACCAATCAGCTGGTTACAGACGTAACACGTGTAAAGAAACGACTTAGTAGTTGACACGAGCCCAAGATCGAAACGCCAGAAGAGGTGTGTACTCGCCACGTGGTTGGACAGGTGTTACCAAACCGTCTTGTTTTCCACTTATACATAACAGAATCACATCACCAATCTTTGGAGAAAACCACACAGAGCTTTTCTTGAAAATTGATCACTTAATACCACTCTATCGTTATTTCATCATCCCTGCGAGAGAGAGAGAGTCTAGATTATAACATTACAATAGATTTGTCATCGATTTAGTGTTCATGACAATGGGTTTAGGGAGGAGAGTGTACGGTATGGTTTTGTTATCTTTGGTACTTATGGCTATTGTAACGATGTCTTGTGTCAAAGCCACCGTCGAGGAAGAAGCAGCTAAGGATGAATCATGGACTGATTGGGCGAAGGAGAAGATCGGTCTCAAGCACGAAGAGAACATCCAACCTACTCACACGACTACAACCGTCCAAGACAACGCTTGGGGAGCGACTGATAAGGCCAAGGACGCTAAGGATGCTGCCAAACGCAAAGCAGAGGAAACGGTTGGAGCGGCCAAGGATAAATCCCAGGGGGCTTACGAGACAGCGAAATCCAAAGCCGGCGAGACTATTGGTTCCGTGAAAGACAAGGCATCTCAGAGCTATGATTCAGCTGGTCAGGTTAAGGATGAGACTATTGGTACCGTGAAAGACAAGGCATCTCAGAGCTATGATTCAGCCGGTAAGGTTAAGGATGACGTGTCTCACAAGTCAAAACAAGTTAAAGATAGCTTGTCTGGAGATGAGAATGACGAGTCGTGGACTGATTGGGCTAAAGAGAAAGTCGGAATCAAGCACGAGGACCAGGTGGGGGAGACGGTGTCAAAGAAGGCTAAAGACGCCAAAGAAGCGGCTAAACGCAAAGCAGGGGACGCTAAGGAGAAGTTGGAGGAAACGGTTGAGGCGGCTAAGGAGAAAGCGAGCGATATGACGAGTGCGGCTAAGGAGAAGGCAGAGAAGTTGAAGGAAGAAGCTGAGAAAGATAGTAAATATGCGAAGGAGAAGGCTAAAGAGAGTTACGAAACGGCTAAATCCAAGTCTGATGAGACTTTGGAGTCTGCTAAAGACAAGGCATCTCAAAACTATGACTCAGCTGCTAAGAAATCAGAGCAAGCTAGAGATACCGTGTCGCCCAAGTCAAAACAAGTTAAAGACAGCTTCACCGACGATGATGCTGAGCTCTAAAAAAGTTGCAAAAAGTCATGGAAGAGTTTGAACAGTTTGAAGATGATAATGTTTTGCTTTCTTGTTCATGATCTTTAAATATGTGTATCGTGTCAGAATCTTTTTCGTTTTTCCCTTGCTTTTTTCGGTTTTGTTGTGTGCTTGTTGATCTCTTGGGATATATACACACACATATCGTACGTACGTTCTGAATTAAGTTAAGACACTAATTAGTCAGGCCGGTCAATTAATTTTTAGTGGTCCAAGGTCTTAAGCATGATAACAGCAGACGCGCTAAAACGACATCGTCCTTTATTAAGAAGTCTATGATGTTGCAAACGACCTTTTCCTAGGAAGAAGATTTCAAAGTGTTACAAAACGATGCCGTTCGCAATACTGATGAGAGAACTACACGCTATCACATCAGCCTTAAGCCTTTGCACTATAAACTAAGTTGGATCTGATATACAAAATATTTTATAATTGGAATCTCTGGCCACATGGTTTAACATAAGATAAACACGTATTAGCTAAATTGAATATTAGTAAAACTTTGCTTTTCTGACGTTTGGCTTTTGCCCCCACTCCAGTGGTCGAGTAGTGTGGCTGGTGGGAGGAAGTGATTGCTCACCTCACATCACAAACTTATAATAACAGTAAATCATGCTCTTTTTAATTATAAGGTGGTTCACTTTTCCAAATTAACTTTATATTAATAACCTCGGGTCCTCGTCAAATTCATCCTGTCTACTTTGCTTATAATTGTTGGAACAACAATCATCTTTGGTAATTTTAATATCATACATGTTCCACTTTTTGGTGATGTCAAATGTTGTGACACGATGGCTTCGCGTTCTTCTTTCTTGTTCCCAAGGGTTGGAGATTCAATTGCTCATCAACCAGCTATAGTGTTTACCGTTAACATATTATATAATATCCCATGTACTTTTGAATTTGTTAATGCCACTGACAATTGGTTAAGTTTATATATATCGAACGCAAACCTACTGATAATTGATAAAGGCCTTTTGATTGAGTATTTTGAATTGATTTTAGTATTTTAGAATTGAGTATGTGTATCCAACCAAATCAAGTGTCATTTGTTTCTGTTTCATTACAAAATCACATATCGTATTTCACCCTTAATTTTTTTCATTATTAGTCGCGTAATCATTTTGAAACTGAATAGAAAGACATGAAATTATAGCATTGACTAGTCCAATTGGCTTACATTATTGGTAATAGGATTCGGTAGACAACTTGTTTTGATCTTGATTTTTAGTTAGATTTTATAAAAACCAAGATTACATTGATTTTTGCTTCTCTTTTGTTTTTGTCAAACTGGTTTTCTATCTTCGAATTATATATATATTTAAGCATCCAATTTGGCATTTTCGAGGGTAGACTTAAACTAGACTTGCCTCTTCATCAGTGGAAAGGTTTGTGTCATGTATCTATATTTTTATATGCATAAAGAAAGAGACAGGTAAATATATGTTGATTGAGTTTGGATAAGATTTGTAAGAGAAGGAGACCCATTTATCCACGTAGGGATTGTTTAGTGGGTCGCTTTTGGGAAGCCCTACGTTAAATATTATTCAAAATATTCTTGATCACAATCTCTTTACTATTAATCGAGAAGTACATTTAAAAAAAAGACAAAAAACCCATAACTTTTATGAAGGAAAACTGTTTGTATACAAGGATAACAGGGGTTAAAAGTGGCAAAAAAAAACTAACTCGGCTGAGTTGACTCGGTAACTCGCGAATAGCCCACCCGAATAGCTTTAAATCGAGAATAACCCACCCAAATAGATTTGGTAAAGGACGCGGATCTTTATCACTTAAATCAAACCGTGTTTGTTGCTTTTTTGTTTACCAATTTGATTCTATTAAACCAAAAACTGAATTTTACTAAACCAAAGATTGAGAAATAGAAACCTATCGGCGATAATGACATTATCAGAAAACTTTCCCTTTTTCAATTCTAAGAAAATCTACCAAAAAGAAAAATTAACATAATTTATGATAATACCAAATCAAAAAAACCTTGATAATCAAGAAATATCATCGATATAAACCCTATCTACCTACTACTATATAATTTGTGATGACCGTCTGAGGCTTCTATGCCTAAATTGATCGGTGATGGAACAATCATCGCTTGCTAAAAGCTTGAGATGAAAAGGATGAGCGAGCAGGAAATCTCCATAGCCTCTTTTTACAATTAATATTCCAAAGCTATTGGTTTTGTGAAATCAGTGTCGCTGGAAATCGGATAACAGCAATCAGTCGAGAATTTGAATCCAGTAACACGGCGATCCAGATTATACCCAAAAATCTGCCACCACAATTAATCGAAGAACCGCCGTCGTTAACTAGATTAATTGGCGAAGATGCAGCCCTGTCTGGTTTTTGTTGAGTTTCGCAGTGTAGTTGGTAGGTGAGCTGTTACCGGATTGTTGAGATTTTGATGGGGGTTACCGGGACGGAGAGATTTTGATTGGGGAGTTACCGGAGACAGAGCAGGTGTTAAAAGGGCTTCCTCTGACAAGGAAAATAGAAAATCGATTGCTTAGTGGGATTTTGGTAGAGATAATTCTCAACATCTACAATAAAAGGAATTCACCAAGGAAGAAAACGAAAGCAATTTTGCAGAAGAAAGAGAGGTGAGAGTAAGAGCGAAATTGAGAAACCAACATTTTCGAAAAGGAGACCCCATTGAACCTTAATATGGGTTTCGAACAAGAACCCAGGACATGACAACCCAGAAGCTCAATGACGAAGATTTATGTTCTTCTTCAACAAAGTACCGTTTTTTTATAATAAAGGGAAGAAGTTACCAGTGAAGTTTAGGAGTTTGATGTTAGCTTGAACACGATCGGCGAAGAAATCGGCGCAATTAGGATCCAATTCAATGACTTTGGAATACAAGTCCACATCAATTTCCAAGTCCGTCTACGAAAGCCTCATGTGCCTTGGACGTAAGTTCCTTAGCCATATCAGAGAAGAAGACGATACAATTGAAGGAAGGCAAGATTGTTCTGTTGTTCAAAGGATCAAAGTATATGTAGAGATGGGTCAATGGAGAAGATGGGATCAAAGTATATGCATAAACTCAATTAGAGAAAGAAAGCAAAGTACAGGTTTTTCGGTGGAGAAAGGGGAAGGAAAGTGATGATGTCTCTAAGATGGAGAAAAGGAGAACACGTGTCTTTGTTTCCCTTTTTTATTTGTAATTTTTTATATATGTCACAATAAACTATAAAAAATAACAACACTGGTCACATTTCATGTCGGATTTGGATCGGGTCTTTGGGCTTTGGTTTTTCAAATTTATAGATATAGAAACTGTAGTCTTTTTATATTTTGGTTTAGCTTCGGTTAAGTTTTTTTACGGGTTTAGTTCGAGTTTTTTCTGGATTCTTTGGGTTTTTTGAAGATTTTTCAGATTTAAATACAATGTACTATTAAGATACAACCTTAAAATGCATAATTTTGGTTTAACGTACTACTAGGATTAACACGTACCTAATCATTCCTTTTTTAATTTCAGTTTGGATATGGATTCAGGTTTCGGGTGAAAGTTGGAGACTAACCTAAAACTATCAACTATCTAACTAAACATAATAAAAAACTATAAGAGATGATTAAAATATAAATTTATTGATTAAACTATTTGTATTTTTTGATAAAAAAATATAACATACTACTAATATTAATTATGCATTTTAAGGTTAAAATTTTAGTGGAAAAGGAATTATATTTTTTTTACAAATCACAATGTCACACCGCACAAACGTGCGGGTCTACTACTAGTAGTTTTTACACTCTAGATTGACGTCTAATTATTGTTATGGGAATCTAGGTTTATTTACAAATTACGCTATTGGTTATCAAAAAGTTTCCCTTTTCTATATATAATAATTTAAGTGTGTTAACGTCGGAAGCTAGGTAGGCAATATTTTTTAAAAAAAAGGGCATTCTATTAAAAACGAGAAATAAAAAGGTTACAGAGCTTTAACCCAGTATTGGAAGTCCAATATTACAAGTAGAAGAAACCATGATAGTTAGAGCATCTCCAACTCAGCCCCATATTTCACCTTTATTGCTATTTTGAAGTTAATTTTGCTCCAATCCAATCTCATTTTCAATCTCAAAATGGCAAAATGCCATATTTTTTCCCAAATTGAGATTGATCCCATTTTCATTTCATTTTGGAGTTGAAGTTTTTAAATTATATAACAGTCCTTAAAGTTTTAAACTATTTCAGTTTATATATAAATAATTATATTGATGTTTATTTTTACCCTAAAATACAAATAAGACGTATTTAATAAGAAATTAAACTATTTAAGCTAATAATAAATTTAAAAAGAAAGGAAAATATTCATAATTAATTTAAATAATTATAATAAATTGTGAAATTTTTGAAGAAAAAAAACTTATGGGCAATTTGTAATATATATAAATATACAATGTAAATTTAGTAATTAATAAAAGGTTTTGAAGTAAAAAATGAGGCAATACATTGGAGCAAAATCCAACTCCATTTTGAGATTTCTTCATTTTGAAGTCAAATATGGGGCAATATATTGGAGATGCTCTTAGGTAGGCAATATTCCAATCCCCACAATTGAACATGGAATTTTAAAAGGACCTCCCAAAAGAAAAATCCAACATGGATTTTCAAACCTCCATCAAAATTTGGGAAAAGAAAACGTGAACATATAGTTTTCAAATTTAATATAAGACAACCTGGCAAAGAATTAAAGATATACTATATCAAACTTAGTACACACATAAATCAAACTATATTAATATTTATAAAATCTTGTCGTTTATATTCATGTTTAGTTAAATTAAACGTGTATTAATATAAACTTATTTATGTATTTTTCACTTGTCCCATCATAACGAAAATTTGCTATAATATTTTATTTGGTTCCAACTTAATTAAATTTATTAAAATGTAGTGAAAAATAAATAAAAAGTTTATTTAAGAACTTGATGTTAGAATT